TTACTCCCTAACAATTTTCTATACTTTACAGAAGTTGTGGCAAGTGCTGCATCATTTATGTCAAGAAACATTAAGCGTTATATCGATTTCGCACCAAATTCCGTAACCGATGTACTTTAAAATAACTTCGACGTGCCGAATAAGTTTTCGCATTAACGACGTACCACAACGTTGAATATCTCCATTGATTTTATATTATCCTGCTTTTCGTTTTTCGCCCGTCCAATATTTCGCTCCGTAGCTTTACATACCTAAATATTTTGTTTCCCTATGAAAAACAGTAAGCTAATCTAAAACCATCAATTTCAATTTGATACACATCATCCAAAACGAACTGGTAGGTAAGTGTTTTTGCGGACCTTTTTTCCCTTAACCGCTTCTGTTCACTTTCTCTTTCTAGTCGCCCTGAAATTGGAGTACAACTTTTTTCCCAACTATCAAAAGCAAGAAAGTATATTAGGCGATTATAATTAAGTGGTGTCTGTAAATAAATAGTGCTTTACACAAAATCTATCTGAAATTGAATGTAATTAAGTTATTAAAATAGGGGGGGGTTTGAATTACTCTTGCAATGTACCTCAATGTTGCTTCTTTGCATATAAGAGGGCTGAACTTCCCTTCTTGAAAGAAAATGTTGGGTTTCTAACTGAACTTGGCAATTAAGTGACCAACGGCTAGCTCATAACACAAATTTTACTATGGTTTACCCACTTACTGAACATCTCTCCTTTTCTAATTCCTTGAAAATTAACTTCAAATGTTCTGATTTACTTACAAAATTCAAACACTACATCACCATACAGTTTTTGATCTGTTGACGAAAAAATTAAATAGTGAAAGAATTCTAAGTTATATTTCACTTTACAATTTTACTAGTTACGTTTTCTCTATACATTTTCAATTAGCTAGGTTAATTTTCATGGCTACGGTTTTTTAACTAACCTGAACTTAATATCGAATCTAATAACAAATATACGGCACATTTTGTTACACACAGTTCACCCAAAGCATAATCACATGGACCCACTAAATTGGAAGTTCTCTTAATTGAAGTTTGAACGAACCAACTCTAAATGAAACTGACTATTATCTAACAAATTCAATTCTAGTGGGTTTCTAAATGAAATACATCCAATACTAAAACGGCTTCAAATACCCATAAAATGATCTCTTTAAGAACGTACAAATCAAAATTTTAAAATCGGTTCAAAAATAACAAAGAACGTGCGCAGCTTTTCACCAGTTTAAAAGTGCTACTCTTAAAAATTTCAGTAGGATCTGATTACAAATAAGGAAGTTACTTCTGCACATGCGTGCACGCATCTTTTTACATGTACCAATGATTTCGAATAGAAAAGTTGCGCATCAAACCGTTACACGTTCCGAGCGAATTAGAAGATAGAAGGGCGCCTGGTCACTCAAGATAAATACTGCATTTCTTCCGATTTCCGAAAATACTTGCATTCGAAAAGAAAACTCCAGCCGCATAATTTCTTTCCTAATTTTCTTCTAATTTCTTACACATGTTGTAAGATCTGTAAAATCCGCACAGATTCACAGCTTATTTTTAGTTTGTGCGCGAGTTTACGCACAGAGCGCCCAGGGCTACGAGTCAACGCCGCTCTCACACACTTGATGTTTTCTGGTGTTCTTGGGCGAAAATCACTCAGGAAAAATAGACAACGGAGCTGCAGTTCCGTCGGAAAAACTTATTCGGTGATGCAAATGTTTTCCGGGCATAGTTTTCTTTTAACGGCGAATCCATCTGATTAAGAGTTACGAGCAAGTCACAATAATTTTATTAACACAATGGTTTGGTGTTAACGAGTTTTAATAAAAGTCGAAACGTTTTTTTAATTATCCTAAAACAGGAGAAACTATGTAACAATTTTGCATCTTTTACGACTACGAAGATTGAGTTCAAAATATACTCGCGCACTTAACTAGTTTGTCCTTGACCGCGCACGGTATTATAATCTTCCTATGGAACGCGTTTTACTCGACGTTAATTGGTTATTGCTTCCTCGCTAAATGCCCAATAATCCGTATTTTACTGCTTGGATGAAACTGACACGTTACAACTAATTCACTTTGTTTGTTTAGCGAAATTGTGCAAATTGATTTGTGAAACGGTAGCTTTCAATTTATTTTGGCCGGTCGGCAGGCTGGATGACAGCAAATGCGGTCCCGTATATAAATCGACGAAGAGTGTACATGTACCTACCGGTGCCGTGTAATTAACAACTTTAGGGATGGGGCTACATGATGTGGGGTTGATGATATCTGGGCGACATCCCAGAGCGCGGTGTACTAACCTAGTGATTTTTCAGTTTCTGACCATCTTCTACAGTTTTAGTCCGATTTTTTTCCTCCTGCGTAACGAAATTTTGTTTTTTTTCCCAGGGGCGAGATGAACACCTTTTGCAAGACGCACGTTTTCGAGGGGTAGTCTACTTCGGACGCCCCAAAGGTATCTTCCGCTGCGAATTTTTTCACGCGATTTAAAGTTTCTTAAAGCTCGAATCGCGGTCTATCTTTCTAGTGTGGCCAATAGAATCTCGAACTATGGGAAGTGCCACAAAAAATGAGGACTATTTTATGGAAGGATTTTAGCGAAATCCACTAAAATGTGAATCGCGGGTGAACGGGCCGTCGGAAGGGGTTACCGACAAAGGGTGGTAGCATTCAACAAGATCGTATTGATCGCGTGGGAGCGAAACTGACTAATAGAATACTGATCTACCAGACAAAATTACGCTGAAGTCCCTTCGATCTCACACGAGTACTTTGATACTTTTTTCACTTACAACTGTAAATCGTGTTGTTAAATTTTACGTTCGAATAAAGAAAAAAACAAAATACTCGTAATCACCACCCGAAGCTCTCTGAAAAGGTGCTCTTTTTTTTATTACTCTGGTAACCCAAAACCCGAACTAATCTCGCGTATTTGCTCGAAATAAAACTAATAACGCAGATTACGTGTTAACTATATCGTTGCCCGGGACTGAATGCATCCCAAAAATCACCCTGTCAGGATCAGTATTTTCTCATTAACTACCAGTCACAAAATGTCTTCCTATCAATGAGAGACGGTAATCTTTACTTGTTGATTCGTTTTTTTTTTCATTTCTGCACTACTAATTACATAAAATCCCACAAGACCAACATATACCACGCAGCATTTTCCAAGATCCTGAAATGATTAAGACTCTCCGGTGCTACCTTCCCCTGCAGTACGTTAACCTTCCCCCCTGACGTTTCTCGGAAACTAAAAAAATTGTTAACGGATTTTGAGTAATATCACAGCACGGAGGTGGTATGGGATACCTCCAGCAAAGGAAAATCCGTTTATTATTGTAGCAACTGATTTTGGGTATAAACACAGAACCGAGGAGTCTGAGGTTTTTTTCCACAGCAAAGGAAAAGATTATTATTAGGGAATTTTTCAATTTTGCTATTAATACCCCCCCCCAATTGTACGTAGATTTCGTTCGAATGACTATACCACTGATTTCATGATGATTGTAGAAAACGAATTCCTTGCTGAGGCTGAATAAACGTAAGATAATAATAATAATAGTATGATATAGATTTATTCCACTAGCAACATATTTAATGGAAATCTTAAAATACAAAATAAAGTAAGGTATATATTTCAGATTAATATGTATTTTTAAAAAAAGTAAGTTAATAACAGAATGTGAAATGAAATCGATTTCTCAAATAATGGGAATTCTTATGTCCACCAGTGGGTAACGTAAATGTTAAATATGTCGACCATTTTACTGATGTTCGATTACCAACCGTTCCTCCAAATTGTACACATAGGATTTCTATAAAATTCGAAAAAATAGATCCAAATTTAGAGCTACCGTTACACTACCCTTGGCGACCTTTATTTAACAAAAATGTGTTATATATTTGAATACCTTTCAAGCCATTGCATTTCATTATCGTTTTATTCACTACCTACTCTCACGCAATGCCATAGCCTCACAAAAATATTGTAGTATTCCAAATATAAATTAATCTACCTTTTATATGAAAAAATAATCCTGAACAAATAAACCCCAAAAGCGGCAGAGCAGTGTGACTCCACTGGGTATTTGACCCAATAGGCTGGTTACATGTGGTATGTACGAGTCAGGGTACGAGTATAATGTCAACTGTGTAAAGCTTGAACCGAATAGGTTCAAGCGTTTGCCGTGACTCTACGGGGTCATTAGATTTGACCCATTTTCAATAGGCTTGTTACATGCGGTATAGGTCACCTGTGCAAAGTTCGTTCGTGTTCACGGACAGACGGACAGGCACATAGCTGTAAAAATTAAATGTGTGTGCGTGTGTTAATTCTTGCGAAAAAATTCGATGTAGGAAGTAATATTCCGACTACTCGTTAGGAAAGGTTGAACCCTGGATTGACCATATACGAAAATGTGATACAATTAGGTTGTTTTCTGTTTATGATGCTCTAAAGGTGAGCGCCCTACACTTTTTTGTATCAACATTGTTCATAGAACTAAATCATTTTTTTGCGTGCTTCCACAATTCGTTAACTCCCTAATGCACTTTCAATCGCATTGATGTCATCAAGATTACACTGCTATTCTGGCGTACATTTGAGGATAGCATTTCAGCAGTCCAATCAGGCGTATAATCGAAATTTAATTGAAGCAATTTGAAAGCCATTTGATATTCACTTTATGCAAAACTTTGGTTATGCAATCGAATCGATCCATTCAGTAAATACTGACCATAATCTATACATAGCATCAAACTAATAGCTAAAGTATGAAAGGTTGTTCTGCTCAAACCGAATCTGTAAATAACAAGTTTTATCTTATTTTGGAGGCAGATGAGTGCAAAATTACGTTCCATTAAAGTAATTTAATTAAAAATACTCAATTTGCCAACTCAAGGTTTGAATTATTTAAAAGATTTACTTCTTGAAAAATGAAATTTACACAAGTTACAAATCAATGAACTAAAATTCATGTAACCAGATTTATTTTTCAGTACGTCAAGGAGCGTGACAGGATGCTCAACCTATACTTCTTCTGCTCCATCATATGCTTCTTTACAATTTTAGTTGTCGAATTCACCATTACTCATATGTAAGTGTTATAACCCGTAAGACTGTGGGTGTCATCTGGAAATTTTTAGGAATCTGATGGTGGTAGGAATTAATCTGGCAATCGTGTTCATTTTAGTTGTAGTACAGCTCCTAGTCTCCGTTGAAAATCTGAGCGTAAGAGAAAAGTAAAACACTTCCCGATATACATTCCCCGCTTGTTTTTCAGAAAGTGAACGTGAATCTACGAAATATTTCTAAACGAATCCACGAGAACCGAAATCTTGCTCAAGGAATATCATTCATTATAATTTGCTGCGTGTACTGTGCTGCCCTTTTACCAAGTGTAAGTACACTCAAAACCAGGCAACGCGGGGTTACTAGAACACTTTTAGTTTTCTACTTCCAAGCTCGCATTCTTCTGCGTCAACGTTACAACGACCGATTTAGCTAACTCGACAAGCTACAAGCAGCAGTGCGATTCAGCTACATATATTGACGTACGAGACCATACTTCAATCTTTATAACAGACTTTTTTGTTTTTAGCATGTTTTATTGTTAGTAATATTGTCAATGACCACTTGCGCAGTGTATCAAGTGCTGGTATCGTTACTTAAGACAATCATACTGGTAGGAATTGTAGGGAGCTATTTTTTTATTTGTATATACGTCGACGAAAAATGTGGAGGTACCTTTAAGGACAAACCAGGGTTAGTTAGCGCGTTGGTGTTAATCGCCCTAACTTTTTTTCTTTCAGGTCTTTGATAGATAATACAATTACAAGTCAATACATCAATGTCATTATTTTAGTAGCATTCGTAGTGGCGTTAATTATACATGGCCAGCAAATTGAGGCTACGTACAGGTTAGACTTTGTCTGGAAACTGCAGGCAACTGGTAAGTTTAAAGTTGTGAACGATGCAATGTAACATTTGGATGTTGCAGAAGAGAAAGAGGACATGGAGAACTTGGAAGCATACAATAAAAAGCTCTTGGCTAACATACTGCCAGTACATGTAGCCGAGCACTTCTTAAACAGCGACAATAATGACGTAAAGTATTAGATTTTGATAGCTTACCTGATAATTGCATGATCAGTTTCAGGAGTTGTACCACGAACAATGTGATTTTGTATGCATCATGTTTGCTTCCATTCCCAATTTTTCCGAATTTTATGTCGAGTTGGAGGGCAACAACGAAGGCGTTGAGTGTTTGAGGTTGCTTAACGAAATTATTGCAGACTTCGACGAGTTGCTGTCGGAAGAGCAGTTTCGTTACATTGAAAAGATTAAATCGACTGGAGCAACCTATATGGCTGCGTCAGGTGGGTCGCGACTGGTTACCAGCTTGTAATGAGTTTCTATCAACAGGCCTTACTCAGAACACTTGTGATATGAAACAATTTCAACACGTGACTGCGATGGCGGATTATGCGTTGCGTATACGAGAACAGCTGGCTGTGGTGAATGAGCATTCTTTTAATAATTTCCGGATACGAATCGGAATTAATATTGGACCTGTGGTTGCTGGCGTGATTGGTGCCCGAAAACCGCAGTACGACATATGGGGAAATGCCGTTAATGTTGCCAGCCGTATGGACAGTACTGGACTAGTTGACAAGATACAAGTGTGTTATTTACAAAATGGAATTGTATACAAGGTTGTGTTGATTTTAGGTGACCAAAGAAGTCTACCAAATATTAAGCAAGAGGGGTTACCCGTTAACGTGCAGAGGGACCATAGAGGTGAAAGGAAAGGGAAATATGGAAACATACTTCTTGAATGGTTATCGGCCACCTCCGAAACCAGATACGAACATTAGACCAAATCCTTTGTACGGCATAAACGCTTTAGGCAAACACCTCCCTTTCACAAACCTTGCTGCATCCTCAAGTAACATACTTAGCGATGAATTTGTGTAACTCGTTAAACATTCCAAAACTAAAGCCAAAGATGTACTAGTTTACTAATGTTATAATGCTCCCGACCTCCTCTTCTTAAGTTACAGTAAATAGTTTTCTATGTGAACATATTAGTTTACTATATGTTTATAATAAATATTTTCTTAATTTTTTCTTGTAAAATTGTATTACCCTTCTTAACCTTATATCAGAATGCTAAAACGACCACCCACTTTATATGTGCGTCCGTATTACAGGTTGATAATAGAATTTTAAGATCACCTGCAAAATTTTGGTGTAAAAACCAAATCCCCTATCTCATATGGATAAACTACGGATATTTTGTACAAATTTGGTTTGTCATAATGCAGTAATAAGCGTTTTTCGTACTCAAAGGGCTCTTGACCTGCACCCAGTAACTTTTTAGATTTGATCGTTTCGGAGTTTCAAAATCAAATTAAATCATATTTTGAAGACAAATGGAGGAAAGAAGCAATCAGCTACTAGAATCTACAACTTTGAAGAAACTACAACAAATAAAACATGACCACATTGGGAGAACCTCGAGGGGTGTTTTACCCGTAAAAGTCATTAAACCCTTTCAATGCCCTGTAACTGTGGTTCATCTCCCGTACTTTCAATGCATTTCCCTTGAATCGATTAAAATTAAAATATACAATCAGTTTTCCAAATTTCATCCAAGATCGTTTGTCTACACACTCTGTCAAAACGAGCCTGTTAACACTGCCATCGAAGGATTTGAGACTCAGTCGCTTTACGCTGTTCAAAGCGAAAATTGGAAGAGAAGAGCTCCTCGGGAGGATTCGCTTCAGAGGGAATAGAAGTAGACATGAGCGAGTGAGAGCGTTTAGAAAAAGTATAGCCGATCTCTTGCAATGAAGTTGCCTTCAACCACGTCGGATAGTCAAATGGTCAGATTTTAAAAGGCATATCGTAGACACACCGCGGATTTATCGCTGTCAACGGTCGAATACGATGTCGGTCAAATAAGCCAACTCTCCATGTGTTTTATTTATACTGTGGTACGACTGCTGTTGTCTCTAGAATTAGGACACTTTCACGCTCCTTTATTTTATTTGGAGGTTTGTGTAACACAGACTCTGGATTTCCTCAAAGCGAAATATTGTAACACTCTTCAAGTTTCCAAATGAAACCGATTACAATTAACATGACTTACGCCCTTAAAAGGATTCTTCCGACCAATTCAAACAACCCCGTAAGAAGAACCAATTAAATCTGTCAGCATTCGCGTAGGACAATGACAAATGTGTTTGAGTCAGGTCGGCCGACCTAATGCACAAACCTAAAATGTGAATGCAATATTACGTAATGTGAAGTCCGCAGGTTTATATAACCTACCAGAATTCACGCTACGGATAATACAGGCCATTAATTAGACAAAAAGTTGGCAAAAATGGGGGTTGGATAATTAACTCGATAATTAATTAAAGTGAAAATGAACGGAATACAGTTTGGTCGGAAAGTAATCTGGAGAAAAGTCATAAGTGAAGTACAAAATCACGCTTCTTTGAGACAAGGAGGAGCACAAACAAGCGGGGAGGAGCAAAGGAGGTACTTCAAAGAAAATAAGAACCGTTTCATAATTAAATAAAAATTATTGCGTCATTATTTATCCCTTTCCTCTTTACTTAAGAGACCAGAATAGGATTAGTGACTGACAACTTGCCGGCGCAAATTTATTTACGTAATTAGTAATTACATAATAAGAACCACCACCAATTTAATTAAGATATATGGAGATAAAGATCATTACATTAGTGTTAAAGGCTTTTCAGTACACGGTACACGGATCGATGCCTATGCTCGTCCTCGTACTAATGAGAGTTCTGCACTAAAATAACCATCTGCTTTGGAGTTTCCAAAATGGAGATTTTTGCTTTAAAATAGATTCGTAAAGACCAAATTTTAAAATAATTCTCCAAAACTGCATACCCTTACTGTTTTCCGTGTACGGTACCAAATTCAGCAATGTACCAGAGCTCCTCGATATACTTGGTTATCTGAAAAATTTTTCCAAAGGGGGATGGAGCATTTCGTCAATGAGCTGTAAGACACAAAAAATATTCAAGCAATATGGCCACAATCAGTGTTGTGACTGGTTCTGATAGGTTATTAATTTCCAAAAGGATGGTTCTGCGAACTGGAAGTTGTCCCTTGCATCTATAGACCATATTTGTATAGGAGATTCAAAATTGTCTCAATTCATTCCCAAGCCAATTACACTGAAGGAAAGAATGCGCAACTGTTCCTGAAATTAAATAATAGTAACAGAGTGTATTTTTGCATATTAAGACAACAAAAAATGTGAAGCAATGTATACCCGTCAGCCAATTATACAAAAATGCCACTTCTCTGCGTTCTCCCAATTAAAATAGTACACGAGTTTGTTTAAACAACATTATTAAGCTAATCGCGCCTATACTACACACAGAACAGCTTATAAATTGTAAATATTTGCACAAAGGAATGAATGCTTCATCAAAATGCTTCAGATGATATCCGTAATATTCTGCCAAAATTCTTGATTGAGACAAATGCGATTCCATATTTCTTTGCTAATCGTGACAAAGGGTGAAGAAGCAGTAATCTTAAACTATACTTTATTATTATTGTCATCGTATACTATTTTTTTTTATATACAATATTGGTCCACATCTAATAATATAATTAATTAATCGATTAGATTCGGTTATAAAACTAAAGAGCAATGTCCTTTTAGCTATTCACAAAAATTACTTGTCGCATTACAACGTACGGAAGGAATATATCTTCTTTAGTCCGCCGATTTCTTATATTTTTTTCGAAAGTGATTCAGCGACTTATATTCGCAATCGTAAACATCTGGCAGTTCCAAATTTAACATCTCGTTATAAACTAACTTGACCGTATTATTGCCAAACAGTTCCCTCTCGTACTCGATTAGCTGCCGAAAGAATCCGCAGTTCGGTTTGATGATCGGTCGTCTTAGTTTGAGATAATTGTAGGATTCTATTAGGGATAGTTTGTGGTACTTCATCAAGTAGGCGATGCATAGGGTTGCCGATCGGCTTACGCCCGCCGTGCAATGTATTAACGTTTTTCCATCCCTCAGCGAAATCTGTAATGGAAAAGAGTGTTACGTTTACAGAAAAGACGAATTAAATTATAAATAACTATAATGCTCTGTGTTGAACGAAACTCTAACCTTTTTTTTTGAATTTAAACAAGAAAAAAACTGAGGAGAGAGCTACGCATTTGATACCATAAAAGCTTTCGGTTTATAAAGTCAAATTTTACTCTTGCGATGGTGCCAACAATTTGCTTAATAAAAAAATAAGCGCTTGGTTGATTTTAATAAGTATCTAAGTTTGAAGCCCAATATATTTTGTATTATACCTACTTTATTGAATGTACCCTTAGTTTGAGTAACTGGATGCGGTTTTAATGTGTTAGGAGTGTGGTTGGTAAAAATGGGGGGAATATCACTTTTGCTTTTGGTATTGTAATGACAGCTTATTATTTTGCGAAAGAAGTTGAAATCTAAAGTGGAAAATTTCAGAATCATCATGCTAAAATTGGTTAAATTATCTAAACGTACGAACTAAACTCATTTTCACAGGATTCCTTATTTGGTTAACAAAGTTTTTTTAGGTTATGCCATGTTTTCATTTAATTAATGAAAAGATCAGTTCTTAATCAATTAAAATTGGTATAAGAACGCTATGTAAATAGTATGTAGCGATTTATTAATAATAAATCGAATTGCGCATGCGCAAAACAAATTTTTTTATCGGCATTAGTTTTACTTTTATTTGAGGTGCCCATACACAATTTCATTTAAAGTTCTTAACAAATAACAAAATTGGAATTGTGCAAATACAAAAATTGGGTTGCGCATGGCAATTTTTTTTTATTCATCTGCATAGATACCAGAGATTTATGGAATATTTACTGACACAGAAAACCGGATATTCATATGTTCTTTGTAACAAAAATTATAAAAGAACCCCTTTTTTGTGGGTTTGGGCAGTTTTTGGGCTGTAACTTTTTGGCCCGTTAGTCTACATAGCCGAAAAACAATATCGACTTTTCTTATATCCTGAAAAAGATGTTGTATCAATCAAAGCGATCGGACGTCTCTACGCAAAGTTATCGTGCACACGGACAGACATACGGACAGACGGACGGACAGACAGACAGCCATACAAAATTACCTATAAACGATCTCGAGGGTCGTTAATAATGTCCTTGCATTAAATGGGATATAATACATTAACATATCTGACACTGAAACATAAACACACCTCAGAATGCCAACGTTTTTTTTTGTGTTTTACTTAAATTTAGAAATATAATAAATACAACCTGTCTGACAATTATTATCATCGCGTGTTTTTAAATACTTTAAATGAATCACGTGGAAAATCTGCCAAAAGTGTCCATGCCAAAAATATGGTCAATTTTAGTAAGTACAACAAAAGAAAAATGTTCACACTATTTTTATACTGGCACATGAACGATTTACGAATTTAAAACCGAAAATTACGTGAACAATGGAAGACCTGAGAGTCTATCGATTATTTGTGTGAAGTTGCTAGTGCCAAAACTTTCAAGATGTAATATACAATAGTTATTTTTATATTTCAATGTTAAGGAGATAACTGTTTACGTGCCATTGCACGCCTACAGGGCCAAAAGTACTGTTACATAGAATAATGAGGATAATACAGTAGGTGCCTTTCAGGGGTAAATAAATGCAATATTTCTTGAATTCCAAAATGAAAAGAGATCATTATTTTTGTTGACTTATTTAATGCTCAACAGTTACCCGAAATCTATGTTCAAAAATAGTCGTTTTTTTTATAAAACGTGTTTTAAAGGTACATATAAACAAACGCTTTGAGAGTACAAAAAGTTAGATTTTGGAACGTGCAAATGCTGTAGGTTTGTTAAATAGATTTCGAAAATAAACTCATCAGAAAGTTATAGGTACTCGGGAATTAAAACAATGTCTCTTACTATTGTGTGGCTCATTAGCAGCAATCGATTTTCAGTACTTAAAATGGTTTTTTTCAATAAATGTGTGCAATTCTCCCACAAAATTAATGTGCTACGTTTATGTTATCTTTCTGAATTCTTAACTGTTTATACTACCATGTAATTCTTCATATTTGTATTTCATGGTTATGATTAGGGTGGTTTTTTTGTGGAGACATGTTAAAACGGTTTACATTTAGATGAAATTAATTATGATAATTCCCACTGAAAAACTGAAGAAATTCATAAATATTGATATACAAACGGTTGCAAAATTAAAACTTTGTCATGAGGGTTTGACAAACAAACAATAGTTATTTGTACAACTAGTTTTGAAAGTCATACTTTTTTTCATGAATTTGCAGTTTGATTAATGAGGGCGAACTATTTTCCTTAATTTGTGTTTTTATATTAAATTTTGTTAAGTAATATAATAGTTTTTTACATTTCTATACCTATCCAAAAAGGTGTGCATTTTGAGAATAAAAATAGTGTTTAGTATTAAAAGATGCAGACGCCACTCACCAGAATTTTAAGGTATGTAGATTGGCAGCTAACCTTTTATAATTGTGGATACCATAAAAAGCTTTTTTTTACACTGTTGGGTTCAAGATTTACCTACTAGTGCGCCATAAAGTTAGCGTGGGATTTTGTTAGGGCGACTTTAAATAAAGAAAATTAATGAGTCGATTTTCCAGAAAGTCTTTAAATCAGGACAATTAATAAATAATTAACGTGCGATTTTTTGGGGACATCTTTAAATAAATACAATAGGTAATATGCGTTTTTTTTGGAAACGTCTTCTAAGGACACTCAATAATTAACGTGTGACCTTTTCTGAGACATTTTTGAATATGAAAGGTTACGGTAATTTTATGACGTGAGGAATCCTGTGAAGGGAAAACAAGTTTATTTTTAAATTAATAATTAACTTTAACGTGTTTTAAATAAGCTCAAATCACGAGAGAGTGACTACTCGGAATCATAATTAAAGAAACTGTCGCCAAGATTATAAAAGCATAGGTACTGATAATGTGATATAATAAATTATATATTATCAATGAGAACTGCTTAGAATAGCTACCTGGAATTTTTCGCGGAAGGTACTTGTAGCTTTGTTGAAAATAATGAATGTAGAAATAGACATTAAGATAATTGCCGAGGGAGGAAAAACTGACAATTAGGGGGTGCAAGAGAAAAAGGGTAGCTTGGGGTATATTTTATGTTAACGTAATTTAGTAGAGCCAGTGGAGTAACAAAAAAGTTTTAAATTACCTTCAATTAATTATAGGGCAATAATTTTTTGCGAGAAACTTAGGTATCGTAATTTTAAAGATTCAAGCGTCCCGACGGCAATTTTCCCTTAGGAATAAATTACAATTCTCTGGACGTGAGGGAGCTTGTGTAGTCTTCGAAAATGCAATGGAATTATTATTTTAAAATAGTCCACGGAAATATATTATTACTTTTATGTTATTTTTGGTGTGCTCTTTAAACGTCAAACTGATACTTTGTAGATTAGGTTTAATTTGACCACATTTTAATAAGCAAGATAGAATTTGAGAGTATGTATATCCAAAAGCAAAGGGTTGGGGGAAGTGAGTTATATTATCCCACGGGCCACGGGTACGTATATAAGGAAATTTTGCACTCTTTCTCTTCTAATGCCAAATAAGGCACGAGGATTGAACCTCCAAAGGCAAGAGGAGTAAAAATTTGGGCTGGCTTGGTCTTTGCCGAAACCAAGGACGAAACCGTGAAAAATTTTCATGTTGATCATCAAACATATCAAATTTACCTGCTGGGCTTCCAAGGATAGGTACAATAACATTTTCCGCTGTATGAAGGGGATGTATGCCACGACGCTTATCGACTTTACACGTTTGTCTATAAATAGTTATATGATTGAAAAATGAGCATAGGGGCTGTGAGTTAGAAACCATATTAGGAACGTCAATGGAAGAGCTATACCTCCGAATTCAAGTAGGTACAATAAGCTATCGTTTTGAGACTCATCTGAGTTTCTGTAATTCGTTAAAAAAGCTTAAAAATTGGACAAAAACGGTGTCTCTTTAATTCCTAATAAATCTAATTCTTCATTTAAAATTTCGGACAATACATTTTTGTGCTACTTTTCAGAAAAATAGTACAGAAACTGTTCTTTATTACCTCGTGGTTTAAACAAACCCCACAGAGTAAAATGAGTAGGTAACTTCTTGGTACAGAACATACTAGGTATATTGAACTGATACAAGGTTTCATTATGTTACCAAGGAACGAAACAAATACGTCTAGTTTGACTCACTTTTCTAAATTTAGATCATGATTGAATTTCGAAATGAACATAACGGCAACAACGGGATAATTTTAGAGCGCAATAAATAAGATAAATTGGAGTAAACTTACTTGATGAATTAAATCAGCGGATATGTCAAAATACTGTCTAATATTTTGATTAGGCGAATCGAAGGCTCGTATTCGGTAATATTTTACGGTTTTTTCAGGCAGCGGCGTGTCTGGAAGCTCAACGGTAGCATTAATCACAAAGGAGACGCCGAGAAGTTGGAGCGTAGAAGTATGTACCGAAGTGGCAGAACATAAAAACAAACTCCTTGTAACTTCTGTAATGTTTAAATTTAGGTCAACGGTGCACGATGATTCTGAACTGAAACGACGAAGGAATGTTAAGAATTGCGAATGTTTGGTTAATTTGTTAGTGTGTCAAATTATTACCATGCACGCCAATTACACAAAATTTTAATATTAATAAACTTATCCATGGTCGAGTATGTGCTAGACATATGTGTCCCCAATGTTTGTCTGTTGATAGGTATATGTTATGACTTCGTTTAAGTTATTGTGATATTTATAACTGAGTGTGTTTATAAACTATCTCAAAAATTGGAAACGTAAAAAACACCAAGCAGTATTTCATTCTTTAGATAATTAAGAAAGAACATCTTTTGAACGACCCTTAATAATATAGATGAAACATAGAAATTCAAAAATTACCCCCTTAAATTTTTATATCCATCCTCCTTCACAATGTGACTTGAAACGAAGTAAAGACAGATTTCTGAAAAAAAATTCTCGACTGTGACTAATAATTGTAGGTACCACATTCTCATTCTCATTCTTTTTAAGCCGTTCTTCTTCATATTTGTTACATTCTCACTGTTTATGTGTGACAAATTACCAAATCATCGGGATCCCTGTTTAGAACTTATTATATTCTGGTGTTTTTTAATCTCCTCTTGCCATTTCTCTCAATGTTATTGCAATCTTTCTTATTTTTAGTATGGCTACTTTTTTTGCCTTGAGAAAAGAACCTGAAAGTAAAATGAGAACGACTTGACGAAATGGAGGGAAACCTGGGGTGGTAGGTACATGAAAATGGAATTGGAGGACTTGGATAACGATGCGAGGTAACGTGTATACTGTATAATTTGCGTTGATTTAATTTTAGGTTTTACCCTAGTAAATTGTATCGAAATTCTGTCGGTTCTTAATTCAACAGAGTGCTCTGTTGTACATTTCAAAGGTTGGCTTAATTGTACTCGTATACCTAGTCTCGTATTTTTGGTACATTTCGGTTGGTTTGTGGGATATAAGGAGAGGTAGATATAGCACGTGACGAACATTTAGAACAGCCCCTATATCACCTAAACTATGTAATTTTGTTGTTACTTTGAAATTCATATCACCAAAATTCACTTTGTATTGCGATCAAGCACTAATTAATCGATTTCAATTTCCCATTTGCCTATTTATCATCATTTTTTACTTTCCATCTTCGTTGAAATGATTTATTTTGTTTTAAGATCATTTTGTTATGAATTGGAGTACTGCTATCTTAGTATATTTTCAAGTTTATCGTGTACTTTCAGATTATGGAATGAACATTTGCTTCCGCAGAAAGCTCTAAAGAAGTCGAAGAACTGTGTGTAAGTCCATTTTAATCCTAATTTGTTGGGAGATCTTACATTAGATGGTTGTACATTTGTGTTGGTATTTTTTGCCCACATTATATGTTGCTGGAAAGCGTGTGGTAAACAGGAACAAGGACCCCAAGGGATAAACTTTGATTCTCCTTATTGACCAAGCTTCCAACTTCCACTTGCAACCACCTACCCTACGTGAACTTCAACAGAGTGACATTCAAACTCCTCTCCAAGACGAAGGTGGATGCAGAGGAGGTGATAAATATGGAGTGCGAAGAGGCTACATCAGTTGAGGGGGCTCAGGAGAACCACAACCAACTGTGCCAACCACAGCACAAATTCCAGAAAATGACTCCAAAGAGCCTTACAAAAAGGAACAGAGGGTAGAATCGGTTTCTTGAAGAAAATTGAAGGGGTTATACCTTGGAGCTTTTACTTCAACAACACTTTCCGGGATCAAAAACCCTCGCTCAAAATAACACGGGCGAACCAATTACTTTTCAACCACTTCTCAGAGGGAACAGACTAACAGAGGAGATTAGGTTTTGGCTCTACAAATAGTGAACCTACCCAAAATTAGGTGGGCAGTGAAGACTTTCCATCCGTATAAATCCCCAGGGATGGATATGGAAAATACCGGTGGGCATAAGATCCTTGCCCCATTTACTTCAAATGAAATTTTATCTAATGCTTTCGTAAATAAGGAAGTTGGCATTGCGCATGCGCAAAACAATATTTGGAAAACGTTATTAATTTTTCTTATATTCGTAGTGTTTGCATATAAAATTTCATTTAAACATGTTTATAAATAAAAAATTTGGCATTGCACATGCGTTAAACCAAATTTTTCACAATGCGCATGCGTAAAACCAATATCGGAAACCCACAGGATCCTTGTACCAAGCCCTTTTAAATGACCCCATATCGACGGACGACCGGACGAAAATATGCCAATAGCGATTTTTCACTTTGAGGAAAATACACTAATAATAATAATAGTAATGGGGGAATATTATAGAGGCACTTGGAATAAAGTTTAGGGGAACAATGAATTTTAGAAGTGAGGATACGGATTCAAACGTAACTGAAAAGGAACGTGGCGCCAAATGGACACTTGAGAGGAAATTGAGCAGAGCTTAAGTGGAACATTGAAAGAAAACTTTAAAGGTACTCGAGGAGAACTTGAGATGTATTTGTAAATTGAAAATAATTGATAGAAACTTGAGCGAAGCTTATAAGTTAATTGAGAGAAACTTGAGAAACTCTTGAAAAGTAACGAAGGGAACAAAAAAATTATAGAATTGGAAAACTTTATAGAACCCTACGAAGAATTTTAGGGAGACGATGAACTTAAAACGATCTTAGGACAAACTTGATGAGCGCTTGAGTGGAAATTTGGGGAAGCATACTTGAATTACGCTTCTTGTACATTATACTTTTTTCGTCAAACTATAATTCCGAAGCTATGTTTCTTGGATAAAACATGAGAAATGAAAGGGAGAGCTTCAAGAGGAATTGAGAATAATTTCAAGGGAGAATTTGAGAGAAATCTTTAACAATTACTTGACGATATTATAGAAAACTTTGGAGAAATTGAGGAACGTGTTTTTAGATTACTATGGAAACTTTGTAACAATAATTTAAAAAGTAAAATTCTTTATTTTCTTTTTGTTCAAAGAAAAATTCACCCTCACCCCGCTACTAAGAAGTTTGCTACAAAATTGTAAAAATGCCCACGCAAATTCGCTTTCAGTATATTTTTCCCTGGAATATTTGTCCCAAAGAAAATCTTTCGAGAATTTACCGGAAAATAGCATGTTGCTACCATTAAGCCAACACTATACAGTTGTCATGCAAACTCTCGGGAGAATTTTCGATAAGAAAAATTCATGAGTTATTCCAAGGGCGTATTTTTCAAGAGCCGTCATTTGGAGCCGAGCTTTCCAAGGTCAGGCATTATTTTTCTTGGGGTGATTTGGTTTTCGCCTGATCAGTTTAATTAAGTAAATTTAACTATGCTACTTCCAGGGCTACTTCTAACATGTAGTGTACATTTTTTGGCTAAAAAAAGGAAATATTATTACCATGTAGGGACGAATCCTTTTTTAAGGAGAAAATTCTAGGAGCATGTATTCTTCCATGAGCGGAAGCGAATTTACCTGGATGAAAGTTTTTTTGAGACGAATAATCAGGTACCGAGTATTCTGGGAGCGAACGCTACGCAACGAAGCTTATGGGTAAGCTTTCCCCAATTATAACATTTTAGGTGAAGTGCGAAAAAGAATTAGACACAATATAACTAAAAACCAACATAGTCAGACAGGTTCATCACCAACGCATGTACGAAACTAAGAGGAAATCGTGGAAAGCATCAACCTTGTATTTATTTTCTAAGGTCAACATAAAAGACCTACTTTCGACAGACAACAAAACATGTCACTTGGTTAAAAAAAACTATATCAAAACAGCAACTAACTTTGCTAAACTCAAATACCACATAAAGCTCGACAAGCACACATTCAAATTACCTGGAAGTAGAAACTGTTTCCACACTTTTACTTAAAATATCTTGCACCTCATTATCTTTTCGACCATTAAACACATACTCAACATTAATAAATTCCATGACTACGTTTTTTTCGATAAAAAAACGTGCGATCCACCAAACCCAAGTGAAAGTTATAACATCTGAGAAACAAATGAAGAAAGCGTGCCAAGAGTTTGAGTCATTCGTATTGGTGCTCACCTGCGATTTTCCGAAGGAATTTCATATAAAAGTCGCGCACGCGCCCGAACACGTTCATATCGGTGACCAGAGGAGAAACATATCTTACATTCCTAGCAATTTTTTTTCTATTTCAAACATTTGCCACCATCGTGTTTAATCTCTAAAAATACACTAACTTTAATAGTACACATTAATAGTAACAGCGGCGAATGCTTTTCATTCATAAATTAACAGGCCGCACCATGAACCAGTTCGCTAATCAGTATCGAGGGCAATTTATTGACACCACGATATTGAAATAACCCCAAGTTACTGATGTTCTACATATCCATAAATTTCCGTTGACTAATTTTCACCACATGGCAGAAATTCCAGTCAGGTATTTTATTTAACAGGTAGAGTAGAGACACTTTATTTTTCGACGTCGTGTTTGTACATAAACGGACGCCGACGCTCTAAAGATCAAAGATGTAAATTAAAAGGTACTTGTGGCAGTCAAAAATTTGCGTCAGGATACATTTGTTAGACTTTTTAATGCGTTGCAACACTTTAAAAAAACTTATTTACTTGGCAACATATTTCTTTGACAAGTAGGCTTTAGTAATATGTCTTGAAAGATAAATCGGTAACCAAGCGCGTTCTGTTCAGATTGAGTTATATGCATATATCTTTCAGATGTTTCTTTTCTAATAAAGAAAAAGCTATGTCTAATAAGAAAAAGGGTTATTTTTCATTTTTTCAATCGCCAAAGATATTTATATGTCTACAAATCGGCTCGATTCTTTTTTTTTAATTGCAATATTTATTATTAAATGAATTTTATCTTGAACCATTTCCAGTAGTGTAAGAAGAGCAAATTCATAGATCTCAGACTATTCCAACAGAAAATATCTCTAGTTCGTCTTGATTAAAGACAACTTCAAAAAAACTGGAGAACTTTAAATGAAGGTTAAAAGGGGTTTGAAAATAGCTTGACAACAATTTAAAAACCCCGAAAGTGGCTAATGAGGAAATTAAAAAAAGCTAGAGCATGAAGGGAATTTGGAAAATATTTGATAGGAACTTGACAGTGTGGGGGGAACTTAATGTGGGAATTGAACAGTACATGAGGGGAAATCGATTTGACCACCTTTTGTTTGGTTAAAACCTTTGCATACTAGACTTCTAGTTCGTTTAATGATGTTTACGGCTTTAAGGGTGGCTCGTTATTCATAAAAAACAATTTTTTTTAACAATAATTTGATACCACATACTTAATGTTTTTAGTTCAATCTGCATTAAAAAAGTCATTTTAAATTATTTTCACTTTTATGGAAACGCCTACTAGGTTTCTTTACTTAAAACGAGCTATAAATTGGGTATGCAAAAGTTTTAAAAAACAAAAGGTGGTCAAATCGATTTTCCCAAGTCACATTTTAACATAATCATAATACACTAGGAGAGAATTTATACATTTAAATAAGATTAAAATGACAAAAATTGACATATGAGCTGTCATTGTATTCCAAATGTAATAATAATAATAACGGTCTTTATTGATTATGTTTTTGCTAGCCACGAAAAATACATTGCCTAGGGCGAGATTCAGGAGTAGAAAGTCTACCCCTGCTCTTCCATCTAACCCATAATGATTCCACTTAATCGACAATGTTGTGGTCATTAGTACGTAGATATATAACATGGATTTTACAAGACATTGAATCACAGAAAAGAAATAAAAATATTAAAAATAAGATAAGTAAAATAGAAACAAAATTCAAAAGTGCTCTAATTATTATTACCGTAGCAACTTCGAAATAATGCGAGTTCTAAATGCTTTGAAAGTGTACTTACTGATGTCCACATCTAGTGTATTAAACCATTGCGTTAAATTATTATATTGCCGTTGCATGAATAGGTGGTGTAAGCAGCCCTTTATGGCGTAAATTTAAAGTATGAACATCAGTTCGAAATTTCAACTTGTTATAGAGATAAGGAGGCGTTTTATTTATTAATAGTTTATAATAAAAGCAGGCTGCGTGCAAGTTTCGTAATGTTCTATCGAAATATGTACCTAATAATATGCAGGGGGTCCATTTAAAATTCATAAGCTGTTATCATTGTTGGTGAAACCGAAGGTCACAAAAAAACTATTGAGTCTTTTCATGCGTATTTACTTCCCATGCACAGTTGCTAAATGTCATTCAATTCAGACAAAAACTGTAGACGCTACAGCATGTGGACAATTTTTAATGAACCCTGTATACTAAGCAAGTAAAGTATGCGTTTTAATCCCGAGAAGCAGTTTGTTGCACCAAACATAGTTAAGGGTAACATGCACCCGGTAGCTATTCTGTACCACTGCAATCAGTTAGAGCAATTTAAAAGTCCAAATATAATTTTATTTTAATTGTGGAGCAAAGGTAGATTGTAATATTACGTTTGGTACAGTACAGTATACATTCTTGTACAAACCGACTAGCCTGATATGATTACTTGAAATATAGCAGAAGAAAATATAAAGAAATTATTTTGCTATTACCTTAGTTCTATTTTCGCCGCTAGAGTTCACGCTATACACCTTTCTGCACTTCGTTCCATCCCTGCTTCCTAAATGTTGCCTTTCGCATTCCCTGTATTTGAACCTTTGCAGAGAAAATCTTCCCTTGACAGTGATTACGTGTGAAGCCCTCTCGATACGCCATTATTGCTATCACTAGATTTCTTTGGAGTGTTTCTCACTTTTTCTGATGTATTGTGGCTGCTCCATTGAATACGCTTAGCGGATTTATGTTTGCAAGTGTGACGTATGTACAGATATGGTTCAGCATTATGTATTTTTTTGGGACTTTCTCTTCTCTTTGAAGTTTCCCTCATTTTCTTTATTTCTTTCAAGAACTTATTTTGTTTGCCTAAAATTAGGCGTCTTTCAGGAGACTTTTTATCATGTAAAAGTAGACATAGGAAATTCCTATAGGAAATCCCTATGTCTACTTCTACAGGAATATCACTGTATGCCATACTTTCTAATATGTATTATGTATATATAGAACGTAATTGAACAAATTTGTTTTAATTATCTTACATGGTGGTATATAATTATTACTTATTAGTTGGTATAACAGACATAACAACTAAACAGGAAATGAAGTAATTAATTTTTAATTTCTTACATGGTGGTATATAATTATTACTTATTAGTTGGTATAACAGACATAACAACTAAACAGGAAATGAAGTAATTAATTTTTAATTTCTAAATATCATTAACCTTGGATTAGATTAAATGTAAATCCCTTTAAATTTTATTTATTATTATCAAAAAAATAGTCGTATGTAGATGGACTGCCAATCGGAAACTAGTATAGAGGTATAGAGATACAGCTTTGTCTTGGCACGCGATGTAAAAGATGCGAAATTAGTGTACGATATGACGATTTTCTTTTATATTTTCGATGTGAGCTTTTCACAATGTCACATCTAAAAGGATAATGTCCCATTACCAATTAACATTTCTTCACTTCGATATAAATGCGACTTTTGTGAAAAAATACGTCACTATTTCCGCACTAACTATTTTTTAACGACTATCAAAGCGATTTAGATGCTGTGAGAAATCTTGTAAATTTATAAAATATTATCGTAAGTTGCCAGAGAAGTAGGTATAAGGTATTTGCGACATACATATTTCGCTTATTTTTAGACAATATGCAGCATCTTGTAAATACGCGAACATTGAAGTATATTTACTCACATTTCTGGAATACTTCCACGATTTATAATAATCGCATTATGATATTTGTGGTTAATGTAAATTACAGTGTGGAATGCGAGCAGTGATTAGGTATAATAGATGTTCGATCCAATCATGTCGGCTTTAACATCTGTTGCCAACTATTAAAGATCGTGTCAGATAAGAATTTTGCTTTATTTATTTATTGAAGTATTATTTCAAGCTACGCGCCTGATTGTTTTGTTTAAATAGATTATTCTTTAAGTATTCGGCTTCAGCAAGGTTTTATTGAGCTCTAAAGAAAAAAAGCCGTAAATTTCTTGGCGTGTCGTTAACTTCATTATTGAATCATCGAATAAAAGTAATTTTGACTATTTGCCAAAAAGTAAAACGTTTGGATTACTTAATGCGGCTGCGAAAATTTAGTATAGGGAAACGCGTCTTACTTCAAAAACTGCATAGCGAAAACGAAGCTGCATATAAATCAGTGAACATTAAATTAAAGGGGTGGAGTAGAAAGTCGTATGGAATCCTGCCAGTGTGAAGTAATTAAAAGAGGAGGGGGGGGGGGGCAGTGCACCTCCAAGCATCAGGAATTACATAATTATTTACATAAGATTTCGTGCAGTCCATAACAGTAATCGTTAGGTTCCTATCTATTAGGTTTATTGATATTTGAACAAAATAAGTCCTGAAAACTTAAGGACTTTGAAACAGCTTGTGAAGAAATCGAGAGAAACTTGAGTGGAAGTATTTGAGAGGAATTTGATGGGAGGTCCATGGGGAATTGAAGATACCTGCGAGAAAAATGTAAAGATGAGCCTGATAGGGGAACTATGAATTGCAAACTCGATCGTTGATGGTACAATATGAAAAATGCGGTAGAAGGATCTGAGGGAAGCTTAGGAGAGGATAACTTGAGACCGTCAGATGAGGAAATTTAGAAGCTTTAGAGAAATTGTAAAGAGAATTTGAGAGGAAATTGAGGAGAATTTTAGGTAAACGCAAAAATATGTTAAAGAAAAAGTAGTTCGGGGAAATCTTAAAGAAGGGCGTCAGATGAACTTAATTTGAAGAATGAATTTGGGAGAAGCTTGAGAGAAATTTGATGGGAATAAGTAGAAGATCTTGAGGGAAAGTGTACGGAGCGTGTGGAAGGAATGAGGGGAACATGAAAGAAGTTTGAAAACTAAGAAATATTTCAAGGGAGCACGAAGGCCATGGTGGACCGATAAATTAAGTGGGGAGAAAATAAAAGATTTCCTTTTCTACATTCATTAATATCACCTAATAATTCCGAGTTCTCATGTTTCATGACACTTCTGAGCCTTGTTTATGTAATGTGAAACATCGAAAACATTCTTTTACTAGCTTTTTCGCCCATGTCAGTATAAATTTGTTTACGACAGAAATACAAGACGATATAGGAACTTATATATAAGGTGTGAACAATGTAAACAAAATTGGTTGGTAAATGAGGCCCAAATAATCTAAAGGTCCAAATGCTTCATTTAGAACCAATTCACAATTCACTCAATTTCAAGGTAAGCGCAAGGTGGATTGGGCGGAGGACTCCCAAATTTCTAATCAATTTTACTACATGTCAGGAAGAAGATTTGTATATAAAATTTTACAAAAGAAGTATGTAAATTATGAAACATATTGTATGAATTATATAAACGTAATTATCGACCGACTAAACAACAATCTTGCAATTAGACACCTGGATTAAATTAAACAGTTACATTTCAAGGTTTTTAATTATTGTATTTGTATATCATACCTACATAATTTTAAGAATGTCTAATTACCCCATTAACGAAATCCTCTTAATTCCATTGACTTAAGTATATAGGCATCATTTGTATTTTACAACTCTCAATTTATACAAATTAACCATCTTTATAAACGGGGTGGCTTATTTATTACACAAGATTGATGACGCATATTTCAGGAACATATAAAAGGATACGGTTGGTGCAGAACCACGGTATGAAAGCACGGTTATTGAAATCTTTTCAAGTAACAAGGAAATTTTTGGCAATATTTTGGGAAATATAGGAAGCTTTCAGAGTCATAGTTTTTTTTATAAATAATGGCATGGGCATGGCCATTTTCCAGCCTCTCCCGTCTGTTATACTGCTATCGTTATGGAAGCATGTGTTTTTATAGATGTATGATCACACATACGTAAAAATAAACAAATTTGATTATATTTTCACTTGATTTAAGAGATAACACAGGACGCAAGGTTAATGAATTTTGAGTACAGTCGTCTTTTGTTATCCAAGGTGTCCAAAAGTATTTGTGTGCTGTTATCGGTATGCTACATAAAAGTAAAACTTATCAAGTTAATATCAAAAATAGTGATCCAGACACCAGGTAGGCATTATAACTCTTTCAACAGACTTAGGTACTTTACAATCAATTACAATCTTCAATCTGTCAAAATTGTAATGAAATAGTTAATTTATAGTGTTACTCGGCAAGTAGTCTTCCTAAATGGTGAAAGCGCTATGGCAAATTTAATTAGAGAAAATTACACATTTCTGTAGCTTACAAAAAACTACATCACTAATGTTCAGCGTTCAATATTCACTAATCCCAAATATTTTTGGTTACTTATTCGCTCTAAAAAGAGTGACTCGAGAATACCAAGTAGGATGGGCATTGGGCAATGCAATGCAATGCGCATGTACGAGCGCAATTGTTCAATTTTGTCAGCAAAAAGATTGATGGTAAAAGCTGCGGTGTGGCAAGTTGCAATCGTAACCAAACTTCCTCGAGATCCATATCTACCCATTGCTGCCAAAATGCTTCACCATTTTACGAAATTTGTTGTGTGTTCGTTAATTATTACATACGTCAACGTTAACCAATTACAGTTACACACCGATTAATTAGTTAAGGCTGGATTACTTGAATGCGTTTGTTGTAATTTTGTAAAGGTACCTAATGGACGACAATTTCCTTTGTCTGTGCAATGCGCATAGAATGGTTACACTTTGAGCATTTTTCTTCTACTATGTTCTTGTTGCTTTTGGAATTGGTTAATTGATGGTATTGGGCTAATCAAAATTCAATAAAGGTTTATTTTTCACTAATATGATTATGCAAAAATCCTTGCAATTACGAAACTGGCAAATATAATGAACAACAATTAGCGAGGAAGCTACTTAAAGTACCTTTGCAAAAAAAACAAAAAACCTATATTTATATAAGTACCCGTGCACCTTTAATTAACCAACACAATTATGAGGAATTGAATTAGGTATTTATAAAATCATGCATAAACATAACCAAATTATTAATTTAATTGTGCCTTTCATCAATGTTGATGACGAAGATCGTTCTCACACCATCGAAGATAACTGCAAGTCTATCCAAATCTTCCACTATACAGGGTCATTCTTGACGAGCGTCAGTTAGAAAGATATGGAAAACCTTTGAAAATTAAGCTGAACTGATAAGTCCTTTAAAGGTTTTGGCACATGATGAATGAACTAAAATATTTTCAAAATGGCGCCACTTCCGGAAATACCGGAAGTAGCCATCAACTTTGTTATTTTAAATAGGGACCCCCTATTTTTTCTACATTTTCGGATTCTACGTCGAATTTGGAGTACAACGATACCCCATAGTTGACTCTTTGCTCCAAGGGCTTCGCCGATATTCAAGTTTTTGTGTCAAAAATTGAATTTGCAGGGGTAACTTTAAAAATTTATTATTCGAAAACGGTGAGAGATATTGCAAAACAGTTTTCAATGCTTTATTAAGGAAAGATCAAATTTTCTTATGGTATGCGTAACCGTCTAAAAAAGTGAGACTACGTCACTTTTTCAAAGCTCTCAACTTTTAAACTTTTAAATATCCGTAACTCCATTTTTTCAAATGGCACCCCCCATTTTGTTCTTCACCCTTGTTTTCCTTTTTCCCAGACCTTTAATTTGATGCAAAATTTCAAAAGCTGCTTCAAACGGTTTCCGAGATATTCCATGTTTTAGTTACTTCTTGTGGTTGATAAAAAAATTAAATCGCTTGATGTTATTCTTTTGTTTTTATTATGATAATGTTTAAACGTCAAATTTTCGCTGCTTTTCCTGGCAGCTATTCGATTACATTCACCGTGTATTAATATTAAATTCAAAAAATCTTCATTAGTGTAACCCAAACGATCCATTATTGACGAGAAGTATAAGTTCAAGCAGCGAAAATTTGACGTTTAAACATTATCATAATAAAAACAAAAGAATAACATCAAGCGATTTAATTTTTTTATCAACTTTCCACAAGAAGTAACTAAAACATGGAATATCTCGGAAACCGTTTGAAGCAGCTTTTGAAATTTTGCATCAAATTAAAGGTCTGGGAAAAAGGAAAACAAGGGTGAAGAACAAAATGGGGGTGCCATTTGAAAAAATGGAGTTACGGATGTTTAAAAGTTTAAAAGTTGAGAGCTTTGAAAAAGTGACGTAGTCTCACTTTTTTAGACGGTTACGCATACCATAAGAAAATTTGATCTTTCCTTAATAAAGCATTGAAAACTGTTTTGCAATATCTCTCACCGTTTTCGAATAATAAATTCGGTATTTCCGGAAGTTGCGCCATTTTGAAAATATTTTAGTTCAATTCATCATGTGCCAAAACCCTTAAAGGGCTTATCAGTTCAGCTTAATTTTCAAAGGTTTTCCATATCTTTCTAACTGACGCTCGTCAAGAATGACCCTGTATAGTTTGCCGATGTGCACGGATAGGTTGTAACGGCTTAGTTGCATTTATAGCGCTAGGAAACCCCTCTTGTAGAAAATAGATTCTCTACGGCACTGGTAAAAATTGTACTGTAACAATTAATTTTTCCTAATGAAATAATTAATGCCACGGCTAACTCAGTAATAGGTAACTTTTAATGACGTTTACCTTGCGAAAAGTTGGTTCTTGATAATTTAAAAAGTAAAACCTGATATCTACTCTGGTTTGATCACTCAAATAAATAATTTGGCTTGTTTGAACATTTTGGTGGAAATAAAATCGTGCACTTTTCCTTACATTTTAACACACACAAAAGGAGGGTATCAATGAACTTAAAATTCAAATTCACCATGAATGAGAGAAATCGCGAATTGCCAAAATCTTTTGTTTTGGTTCGTTTATCAAATAACTTACGTTTATTGATGAGTGGAAGTATTCTCCTAATGACATTTAATTCTCTTTGAAAGGTAGCCACAATTCAGAAAATTGGATGCTGGAGCGTCTTGTGCAATACAATCGGACCTTTTGTCTCGACTGGTAAATTTAACTGCTCGTTGAAGCGAATTTTGAAGGGCGGTTGACTACTTCAAATCAGGAACAAACTGAGCTTCAGTTAAACACTGGAATAATTTACCAATTTTTCACAGTAGGGAAATTGCCCTTATAACTCAGCAGTCAGCAATTATGCGAATTAAGTGTCTTTTTTACCAATAACCGCTTTATTCATGATCTATTTCTCGTATACACAATCTTGATTAATAAACTTTCGTGATAACAATTTATTTAAACGCACCTCCAATAATGAAACGAAACGAAAATGTTCGGAAGTAAAACTCCGCTCAACCTGTAGTTAGTCATAAATGGAAGAAAGACTGAATATAATCTCAATACTATTTCCCCACGTACGTTGTGTTTAAGGGCTTGTCGTTGAAATATTATTTGTTAACGGTTTTAGAAGTGGTATCATCTTGTTTTAGTGAAAGGACATATCCAGTATGGATGATATGGAAGAAACGACGATATGTGGTAGCAATAATGACCTTTTTTGGATTTTTCAACATATACGCGCTAAGAGTTAACCTCAGCGTAGGAATAGTGGCAATGACTACGAAACACGAAGTGAAATTGGAAAATGGAACTGTCACATATGTACGTAAGGACATTCTCGCTCAGATTTTGACCACCATGAAATATTGACCGATACTATCTTAATTTTAGGTCAGAGAATTTGATTGGGACTCAAAGGTGCAGGGATACGTACTGAGTTCATTTTTCTACGGTTATATTCTCACTCAAGTCGCCGGTGGCTGGTTGGCTGCAAAATTTGGTGGAAAACACGTCTACGGTATTGGTGTCGCCGTAACGGGAGCCTTGACCGTGATATCGCCATTCGCTGCTAAGCAAAGCTACTATTTACTTATAGCAATACGTGTCATAGAAGGCATATTTGAGGTAAGTAAACGCTAAATTTCTGTAAATAGGTTTACAATGATTGCGACAGGGAGTGACATATCCTTGTATACACGCGGTGTGGGCAGAATGGGTCCCGTTGCTGGAAAGAAGCCGCCTAGCGGCCATAGGATTCTCAGGAAGTTACGTTGGGACGGTCGTGGCGATGCCGGTGTCTGCAATATTGGCGGATAGATTTGGATGGGAATCGATGTTTTACGTATTTGGTACGGGTATACAATACGAATTACCGGCTCCCCCTGACCACCCCGGCTCGTTTTTATGGTCCTTATCTCACCCTTTCTGTTGGTTTCTTCTTTTTTTCTTCACTCTTTTTTATAACCGTCTTCAGCGCTTATTCCTCTTCATTTTTTCCTGCGCTTTTTCGTGCTTTCTATCTGTATTCTCCTCTTTCTCGTCATATAGCGTGCATTTTCTACCTTTTTCTTCTCTCCTTGTCTCTCCACATTTCCACATCTGAACCTAGTTATTATTTTTATATACTTCCGTCCTTCTTTTAGATGTCTCGGCTTCCTATATCCTTTGTTCCACCGTGAATTCCAGCTTCTCTATTGGTGCAATTATCTTTTTCCATACTCTTTCTCCTTTTATCTTGTCGTATTTATATTTTTTGTTTCGTATCTCGTATCTTACCACTTGCATCCTGTTCTTATTTTTACCTTCTCCGTCTTCTTTTCCTATGTGGTTTGGTGTTCTTCTGTTTAGGCTGAATATCCACTTTTAAAACCTTTTTAGTTTTCAAAGTTCCATCCAGCCCTTACAATTCCTTCCATCGCCATATTTCCGTTCCATATATCAGGCACTCTTTTTACCACCGTATCAAGTTAGTTTCTAAACTCATTGTTGCATTCCATTTCTCTCGCTTCATTATCATTTGCATATCGTATGTCTCACTTCTTCTGCTCTTTCGTCTTCGCACTCATTTTTCTCTCCCCCCTGCCCCAAATCTCATTACCTTCAATTTTTGATTATTTGGCTCCATTTAATTTCTTCTAAGTAGCTCCACATTCTTCGCATCTCTTCCTACATGCTACATCTGTTTATCCTCTCTATTACTGCTATTAATAGGTATAGCGCTCGCGCATAACAGAGACCATATCCTATTTCTTCCTACTACAATTTCTCTAAACTGATCTCCCCTTAATATTTTCTCCGTACCTACCTTTTGTATATGCAGTGAGTTCTTCTTAAAAGTGAACATACATAATGCAATAAATATGCATATAACTCTCGCTAGGAAAGATTGCCGGTCACACCACACCTTGTGTTGATCTGGAATCTATGTTTTTCTTAAGATACGATTGACTTCCGGAATAGGATGCCAATGTTGATCAAAAAGTCTTTTTGTTCAACATTGACATGATACTATCCCGGAAGTCGCTCACATCTTTAGAAAAACATAGATTGTAGACCAGGATCAAGTGTTCTGTGACCGGCAATCTTCCCTGGCGAAAGGTTTATATTAATTTTAAAAAGCAACCTATCAACTTAATTGGCGAGTCTTGTACTTCTCCATCTCTGAAATACGGGCCCCTTTTTAAAGCGACTATTACTATTATATCAATTACAATCAAGCATTTCATTTCACATCCATTAAATGAGATTGATCCATTTTTTTTAAGTTAACAAATGCATCGTCCGTCCACTTTTAAGAAAAACCCGCTCTATGTTAAATTACCATTACCTAGGTCCTTTATCAACTGATTTTTTTGGCATAACTCAGAAAAAACTGTACACTGCATAATGTATTATTCTAGGTTGTGTGGCATTACTGTGGTTTATAGCTTGGTGCATTATAGTGTCAGATTCTCCCAGCAGAGATCCTTACATAAGCAATTCAGAATTAAAACACATTCAGGAATCGTTAGGAGAACAACAAGTCACTCGAATCGCAAAACATCCTTGGAGAAGTATTTTTACCTCGATATCAGTATGGGCCATCATTGTGGCTCACTTTAGTGAAAACTGGGGAAACTATACTCTATTAACTCAATTGCCGATGTTTATGAGAGGTTAGTATGGCACATCCGTAACGGCTTACGCGAAGATAGCTTTAAGATGCACTGCATTTTCAATTGGCTTCGACGGGAATAATGTCCGCTATACCATACCTGGTCGTCTCTGTAGTAACGCCGAGTGGTGGTCACGTCGCTGATTGGATGCTAGAAAAGAAAATCTTTAACGTCACCCAAGTTCGAAAGATTTTTACCTGTGGAGCATACGTTGGACAGGCGGTCTTCATGATAATGGCAGTCTATATTTTAACACCAGCAGGAAGTATTACATGCGTATCAATTGCGGCTGGTCTAGGAGGGTTAATATGGGCAGGATTTGGGTAGATTGAACCGTACAATCCTTTTACTAATCACTATGCTTGTAGAGTTAACCATTTGGATATCGCTCCTCAGCATGCTAGCGTGCTAATGGGAATAAGCAACACTTTTGCAAGTATACCTGGAATAATTAGCCCAATTTTAAGTGGATATATTGTCACAAATGCTGTAAGTTTTACTTTAGAAAAGAAGTGCGGTTACATTATCCTAACCTTAGAGTGCGCATGAGTGGCAAACAGTTTTTGTTATAAGCAGCAGCGTGTACCTTTTTGGTGCCATATTTTATGGTATTTTTGCCAGCGGTGAATTACAGCCTTGGGCGATACATGTCGAGGATGATGTTATGGATCAGGGACATGAAGAACACAAACACGAGCAAAACCTCGCTCCCACGTCTAGCTAATGCTTATTTTGGTCCATGTTTCCAAGGATAACGATTATCATTTTAGAAAAAAACAGTTGAATCTGAATAGATTGTGTATATATTATATCTTGGGTATCTAGTCGATTAAAAAAAATTATTTCAAAAACTTAACAAACCACATGCGTACATATAATTAGATGTTGTCGTGTAAACCCTACGTCACGCAGACTCTTATTTTGGCCTTAGCGCCAGCGGTAATACTGAGGACTCATGCATTTTACGTGCAAATCTGGTGTATTTACGAATAAACACAAGGTTAGGTTATTTTATTTGAATTTGTATCTCGTTTGTTTTTTTTTTCATTTTAGAGTTGTTTGTAATAGCGTAGTTTTAGTTTTAATTTTTGTTTAAATTTTATCGCTTTGTAATTTTTCAATTTAGATTAGGGGTTAGAAGTAAAACACACTCTAGTCGTTTGCAATAAGAATTTTTATTATCAGGCGAAATCTAATTAACGCACGTGTTTTATCGCGAATATTTGCGCGTTTCATGTGGAGAGGTGAGGCCGCTTTGGTGCGTTACTCGAAATCTACCGTGAATAAAGTCTAATTGTGATTGGTGGTTTATTGGAAATTTCACTGAAGAAATATATTATTTTGTGATAGAAGTGGTGGTCGTTTAAACTAATCAAGGAAAAAAGGCGGCTGGTTTCGCGACGGTCGAGAACGAGGTCGAGGAGCAGGTACATCTTTTTACGAGCAGTCGGCACTATATGTTTAGTTGAAGACGCAATTCGTAATTTTTATAATACATTTTGTACAAAACCAACTGCCCGCGAGCGGGGTAATATATCCAAACAGGCATTGTAAGTTTTTCTTCCTTTCAGAGATTATATTTTTAATGAAACTTTAGCAGAATTTGATGGATGTTTCATAAAAATTGAAGAGAAACATGAAAGATACTTAAAATCCAGGCTAAATAGCTCTAAAATAATTTATTTCCAAAAAAAATTAGGTACCGGGCGAAACCGGGTTTTTCAGGCAGGTGAAATGAATAGAAATTGGGAAAAAATAATTAAAACAGCTGAATTTTTCCGCGGATGAAATCCCGGGGGTTGAAAGGGGTGGAAAGTGGTGTTTGAGCATAGGATAAAAAAGAGAATATTTAAGCAAATATTAAAGAGAAGCAAGAAGACAGATTTCGAAAAAATATTTATTAACATCCAAGATACCTATTGATTTATCATGCCAAAAACCGTGTACATCTTAAAACTGTTTTTCCAGGTGACTTTCTCGAATTTTTGCTATAGGAATATTTTTTTATTTTTGTTTATTAAAATATAAGTCTTCCTGCTACCCCGCGCACCTCTATACGAGGAAAAAAATAGATTTTCATCCCCTTGAAAAAGAGGTGTTTTTTTTCAGAAATCGTGAGATCTGGTAAACGGTTCAACTTTACGGGCCCAAAAAATTCTCTTTTTATCATAAAACAATATTTCCTCCAAATTTCAAACCCCTACGACTTTTTTCGCAAAAATAAGAATAAAAAATACTGCAGATACAACAAGTTGCTCGTTTTTTTAATTTCTATAAATTTTACATTGAACATTTTCGTCTAAAATTAATAGTTTTGCCACAATTTGCAAAACACCACTTTTCACCCCTTTCAACCCCCGTGATTTCACCCGCGGAAAAATTCAGCTGTTTTAATTATTTTTTCCCAATTTCTATTCATTTCACCTGCCTGAAAAACCCGGTTTCGCCCGGTAACTAATATTTTTTGTAAAAAAATATATAGCCTGGACTACTGAGAGGTAGCAAAGAATCTTTTTTTCAAAGTTTACAAAAACATTTCGTCCAAACTTTACAAGTGATGCATTTCAAGGTGCAATTATGCAAAGTCTCTACAAGACTTGATAAATAAATGCTCCTGTAACAAACAATACTTTTAAGAAATGTATAATGATATTTTTGAAAATACCTAAGTTTGTCTTGTTCTTAGTATCTAAGGGGATAGTAGAATAAAAGAATAAACGATTTTTTATTTCCCTAGTGGCAACGGGTGGCTTTCTTTAATTAAGCTCTATCCGACGGTATATTTACCTTTAAATTTGGAGGTAAGTAATGTAAGCCGTAGCTTATTAGTGTTATTTTGATGACGCAGGCAGACCAGACTACTTTTCCTGCCGCCTGTCAAATTACCGGCCGCAGATGTCACTTTTCCTGCCGCGTCTGTCACATTGCTAAATGTGTATAATGACTCCTGTCATCATTGACAGATTAGCATAAATCAAAACTTCCGTATGAAAATTGAAATTTGATATTAAAATAAGATTTTGGGTAGAGTGTTAGTACAAAACTCGTCAGTAAAATGACATTACTTGACTCGGCAATTTTCCTGACTTTTATGTAAATAACTATTACCCAAAATCGTCCTGAAACCTTCATTTTCATGCCTACTTTCTGTCAGGAAATTCCATGACAGAGGCAGAACACCACTTAATATTAATGTAACACCATTTTTCAAGTTAATTTTGTCCTTACGACGACTTGCAACAATCCATTTTTGAGAAAAGTTTTCAATTTTCCGAAATCGAAAGTATTTTATTTCCGTTCCTTTTGTTTTTCTATTAGAATTGCCCCATTGAGCCACTACAGAACCTGGCATTTTGGAAATTTCACTAATGATTAATTAGCTATCAACAAATTAACGCTAAACCTCGTAGATACAAGATACTTATAAGTTGCAAAACTGTCACGCGTGACATGTGTACTACTAGATCGGTCCTGGCGTAAACATTTGAATTTTGGCGCCACATGTTGGCAGGTGACGTAATGGCCCCAGTAATAAACGGTTGAAGTAAAAATAAGTGAGCAATACGTGTGTAAAGAGTGTATCGTTGGTTTCAGTTAGTTTTGGCAGGAGTTTTAATTTTGGTTTTGAGTTGCACAGTCGTTTCTCGACGGGTTTTTACAGAATTTTGTTACCGTGACCAGGATTTGATCTTGGTCCATTACGAGTTATTAAGGGAACAATTTTCAGTGGCAATGGTAAAAAAAACGCATTAAGTTGTTCCAAAAAACCAAGGAACAACACGTTCTCTGCGTCAATATTAACAGAGATGCGGAATTTTTGTCTGGGATTATAAGTTGGAACTTGGAAAGAAGGTTTTAGATTGCATCCAAGTTCTTTTGTGAGGCATATGAAATGGATCTACTGTCTGAGGGCTACAATAAAGGTTTGCGGTAGTGATTGAAGTACCCATCTCAACTATGTTCGTTTTGTGTCAGTTTGACGTTTTGTGCGCGATGGTTTGACTGAAATGCAGAATAAAATTGAGTACCCGGAGGTCTTTGAACATGAAAATATCGAAAATTTGGTCGTTGACCGCCACAGAGTGCACCTCTATCCAAACTCCTGCACGTTCAATTGACCGACACAACGAATTGGATACACCAAACATCACTGAACGGGCACACCTGAGGTAGGTACGTAAAATTTAGAACACAAATCGGCAAAAAGAAGCAGAATTGACATTGTAAAGTTGAACTCTCCGGTAAAATTGACGCAAATCATAAAAAACGAACGCAATTCACTACGTAACAATCATTGATGTTTATCATCATAAGTCAGTGACAAATAAAATCTTATATCTACAAGACCTATACCCAAGGAGGCTAGTGAAAACCTCTTTGCCATGTTAATACTGTCGAATACTATAACATCCATCTAAAGTATCGTGATACTATTCGTCACTATTAAATGTCAGCGCAAAGCGATGCAAGCTTTTTAGGGGAGTCGATGGTGTCTGTTCGTGAATATGAACTACCACCAGGAAGCAGTGTCAGACATACAATTTGTTTTTAATTAAATTTACAGCGTTTCTAAAAAGGTTAAATATCCTGACATAGAAACTTATTGGAATAACATTAATTGTTTACGGTCACTGTCATAAATATAACTTGTTTAGTCGAAGTATTACCGCTGACATACAACTGTGTACGCAGCTTCACATAATCAATGTGCTTGTAATGAGCAATGCAAACTGTTACAAATGCTTCATGGTCTATACACGAAAATAAATTACAATATTCATCATGTCTCTAGTAGCTATTTATTTCTCTGTGCAGCTTGCGTTTGAGGTTTATTGTTGAAATTTTATTTGTTAACAGTTTTAGAACTGGTAGCATCTTGTTGTAGTGAACGAACATATCCAGCATGGATGATATGGAAGAGACGACGTTATGTTGTAGCAATAATGGCCTTTTTTGGATTTTTCAACATATACGCGCTAAGAGTTAACCTCAGCGTAGGGATAGTGGCGATGACTACGAAAACGGAGGTGAAATTAGAAAATGAAACTGTCACACATGTACGTAAAAACCGTCACACCCAGATTCTGGCCACTACCGAATATAGAACTGTCACAAATGTACGTAAGAACATTCACACCTAGATTTTGGCCACCATGAAATATTTTAGATCAAAAAATTTGATTGGGATTCAAGGGTGCAGGGATACGTACATAGTTCATTTTTCTACAGTTATATTCTTACTCAAGTCCCCGGTGGGTGGTTAGCTGCAAGATTTGGTGGAAAATATGTCTACGGTATTGGTGTTGCGGTAACGGGGGCCTTGACGGTCATTTCACCATTCGCTGCTAAACACAGTTACTATTCACTTATAGCAGTACGTGTCATGGGAGGCATATTTGAGGTAGGTAAACGCTTAATTTCCTTAAATAAAAGTTTACAATGATTATGGCAGGGAGTGACGTATCCTAGTATGCACGCGGTATGGGCTGAATGGGCCCCGCTGCTTGAAAGAAGTCGCCTCGTGGCCATAGGATTTTCAGGGTGTTACGTTGGGACACTGGTGGCGACCCCTCTGTCTGCAATATTGGCGGACAGATTTGGATGGGAATCGATGTTTTATGTATTTGGTACATGTATATAACACCAATTAGTAGCCGCGTTTACTTAAGTCAAAATGAATTTAAATTATTTACGTTTTGAGCCAATTATTACTATTCATTGACCGCCTTTCGACAGAACATTATACGGACATCAGAATGTTTAAATATCATTCACGCAGAACTCTGACGTAAATATTCCTTCCACGATTGTACTGCTTTCACCTCTCTATTTCTTATTTTTATCCTTCCGTTCTTCCTTTGGATATTTTGGCACTCCGTTATATATTTTGTTCCTCCGCGAAATCTATATTCTCTTCCACTATTCTATACTTTCTCCCCTCTCTCTCACCCTCTCACCATAACCATTCCTTTCTTAATATTTTTTGTTTCCAACAATTTCCTTTAATGTTGCTAGGCATTCATTCACAAATTCGCTTTTTCTATCCTCCTCATATCTTACTACCTTGCGTCCTGTTATCCTTATCTTCACCATTGTTACATCTTCGTTTACTGTGTGGTTTGGTACTGTTCTGTTCAGGATCAATACTCACTTGTAACCCCTTCTTATAGTGTTCCGTCTAGCTCCTGCAGATCCTTTAATGTCTACATCTCCTTTCCATTATTCCGTCCTCCCCCCTTCCCAAATCCCTCAATCATTTAGTTCCATTCCTCCTTGCTTTTACTTTAGGCAAATCAAAAGTATTTCAATACTAAATATTTTGTCGTCCAGCACGAGCAAATACTAAATGTAGATACAAGATACCTACTTTGACAAGTACCTTTCCTAGAAAGCAATAAATCCTAATCACCACTTTAAAGTTAAATGTTTATAAATGGCAAACGCACATTGCAATTGATAGACGCGATACCGGAAAATGTTTTTTATTTCTTTCTAACACGACTAACACTCCTCTATACATTTGCAGTCTGAGAAAGACGTAAATGAGTCTAAAACACGTATAAAACTAATAATTCCCAGGGTATGATCTCCCTCCCTCTCTAAGAAGGGGATTCCATACCACCTAGACCCGCCCTTTATTTTCAAAAGTATTCAAATACTATCCAAGGTATTTAAATACTTTAAAAAGGATTTAATTACTTTCAAAGTATCCAAATACAGTAAAAAGTAATCAGATACGTTTCTTTCAATCCCTTTGATAGTTTTTAAATACTTTCCATTGAATACTTTAAAAATATTTAAATAGTTTTCAAAGTATTAGAATAACTTAAAAAGTATTTAAATACTTGGTGAAGTGTTCGAGTAAAATGCTGCGTCCATAAAAGTATTAGTTACAAAGTATTTGAATACTGTAAGTATAAAGTAACTCAATATCAAAAAGTATTTACAACATACAATACTGCCCAGTTCTGGGACAATGACAGGGATCACAATTTCAGGAAATTTCCTGTGATGACGAAATTGTCGAGCAATCATTGAATACGAGGTACTCACCTCCCAAACGAAACATATGCGAACCTCGAGGTATCTAAAAAATGTTGGCTTTGGCCCTGTATCACCTGATTCTTTTGCACCACTCAGACGTAGCACTCTATAAACTGCATATTTATTCCTTAGGTTGTGTGGCGATACTGTGGTTTGTAGCTTGGTGCATTATAGTGTCAGATTCTCCCAGCAGAGATCCTACCCTAAGCAATTCAGAGTTGAAATACATTCAGGAATCCTTAGGAGAACAGCAAGTCAGTCGAATCGCAAAGCACCCTTGGAGAAGAATTTTTACCTCTGTACCTGTGTGGTCCATTATTGTGGCTCACTTTAGTGAAAACTGGGGAAACTATACTCTATTAACTCAATTGCCGATGTATATGAGAGGTTAGTATGACACACCTGTAACGGCTTACGCGAAGATAGCTTTAAGATGCACGGCATCTTCAATTGACTTCGACGGGAATAATGTCCGCTATACCCTACTTGACCGCGTCTATAATAACGCCGACTGCTGGTCACGTCGCTGATTGGTTGCTAAAAAAACAAATCTTTAATGTCACCCAAGTTCGAAAAATTTTTACCTGTGGAGCATACGTTGGGCAAGCCGTGTTCATGATAATGGCAGTCTATATTTTAACACCAACAGGAAGTATTACATGCGTGTCAATTGCATCTGCTCTAGGAGGCTTAATGTGGGCAGGATCCGGGTAGATCGAACCGTATAATCCCGTGCTGTCACTAATCTCTATACTTTTAGAGTTAACCATTTGGATATCGCTCCTCAGCATGCTAGCGTGCTAATGGGAATAAGCAATACTTTTGCAAGTATACCTGAAATAGTTAGCCCAATTTTAACTGGATATATTGTCCCAACTGCTGTAAGCTTTATTTTAGAAAGCAAGTATGGTTACATTATACTAACTTTAGAGTGCGCATGAATGGCAAACAGTTTTTGCTATAAGCAGCTGCGTATATCTTTTTGGTGCCACATTTTATGGTATTTTTGGAAGCGGTGAATTACAGCCCTGGGCGATAAATGTCGAGGCTAATGCTATGGATCAGGAACATGATGAACGCAAACATGAGCAAAACCTCGCGCAGACATCTGGCTAATGCCAGCACACGTGGTCATCGAAAATGTATGCTGAATTCATGGATATCGAGTTCATTCGAAAATTTGGTTGATAAATACCTTTTTGACATCTTTTGTAAAAGTTGATTAATATAGTGTAATGAAGGGTAGTAAAGGGTAGTATTTATAAGAACAAGGGAAGCAGCTAATTGATTTGGTCTAATTGTTAGTCAGAACTCAGGAGAAATCTACTGTAAACTCAACTTCCATCACTAACGTCCCTCTGTAATCTACGCGTATGGTCATAAGGGGTGGCATGTAAACAAACATCGCGACTGCTTATCCGCGATCATCGCCTTATCAACCCCGAGCTGGCGCATAAATCTCATGGACCTCCGAACACTCCGGTTGGCTATTGGGATTGAATGCGCCAGATCATGTCATGAAGGGTTAAGATGGAGCTCATACCTATTTGCGGTTACGCCGCGCACATGCGTTATCTAGGATACACATCCCGCCTCTACCCTCTGACTAGGATCCTCGACCAATTATAGAGCAACTACCATCGACCTATGTCTCTCATTGCCCTCCCTGCGAAGACACATGCAGGTCAGGCTCACCCCCATACTCTTTTTGCTAGCAATGAGGCTTTGAATTATTCATATTGGGTCGACACCATCCCCTACCCTTGCCACATTTATCAAACAGGGGTTGACATTTTACTTTTTCATCATTATTAGGGACTACCATAAAATATCGTTCTTACAATATAGACACGGTGGCGAACGACTAGATGTATAATTAATGCGGATTGCTTCCTAAAATTTTGTAGGTACAGAGAAGTTATACGTTTTTAAATCATGAAAAAACCGAGGAAAAAACTTTAATGCTGGTTATGGGAAGAAGCATAAGGATTCTTGGTGCAGACGCCGACAACGGTAAACGTTTCGACTTACCCGAGCGCAAGATCCCTATGTGGGCCAAAAAACGCACCATTGTACAGGCAAGGACTAAAGTATTCATTGCGGTTACTTCAAGAGGCACCTGTGATGGTGTATTTGTTCAAGGAAACTTACCAGCAGTTCCTGGCAAAGAGCACCTCTTGGATTGCTGCATAACAAACTGCAACGATGGGTACGTATGGATAAACAACTTATCTCAACACGTTATTGAGGTACCTAAGTCCCAAATTATATCGAAAATGATTTAAAATTTAATATCAACTTGACGCTTTGGCAAGTTTTAATTAACGAATACGGTGATTGTTTTGCCCGAAGCACCAATGAATTCGGAAAAACAGATGCGTTGAGAATGTCGATTAAATTAAACGATTATGGTTTTGTTGTTTATGGTCCCTATAGGCTCTCATTCGATGAACGAAAAGTCGTGAGAGAGATAGTTGACGATTTGTTGCACAACAACATAAGTCGCGAATCGTATTCACCGTACTCTAGTCCGGTATTGTTAAGGAAAAAAAGAACGTGACCACCGTATGTGCGTTGATTACCGAGCTCTAAAAAGAAAAACGGTTAAAGATAAATTCACATTTCCCCATGTTGGTGATTTTCTAGAAAAATTGAAGAACTACTGTTATTTTACGAGTTTAGATCTTGCGAGCGGATATCATCAAATCCCAATGGAAGAGTCTTCCATACCAAAGACTGCATTCGTAACGCCTGACGGTCATTACACATGTTTAAGATGTCCGTTTGGTCTTAGTGTTTTTCAAAGAACCATCAATAGAGTTAGGAAATTGAAGGTATGGGAAAGCCCTAGGAAAAGCCTTAGCCTATATGGATGACATATTGCTACCTTCAGATAGTTTCGAAAGTGGACACTTTCAGAAACACTCGACGTGTTTGACCTATGACTGTGAGGTAGTATCTTGAGAATGAAATAAGATTTTTTTACTAATTTACGTTTTCATTGATGGTATGCGAACAAATTTTCATCCATGTGGAACTGAATGCATGTGCGAAATTCTCCAACAAGTTTCATTTGTGTTCGGCGCAAAATTCAAATCGTTGGAAATCTCTGCGTGTACCATGAGAAACTGATGTTACGTAATGTTAGAATTTATAATGAGCGAGTTTAAATGATAACATAACCCAAGGTAAATGAATTTTTGTGTATCGTAAGCGTTGGTGATCGAAGGTGTAGAAAGGTATTGTGTACGGTGCTCTCAGTATGCTACACAAATGTCGAACTTATCACATTAACAATAACAACAATACAGATACAGCAGAAACCAGGTACATATTATATTATAAAATTAAGATTTCTTGTTTGGCGAAAATGTTTTGTTGATAATTGGTATCGCAACGCATTAGGTAACAATAGAAGTACACATTTTGAAATGTGTAGGTATAAAAGTGTAAAAATAAATATAGGAAACAGTTAGCAACAACAACGTAACTTTTACTAACTTATACATTTATAATTGCTGACAAATTTAATCATTGTGAAAAATAAGGAAATCCCAATGTCAATTTACCATACTTAATACACGCGTACAGGTTTTATGATTTAGATAACTCCTCATAGTAAAACCAAAGTCAAATGAACCGATAATTTTTCTGTTAAAATCCGCAAGTGGTTTTATAATACATGGTTTCAAGTATTTGTGTATGTAGTTCCCTTTTTCAGTGGTAGTTTTTATCACAGAAATTGACCGTATCTCCACAATCTGAACCTGGAAGAAGGCGTTACGAATGATAGCTAATGAATTGTTTTTACGAAAGTAGTTATGTTACCATTTATAAAATGGTTTGAGAGAAATATTTCAAAAGCCGGAACCGGGGTCAATGGCGGTTTTACCAGCAGGCTGAGTACGATGGAACCTAATGCGGCAGATTTGTCCCAAACATTTTTGTTTTACAAAAATCAAAAAACATTCTTATACTGGGTGTGTTTTTTTTCCATTTTCACTATGGAGATCTCATAAACCGTAGCAGATACAAAGTTGCTTAAATGGGCAAACTGAACTCTCGTCCAAGAGAAAGCACTCAGACGATTGGTATGCAGAAATACCGCTAACTTTAGAAAGTTAACTAACTATTTCTACCGTGGAAAAAATATACCCGTTGCTACTATAATGGGTTCATATACTGGTACAATTCGTCTTTATCAGTCCTTGGAAATGCTGTAGTAGGTAAGTATATCGACATTGGCTTCACGACATGTACCTAAACGTGGTGATATAAACAGCGATTCTGATAAATAGATTTCAGTTTATAAATACAGGTGATGTTTTCAGCAGATATCTGAAGATTTGTATATTTTAGTGATCAAACTTATCCGGTATGGATGATATGGAAGAAACGACGGTATGTTGTAGCAGTAATGGCTTTCTTTGGGTTTTTTAATGCATTTGCATTAAGAGTCAATCTTAGCATAGGGATAGTCGCGATGACTGCCAAACACCAAGTCATTCTAGAAAATGGTACCACTACATACGTAAGTACGATCATTTTTGTTATCGAACAATCTACCGAATGTCATGTACAGGGAATTTTTAAAATGGAATAATGGCTATAGACAACCCACAGTACACGCTACAAACGAGTGTTGTTTTTAAACTCTTTCTTTTTCCAAGAATTTAATTTAAAATGAAATCCCTAAAATTTCCGAAACCCGTTTTAATGCTCTTCTCGAACTTTTGAGACCCCCCTCGACTCTTTCCTTTTTAAAATTAATTAAATACGCGTTCGGCATAGTTCGTGTCGAATCGCTCACTTGACTATAACCATCTATTCCAGAGCCCATATGTATGCATTTAAGAAAAATTCCCTGTATATTTGACATATTATATTTGTTAATGCAAGACAGCTGTTTTTCTTAAAAAAAAGCAATGAGAAAATGTTATGTATGCTGTGTTAGAGCTATTGTTGAATCCTCATCATTAGTTTTCTGCTAATGCAGATCTCTGATTACTCTTCTCTACGACTTCATGTCCTCTACTCTTCTCTTTACTTCTTCATATCCTTCTTGACCTCCTTCAGGACGTCAACCAATTTCCTTCTTCTTCTTCTTTAGTACATGCCCAATTCAGTTCATTTGCCTTCGCTTTATGATCTTGGAATACATCATTCCTTTCCAATTCTACTTAATACTTCTACGCTACTTATCTTACCAGTCCATTTGATGTTCATCATTCTTCTCCATATCACCTGATGTCTTTTCTTTGTTGTGCACGATTAACTATCGTATATGTTAGAATACTCCAACCAAAACATTTTACCAATTTCTTTCTTAACTGAATTTCCATCTTACTGCATAAAATCCTCCTCTCGCCGAAAAACAATCTGGTAAGAGAGATACTATGACTCTCGAAATTCCTCTTCCAATCGAGATATGTATTCAAAGTCAAGAATAGGAGAACGAGCCTTGTTAAATTAACATCTTACCCAATGTTGATAGCTCTTATATAGAACCACTATGATAATTACCAACTTTCAGGTTAAAGAATTTGATTGGGATTCGAAGGTGCAGGGATACGTACTTAGTTCCTTTTTCTACGGTTACATTCTCACTCAAGTCGCCGGTGGTTGGCTGGCTGGAAAATTTGGCGGAAAGCACGTATTCGGCATTGGTATTGCAGTAACAGCAGCGCTTACCATCGTGTCCCCATTCGCCGCCAAGCAAAGTTACTACCTTTTCATGGCGTTGCGGGTAATAGAAGGTATATTTGAGGTAACAATAGGGTTGATTGAAATGAATTTGCAAACTATGTTCTGGATAGGGTGTTACGTATCCGAGCATACATGCGGTATGGGCAGAATGGGCACCACCACTAGAAAGAAGTCGCCTAGCAGCCATTGGTTTTTCAGGAAGTTACATTGGAAACGTTATTGCGATGCCTTTGTCCGCGTTATTAGCGGATAAGTTGGGATGGGAGTCGATATTTTATATTTTTGGTATGTATATACAACTTTCGCTTACTTTACGATCAATTTATGGCCAATTCTAGGAAGTGTAGGCCTACTATGGTTTGTATGCTGGTGCACAATCGTTTCGAATTCTCCCAAGCAGGATTCTAAAATAAGCAATTCTGAACTTAAATACATTCAGGATTCCTTAGGAGAACAACAAGTCAGTCGAATAGCTAAGCATCCTTGGAAGGAGATTTTCACCTCATTGCCAGTCTGGGCAATTATTTTCACTAATTTTAGTGAGAACTGGGGCAACTATACTCTGCTAACTCAACTACCAACGTTTATGAGAGGTTGGTACAGCGTATACATGATAAAGGTATACGAATTGCTTTAAGACGTGCTGCACTTTAACTTGGCATCGACGGGCATCATGTCCGCAATACCCTATCTCGTCCTGGCGATATCGACTCAATGCGCTGGACAAATTGCCGATTGGTTTCTAGTAAAACGCATTTTCAATATAACTCAGGTTCGAAAGATCTGTAACTCTGTGGCATTCCTAGGGCAAGCAGTGTTCATGTTGCTGGCAGTGTATGTATCATCCCCTTATGCTAGCGTTATATGTCTAGCATGTGCCTACGCTTTAGCCGGATTTATATGGGCGGGATTTGGGTAAGTTTCACATTTGATGGATTAGATTGCTAACCGCGATATTTTTAGAGTCAACCACTTGGATATAGCTCCCCAGCATGCCAGCGTGTTGATGGGCATAGGTAATACGTTCGGAACTGTCCCTGGAATAGTTTCCCCTATCCTAACAGGACATATAGTCACAACACAGGCAAGTGTCTAGTAGTTTCAACAGTTGAAAGTAATCAACCTTTTTTCCTTTAGAGCGTAAAAGAATGGCAAATAGTTTTCATCACAAGCACTTGTATTTATATACTTGGTTTTATAGTTTATGTTATTTTTGCTAGTGGTGAATTGCAACCGTGGGCCATACATACTGAAAGTAAGGATAAAAACGTCATTGCAAGTGAGAAACACACGGACTAGCAAAACGACACATCCAGCTAGTTAAAGTTTTAGAACTGTTCTATAGTTTACCTGTATTTATAATTCAAAAATCGCGCCGGTTTTTACTTTGGGGTTATCTCAAATCATTAGTTTTACGTCGATACACCACTAAAATCCACGAATTAAAGAAATAAATTCGACGAGTTTTCGGCGAAATCTAAATGCAAGTTTGTGAAGCAGTAATTAACAATGTTACGAAGAGAGTTTTGGAATTCCAGCAAAGTAGAAGGCTTAAAATGCTTAAAATGGGAATGCTCGTTGTCCACGTTAAATGTGTTTTAGTATACATTTCTTTTTGTAATATATGATACCAGCGCGATTTTTGAATCAACCATTAGTGTTGATCAAAATATAATTTTTTCAATGATTCTAGTTTATAAGTAGGCAGCGCTAATATTTATTATGCAAGACGATAAAGGAATATTTTAACCATTGAGTGAAAGGTGTTAATGTCACTCGTGAATTAACTTTCACGAGATGGTTAGTTTCCATTTATCGTCGTACATAATTCAAAACTTTATTTTATAGCAGAATCCATATAAATCATTGTAAAGATTCTGACAATTCTGAATGACGTCAAGAAAAGCAAGCGTAGGTACTGCCGTCGCGATCGTTTCCATAGAAACAGAATTTTTGTATGTTCTGAACGTCATTTTATATCGTGCATCGTGAAAATAATGTCATTAGAATGCACAATCATTTGTTTCATTTTATCTACCCTTCGCCTATTCTTTCAAACGTATTAACATTGTATTTAATAAATACAATGGTATTAATATGTCAATTTAACGTATGCTATAATAGTTATCTATGTATTAAAGGCATAAAATAGTGATGTTTATATTCTCGATAGCTTTTTAGTCGCCCGATAGTATAAACATCAGTTTATGCCCGTGGTACATACAAAACGTTATATCTTACAATTAGTTTTCTTCGTCAAAGTAAATATCCATCCATTAGCATAGAAAATGACAAAGTTGTGAACTTAGAGACATTTGTGTATGGCAGGGTCCTATACCCGATGCCATATTCATTATAGCAATCGCAAATTATAGGGTAACGCTTAGCGGCGAGCCTTGGAGAATATCATTTTCAAGGACCTTCGACGTCGAGAAAGCGTTCCCACAGTTCACCTTTATCTCTCTCAAATAGTCAGCAAGAAAGAGAGGCAAATTTTCCCCTACTTCCCCAACTATCCAAGTTTCTTAAGACATCGTATCGCCATCACATATCATAGGCCTTTTCAAGATCAAAAAATATAGGCACAATATTAGTGGAGCGAAATCGGGCCAAAAATGTGACAAAATTTTTTTTCGAGGTATAACAAGATCAGACCTAGTAGAGTATGTAGATATTGTAATTCTGCATCCGAAATGGTCTTTTACGACATTTTCCGGTGGTCATGACATTTAAGCGATTCTAACTATGTCTATTATATCGAAAACATGATATAACTACATTATCATAATTGCCATCAAAGTCGATAAATCGATTATTGAGAAGCGTAAACTTCACTCTGCGAGAAACTTTTTTATTATTTGAGGAATCTCTATACATGTATCGTACGAATTGTAGCTGATAGTCACCAAAAGTTTTTGGTGAAAGAATTTTAGTGATAGGTCCTACCGTTTTCGAGTAAATGATATTTCTATATGCAGCTCGTGCACGTCCGCGATCCGCCTAGCAGCGCACTTGCTTGGCTGCTATCGGCGCCGGCTTGTCACCCGTAGTGGAGCGAAATCATGCCAAAAACTATACTGCCAAATGGAAAACGGAGCTGTTCTGCATATTATATTGAAAACGTAATGTAACTACATTATCAGAAAAAATACGAAAGTCGATAAATCAATTATTGTGCAACATAAACTTCACTCTGCGGGAAATTTTTTTGAATCATTGGTAGTTCGTTTTTTTGCTTCGGAACTGCTTCCACAGTAAAATGATATCCAAAATTCTTTTCCATGGACCCAAAACCTCCCATTTTATCTAGTGTTAGTTTGCATTGTTTGCAGTGGTACCACACATTTAATTGGTATATGGATCTAGAATTTTACTGAGTGTATTGTTGACACAACACATTTGGTCTAAATCGAAAGTTTACAAGTACACACCTTAAAAAAATAATGTAAGAAAGCACCATTACAGAAGTGCCGAAGTTCCGACGATTGTTTATTAGTTGTTTTTGCTAAATGCAATCTTAGGTGATTCAATGTTGCAATATTTTAATTTTTATTCCGGTAAACCAGTATAGTACGAGCAAAGAGTACTCTTTGGTACGAGTATATATCGTATTACTAATTCTAAGGCTTCTTTTTGTAGCAGTTCATCTAATTTGGGTATAAGTCTTTTAAAGTAGCAATATTGGATGTTAGTAAATCAACCGCAATTTTCTCGCGTATTTTGAATAAGGACATTCGTTATGTCACAACCCACTTGAGCATGAATTCCCAACAGGCAGGCGGTTCAAAATTTCATTCAATAAAATTCTAGATGCACATGGTACGGTGAAAACGAATGCGGGAGTTATTCATAATAACCGGTGACTGTGATAACTGAAGTAGGAAAATGTGTTGAACAGCCTCCAGAATGATTTTTTTAAAATTCAATATCTTCGTAGTTTCCTAAATGGCAGTAGTTTCCCTTCCCCTAAAGTTTAAAAAGGAAATGAACCCTAAATTTATCACAATGACATTAATTACTTTCACCGTAACACATACTTTTACCAATTAAACGTGTGGTACCGCAGGAAACAATGCAAACTAACACTCGACAACATCGAAGATGTTGGATGGTCCATGTAAAGTAATATTTGGATACCTGTCCATCTTACTGTGCTAACAGAAACTGTAACACTAGAAGTACTGCCAACAATAATTCAAAAAAATTTCCCGTACAATAATTGATTTTTTATTATACCTGAATCACAATCTCCGTTTTAAACACTCAAATGCGTGCGAAAAAGGGCCTTTAAAACACACGTGCTTTAAAGTTGCTAAGTAACAATACTTCAAGTATGACTTTTGAAACTGTCATCTGGATGAAATAAAAAATCTTAGGTCGCTTTCTATAAATGCAGAACATTTCTTTGGCTTTTGTACCTATCCTTTCGTTGAAGCTTTCACAAACGCGCGTAATTTAGGGTATGCTTCCAAATCTGTTCCACTTTTTAATCGCAGCATTGCTTTAAAGTTTTGAATAAATGCACCAAAATATAGAAGATTTAAATACTTTTGACATTTCCTTCATATATGCCAGCATTAGTGTGGTGTCACACTATGCGTTTTTACCGTTCCCGCTAAAACGGATGCGGTTTGACAGGATGAGATCTACTTGTCACACTATTCCGGTCTAACGGGATGCGTTTTTGCTATATTTTGGCAGTCTAAGTAGTGTCATGCCTCAATTATTGTTAAAGATGGTTTGTGCGTTTGAGGCGGAGGGGTTATTGCGAAAGCAGAATATCCTCAATATTGGATTGATCTTTTTAATTCAGGACGAGAATCTAATAATAAAAAATTCGAATGAACAAGAAAATTTTTTTTGTATATTACCGTCCAAAAATTCAATTTCTACCCATGATTTCTCCCTACAGTTTTTATCTACATACTCTTTAGATTGTTTTTCCCACAGTGCAGTTTTTGCATGCACGCACTCGATGAATAAACCGACATCAAACATTGTAAACCTAAGTGCTTGTTCACAATGGACATAAGCGTTACAAAAACATAACAGATACATAAAACATAATATTGACATAAGACATAATTTTACGCAGGTGGAGAAAGTGTTCACAGTGACCGTAAGATTATAATTATCTGCGTAGGCGCAAATCCAAAATTTAAACTCGGCAAAACGTCAAGAACATAGCAATATTATTTGTGGTGTATATGTGTGTGTCACTGAGATGGAAATTTCAACAGTTTTATTGCTTTTACTGTTAAGAAGACAGAGAGACAAAGTTGTTACAAAACAAAAACGGCGTTGGTGGGTCAGACCTATAAATCGATACCGAGAGAAAAGGGGAGAATTTAAGAATTTAAGCGTGTCTAGAAATGAAGCTGCATGATGAAGAATGGTTTTTTTCATACACCAGGATTATTCGATCACCTATTAACCTTATATCTTTTGTCCCCTTTATTAAACAATTAGGGTTTTAATCGCACCAAACTAATCAGTAATTCGACGTCTATATGTTTTCCATGCCGTGTTGGATATAATCAAAGAACAACACACGAAGGACCAAACAACACCAAACTATGAAATAATGCGCCAAAAACTGTGTGCCAATTTAAAAATAACCAGATTATGTTGGCAGAAGAGATGTCATCGACGTTAGACGTAGTAACTGAAATGTCAAACCAACAGCGCAGTGCTGCATCTTTGCACCCAACAGAAATACACCTAATTCCACTAGATTTTTCATAAAACCTACGTAAAGTTGAAACCGACCCAACTTTATGTATTTTTTATGTACCCTTTCGGTAGGACATAAAACATACGCAAACATTTACAAAAAAATAAAAATTATGTAATCATTGTGAACACCTACGTTGGTTTGCTACTATTCAACATTATGAATTATGCATCTGTTATGTTTTTGTTACGCTTATGTCCATTGTGAACAAGCACTAACAAAACACCCGATTGCAACGCTCAGTATGACAACTGATGACAACCAACATGCAACAACACGTGGTTTCATGTCATTGTGGTTGTCATGTCATCCTGCGCAGCGGCAGCAGGATGCGGTTGCATCCGGTTGGTGCGGCGAAAACGCATATATGTGACTGGTACCATTTAATAACGTGTGATATTATCATCCCATCAAACAGGAGCGTTTTAGCGGGAGCGGTAAAAACGCATAGTGTGACACCACATTTAAGACTGTATTCGTAAGTAACGTCCTATTCATCCATGGAAACAACTTTTCATATTCTTTATAATAGGCTTTACTGGAGTTGGATTTTACACCTACCAACGTTTGTTTAGATTTTACAACAATCGATTTAATGGACGGTGTATTATCTTTTTCAACGGAAATCGTTTAATTCACAAAGACGATGATTTTTATAAGCAAACGTCAAGTGACATTTCCATGGCAATCGTGAAATTACGAACACCCAGCCCACTTAATTAGACACGTATATTTGAGTATAACGTCAATATGACTTCATTGTATTTCCTATTTTTAAATTATACTGCAGGTATAATAAAAAATACTATAAGATACACGTGTATAATTGGTCTTTAAAGCACTTGCAACGTTAAAGGCACTCCGCTTTGCGTCGTGCCCTTAAACTCGTTGCGCGTGCTTTAAAGACTTGATTATACACTTGTATCTTAATATACTATATCGACTTTCGTATTTTTTTCTGATAATGTAGTTGGATTATGTTTTCAATATAATATGCAGAACAGCTCCGTTTTCCATTTGGCATTATAGTTTTTGGCATCATTTCGCTCCACTACAGGTGACAAGCCGGCTATCCGGCCGGCGCCGATAGCAGCCAAGCAAGTGCGCTGCTAAGCCGACCGCGGGCGCGCACGAGCTGCATATAGAAATACCATTTACTCGAAAACGGTAAGACCTATCACTAAAATTCTTTCACCAAAAACTTTTGGTGACTATCAGCTACAATTCGTACGATACATGTATAGAGATTCCTCAAATAATAAAAAAGTTTCTCGCAGAGTGAAGTTTACGCCTCTCAATAATCGATTTATTGACTTTGATGGCAATTATGATAATGTAGTAATATCATGTTTTCGATATAATAGGCATAGTTAGAAGCGCTTACTATTTGGCATTATAGAACTGAAACAATTATAACAATATCTCATGCGGGAGCCGAGATATTCCGGGGTAAATCTCTAAAAACATAAATTTTTATGAAGACACTTTTGAGTGGTTTTTTGACTATAAAAAATGTCATGACCACCGGAAAATGTCGTAAAAGACCATTTCGGATGCAGAATTACAATATCTACATACTCTACTAGGTCTGATCTTGTTATACCTTCAAAAATTTTTTTCCCATTTCTAGACGACTTTTTTGCCCGATTTCGCTCCACTTTATGTTCCCTGTTCCCAAAAGTTGCGCTGTACGCTTTCCAAATACACTAGCTGATCAGTGGTGGATCGGTTTCGGCAGAAACCCGCCTGTTGGTGTAGTACGAGTCAATTTAGTTCTAACTACCATATCAGTCCACTGTTAACCATCCTTTCCAGAAGCTTATACCCATACAACAAGCTACACTTATGGACCTATAACTCGAAGGGATCAGTGGATCCTTACCGTATTTGAGGATAGGAGCGACAATGGACTCTTTCCATTCACTGGGTATGTATTTTCAGTCCAACACCGATTATAAGTCTAGTAAGAACTCTCAAATGGATAATTCTAATAATACTCGTGGGAATGGAATAGATATTTTGGGTTTTGTAATCAAAATGAATGTGAATGCGGCGTTGGTAGTGTATTTGTGCAGTCTGACTAAGTGGTATATAGTTGGGATTCCCTCTATAAATAATAGTTCACATTTGCCTAAACGGGAAGTTCGGATTTGATGCTGTACGCCAGTTGTATATTTCTCTTTCAGTTTTCAATTAAGTGCAATCTGTCAAAAGGTTATTTATTTTGCGTACGATTTACATAACTCAGTTCACATAACCTTGATTATTTCTATAAAAATGTATTCTTGTAGTTGTTTGTGATTAATTTAATTGTGATTAATTACCAAAATGATTGTGTCAAATGCAAACGCGTCATATTGCAGTTGGAATAATTAAAGATGTGTATTTTTTTCGTTCTTATTTCTTTTACACAATGGCCCGTATGAATAAAAGTAAGCAAATGCTTATACTTGCAAAATTCAAAGTAAATACTCGTAACTGCCCCTTCATACTGGTCTGTTTAGCATGGTTTAGCAGCGCTGCACTGCGTCCTGTCCTTCTGCTTAGAAGCGCTGCTAAGTCGCCCAGTGCGAAGGAGCACTTACGAGTATTTACTTTGAATTTTGCAAGTATAAGCATTTGCTTACTTTTATTCATACGGGCCAATATATCGTCTCCAAGTCAATATAGTTACATTTTATTTTATCTAAATCAAGAAATCCAAGTTATAATTTTATCTGAATAAGAATTCCGTTTTTAAAGATTACAAAATACAATTTAAGAACGAAAGAAGTTTCAAAAATGTTAACATAAAGCCTATCAAGGGAGCTGTCATCCCTATACGCCTATTACCTTTGGCGACAAAACTACGTAGAATACCAACTCCGTCCATGTGTGGACATTTTCCCAGCGTATTCTCTAGCTGCAGAGCCACCAGGCCAATGAAAACTGTAATGTGGAGGTAGTGGGTGAATCCAAAATACGTTCCCAAAGCTACGTATGCGAATAATACAATGAATGACAATAATTAAACTTTGTACATACACTATGATTTGATTTAAATGAGCTTTTTAGTAATAATTAACAAGTCTCCAGTCGTAGCTCTCGAATGTTGTGCATAGCCGTTATAAGCGAGTGTTGATATGTTCCCCAAAACTGATAGCTACCAGGTTAATAATAACCAAAATGATGCAGAGGTCGGGTAAGATATGTAATATATGTTTTATGAATGGCCTATGTAAATTGTCAACACGCGCCGTACCATCTCGCCCTGTCTTCAACCATCGTCATCTTGCCACCGTCGCGTTGACATGAAAAGTTACGACATACGTGGGCAGTAACTCATATCTACTACGCACGTTTTAACATAATGACCATGGATATAGTGGTCCAGTCGTTAGGTGAAAATCGGAGGGTTCTAGTGTTTGGTAGTGTTGCACTCCATATATCAAAAAAAATCTTATGTTAACTTAAAGGGGCCTGAAAATCACGAAACTGATTAAATTTTTTCCGCTGACGATAATGAGTAATCCTAGGCCGTTATTAACAGATGTGGTTCTTTAATGGGACATGCTATGACAGTAATCGCAGCGTCAGAAATTCTGTAACCTGTTCTTAAAACCTTTCATGTTATTTAATGTCATTACATAATAATGCTATAAATCCCCGTATTTAAACAAACAATAATGAACGTTATTTACCAGCATAGTTATTTATAGTTCATTAAAAAATCATTGTGCGGTTTTAAATTTATTTGTTGGTAACCAATTAAAAGAAGACAATCGTAAATTCGTTACTTATACCCATGGTAAAATTTTTTTTCTTCTCTTTTCCACGAAAGATTGTTGTTCATATTCTGCATGCAGATTGCTGTCAGTCGATATAGATTTATTTTTCAATTTATACAGTGTGAAAAGCGATGGGGTATACAAGAGGTAATTTTTTTAAAATATTTATTTATGAAAAAAATTTATTCTTCATCATATTTTTTGCTTGCTTTGAAAGTACCAATAACGTTTCGATTGTTTGTGATTTGATAGCAATACGCTATCTTATTATAATGTAGAATAACTTTCAATTAAAAAAATTAATTTTATTATTTTTCCAGATTTCTATAAATAAATTTTAGATTATCGAAACGTTATTGGTACTTTCAAAGCAAGCAAAAAATATCATGAAGAATAAATTTTTTTCATAAATCATATTTTTTTTTAAATTCCCTCTTGTATACCCCATCGCTTTACACACTGTATACTCGCTCAGACTGTTTTCGTTCCAGGTCAAGATGAGCTTTCATAAGACGTATCAATTAAATGTATCAAAATATTGCGGGTGGGCCAGTTCCGCCTTATATCTATTGGTGAACAAAAATGAAGAACCGTAAATTTTGTTAAGTCTTGGGGACGTATCTCCCAAACGACACGTGTTCGGCACTTAGTTTATTCGTTACCAACCCAAGTTATTGACATACTAACTTATTACAGATGGTGCAATAAAAAAGGATTTTTCTTTAAAATGTAATCACTCGCAGGGAAGCGAGTGATACAGATAGAATATAGATCACGCTATGGTTTGTTTGCAATAGCCTTTTTGCCAATAAGGGGTTGATAATCTCTTTCGTAACTTAAATAATCTATGTTTGAGGTGGTATAATTGTATTTTTTTATTGTATATGCAGGAAATATTACTTTGGTCCACGACTAACTAAAATCGAAACAGAAAATTGCACTATCCATTAGTAGTCTGCCCGCAGGTAACGTATACAGAAATTCAAATTTGACCCCATATTGAGAAAAACAAAAATGGAGCCAAATTTACACGTCTATTGACACCTTATAACCATTACTATGAAATTCGATAAAATGAGCCTACCTCGTGGGCCGTAGTCATGTTCCTTTTTAATTATTTTTAAAAACTACTCTTTCGGCAAAACTTTCACACGAAATATACGTTCGTCAAGACTAGCAAGAGGTGAATCTATTTACAGGGATATTTTCTTTGAAACTAGGGCAAAATAAATTTTAACTAGAAAAAAAATAAATAAATGACTTCGCATGATACAATTTATAATACACTACAGGGTTTTTATAAAACGAAAACTACCATGTAATAATTACACCTACGGACAAGCTCGGAAAATTATAATTACTTCCTTCAGGTCTATTAATTTTTTAATTTTCCTTCGCTTGTCCTTGATATAATTATTGCATTGTCGATGTTCAGAGTAAGAAGGATGATTTTCTCCTGACGAAAAATATAAATAATATAGATCCTTGACAACAACTACATATTACCAATAATACCATTATAACATTATAAACAAGTAAGAGATGTCGCAAACTTATCATTCGGTACTTTTATGGCTTTATTATAAAAGTTAAAAAACGTTTTGGAGGAAAATGTCCAGCCCGCGAAATCGTATTTGTTCTATACTCGCCCCTACTCTGAACGCGGCAGAGGTTTATTTCAATTTTTTCTAAAGTTACATGGATATTATCCAGCTTGATTAGAGAAAGAGTCTGTACTCTACTGGCTGAAGTTGGAATTTGTGACCTTCCAACATAACACAGAAGAAATACCAACGCAAATGAAAATGCGACGGAACCGCTCCCATAGAAAAACTAAAGGATAAGGTCGAATACCGGAGGCGAGCTGCTCAGGGTTTCCTGACTCTTCAGCCAGAGAACGGGAATGTAAGGATAAGTAAAGTTAAGTATGGGAACGAAAGGAACGGAGTAAGGGTGCTGAGAGGGAAGAGTACTGCTCTAGCATTCGCCTCGTAGATTTCAACATAATGTGAAGCTACGTATGCCTGAGAAAAACCCTCTGACAAAACCACACTGTTCTTTTGGGGAATAACGCACGTGTTCCCTTTGCAGCAATTAGTCCTTAATTAAAATGGCCTACCTGTAGACTACTCGCTGGAACTAGTCGAATCGCTGTCTTGTATATTTTATAAATATTCCTGCATTTTCCGTAACTGTCTCTTCAATCGCTTTTATTACGGGATGATCGACCCCTGCTCATTTGTTGAGGGAAAAATTCATTTGCGTCCAACCGTTAACTATAATCCTTTGTTAGCGCATTTATTAACGGCACATCTAATTAAACTCGCCCTTGACCGATAACGGCTGTCTTTATTTACTTCCACGATTAAACACGCTAGTTCAGCTTAAATCCTTTCCTCAACTGGGTAATTTTTTTATGTGCGAATTTCTGACGGAAAATATTCAGGCGGTTATGATTTTTCGGAAAACTCGCGTGAAATTAACGTTTACAACAATGCCTGAAAAAAGATGTTTGTGCCGGACCAATTTTTCTTGTCCAAGATTTTTTCGCTACGAAGGCCAGAGATTGCACCTCCCAAAAACTCTTTCCGGATTACTCCCTACCTATCTCTTTTCAATTAATTAATGCCTCTTTTACAACGGCGTCTAGTAATAAATTAAGTGAATCATTTCTTTTTAAGAACAAACCAGAATCTACCGATTCGAAAGGTAGGTTGTTCCTAGAAAACCTACGCACCGAGTTTTATGTTAAATTGCATTCTTACCATACTACTGTATCTAATCCTGATTTTGCGGTTTTTGAGCACGCAAAAGTAATTAAGATAAATTTATTTCTTGTTATCGCCAACACGCTGGAGCCCACGACATTCTAAGGCTATAAAAAGGCCAACACGCTCTGGATCTCAGATGATGCATAAAAAACAATCGCCAACTCAAAATTTTAAATTCCTACGTCTATAGTTCACCCTGCATGCTCTCTGCCACCAAACTTACCATACTCGCCCCTAAAAATCCCCAAAATTACAATTTCGAAAACACGTTCGACTGGTGTTATAGCCTACTAAATCAACGACAAATCGAATTAATTTTTCTGAAATGTTAGTATCAAATTTTGTTTTAAATGTCTTAATCATGATTCATTATTTCTTTTTGAGTGTAGGATTTTCAGGAATAAAAGCCATCGTAATTATTTAACGTATATTTAATGTTAAACGAGGGCCAAGTATGGGGAATGATATTTCATTAGACTAGAAATGTGCACATACCACTTCTTCGTGATCAATCAACTGCTTGTTCCTTCATTAATGATTGCTAATCGATACAAATGCTTAGATGCTAATCCAACTGCTATATATGGTGGCCAATGGTATGCCTACTATCATTACAGTAGGCTATATCCTGTACGAAGACAATAATAGCATAAATCAATCCATCGCAGAAAATAGCTATTTATGTTACAAGTACATAATCTATGACTTTAGTGGACGAGTCGAATTTATTGGCAGAGCGCGCTTGCGCGCGAGGCCAATAAAAAAGACGAGATAATAAAGTCTGATTATGTACGAGTAACATACTTAGCTTTATGTTCGACTCGGAAAATGTAGTTCATGTATGTATTGAAAATTTGCTGAAACTTGGTATAGATTTCACTATTTAATAACCAGAAATAACATAGTGTGCCTTTTGTGTTGTCATAGATACGTGTTGTTTGGAAAAAAATCTGTTGATGTGTACCTAGTGTCAATTTCGTTGGGTATTAACTAATTCTCTGTACCTAATTATGAATCCCAAGATGAGTCCAGAAGAAATTGATGGGTCCAACAGTATACAACAATTAGCCTGCAATGCCAGAGAAATGCTTTTACCAAGCAAATCAAAAACTGTATACGAGGCGGCATACAGGGAATACAGAAGGTGGTACTAGGGGAAGAAAATCAATTGCACCACGGAAGACTGTATATTGGCGTACTTTAGTGAGTTGGTCTCCTATAAAAGTTCTTCTTTATGGAGTAAGTACTCGATGTTACGATCGACAATTAATTTAAATGAGGGAGTGGATATAAGCAAATTTCCCAGCCTAATTCCTTACCTCAAAAGAAAAGGAGATTCTGACAGAGATCTGACAATTCTAAAATTAGTGTTGCCAGCAAAATTTTGGGAACGGGAATCGTTATGGCAAATTCTTCGTTCAGAAATTTAAAAGCCGTAGAGACCACCGAAATATTGCATCAAAAAGGTACATCGGGAATTAACATTACCAACAACTGTGTTGTTAACATTAATTGAGTACCTATCTATAATTATTGAAATGTATAATATAGATATGTGTTCTTTAAATTATAGCATTCTGTTCCGTGTACTTCTTCTTTAAAACAGATCGTAATTTTAAAATGCATTTTCCAAACAAATTGACAAGTGACAGGAGTCCAAATTACTTTATCATTATGGACTAGTCCAATAAAGTAGCAGATTATGGACGCTAAACAGTGTCATAACTCAGCGTATTATGATCGAGTCGAACATAAACATTTTTTTTCCATTTAATTTAGTCTGTATAATTCAATAATACAATACAATACAATAAGACAGCATGTAATAGGGAGACACAAAGAATTTATCGTCCTCATCACATCACACATCATGTTTTTATCACTTATTGGATCTGTTTATCACCTTATGATAAGATAATCCATTTAAAGTTTAAAGAGTAGATTAGATTATAGATTAGGTACGCTAAAAACGATCAAGCAGATTGTAAAGTTTTATGGAGAATTGATCTCACAAACAGTAAAAAATAATGAAAATGTAATACAATGTATTAATTAGTACAGCAAAATAAAAACGACAATCTAAATGACGGGACCGTGAGTACTTTATATAACTACTTTATTCATATTTTGGTCTCAACTGTAATTCGAATGTCGCCGCGACGCCACTGTACTGCATTCTTAGTTAAATTGTCATATAGTCACACATGTAGTTCAAATTTTACGTTTTTTACCTGGGCATATTAATAGTAAGTACTTTATACAATATTACATAAGCATATTTTTGTCTGCACGGTGTAATTTGAATGTGGTCGCGACGCCAATATATTTTTAATTATATGTATTACCATATTACACTCCAGAACCTTGGGTGATAACCCCCTAGGTACAAATTAAAATTTTGGAAACAGACGATCATGCTGAATGACTAAAGCCAGAAGCTCAAATATGATAAAAGTAGATAGGTAACAAAGAAACTTTAACCCACGAAATCATTGTGGACTGCTAGGTCTTCCCAATTTTGAATAAATGAGTATAAATGAGGTATAGTGCTTTATTTCCTTTAAAATTAAGGGTTGTTTTTCTTTAAGAAAAATGGTTGTAAACTATGTTTGATTCAGTTTAACATTCTTTCTCAAGGAAAATTTAAACTTGCGTGGTCTTAAAGATATCAATCTATGGGTAAATTGAAGCTGTTTGTATTACATGAATTTTATCATTTATGGAGCCATTGGAGTTGGATTTGATAGAAAAAATTAGAAAACTGTTGCAACACATGAGTGTCGTAGATGCAATCTACCAGGGCGATTTAGTATTTCAGAAAACTTCTTTTGTACCTCTACAGTGCATAGGCTGTTAAATAGCAAACACAGGAAGCGGTCTGTTGTTTAAATAACAAGAATGGCATTGATTCGATAACGACCTGTCAAGAACGTGACGGTTCTGTCAAATCGCATACAAGTAATAATTTAAAATGCTACAATAGCTGCACAATTTTTTTACAAAAACACTTTATTTCAGATGTAATTACAAACTTCAATTTATAATTCATTGGTCAACAGAATAAAGAGAATTTCCATATAAAAAGATTCGCATTTTCAATTTCAACTGTGAAATTTCGTATGCATTTCCGAACACTATACATATTTTTGGACAGTTTTTACGTCTTAATTGTCCTTATTTCAACAGATCTTAAAAATAATGGCTCGTTTGTCTTATAAAAGGCAGTTTATTTCGTGAATTTCCGAAAATTTAATTTCCGAAAAATAATTCAAGAATTTCTCAACTTCAAATTTTGCATAGATTTGAATAGAAACTGGGACATTTGAAATACCGAAGTGTAAGAAAACACGCGGTATATAACCGCAAGTTACCTCTTCTTCGCGAAAGTTTTATGTTCAATATTTGGTCCGATAGCAATAAGGTCATGCGACTACTATACATCTACATATAAATGTGTCAGCGAAATTAACTCTACACAGCTTTTAAGTGTTCCATATATTGTTTAAATATACAAAGATAAATATGTTTAAGGAACACCGAATGCGGAACAGCCATTCTATCTATTTTGTTGAAAATAGTTGAAAGAAATTCATTCCCCGGTACACTACAGACAATATTTAAGTACGATGTACCCTTTCTAGTGGATTATAGATTAAGGAATCTTTTAAAAACTAAATACTTGATATTTTTGGTTTATTTTAGGGAAAGATATTGGCCAGTATGGATGATATGGAAAAGAAGAAGGTATGTGGTAGCTATAATGGTATTCTTTGGGTTCTTCAATAAATTTTTATTGAGAGCCAATCTTAGTGTAGCGATTGTGTCTATGACTTCTAAAACAGAAGTGATTCTAGAAAATGGGACTGTCGCATATGTAAGTGTAAATATATAATAATAGACTGATAACACTTATTTTGAAAATTCAAAATACAGCACAGTATAACCTCAAAATCGACTGCAATGATCTGTAAAAAGTTGATGCTGTCCCCTCTTACATAGTTTCATTACAATATAAAAGATCACATGAATCAGTTTATATTTAATGAATGCCCTAAGAGAAAATGACGCCCTTTAGAATGCTTCCAAAAATTTTAGATTCGCGAATTTGATTGGGATTCTAAGATACAAGGATATGTACTAAGTTCGTTCTTCTATGGTTACCTAATAACACAAGTGGCAGGCGGTTGGCTAGCGGCAAAGTTCGGTGGAAAGTACATATTCGGAACTGGTATTGCCGCAACAGGAGCATTGACAATAATTTCTCCATTTGTTGCCAAACAAAGTTTTTACCTTCTGATAGCAGTACGTGCACTAGACGGGCTATTTGAGGTATAAGTGTTCAATTATCCGACAGATTATTGCTATGCTTTGTCAAGGGTATGACGTATCCTTCCGTATATATGATATGGGCGGAATGGGTACCGCCATTAGAAAGAAGTCGTATAGCATCCATGGCATTTTCTGGTTGTTACATTGGAACATTGGTAACTATACCCTTAAGCGCATTGTTAGCGGAAAAGTTAGGTTGGGAATATATATTCTATGTCACTGGTGTGTTTCCATAGTTTTCTTTTTCATTTCTACATTAATTATTGTAATTTTTAGGAGGTATTGCTTTACTATGGTTTTTATTGTGGTGCATTATTGTGAAGGACTCTCCTACCAAAGACCGATATATTAGCAACTCGGAGCTGAGCTATATCCAGGAGGCGTTAGGTGAGCAACAAGTTTGTCGAACTTTCAGTCACCCTTGGAAAAGTATTTTTACGTCAGTACCAGTGTGGGCCATTATCGTAGCTACCTTCGGAGACAGCTGGGGATTTTACACCCTATTAACTCAATTACCGATGTTTATGAAGGGTATTTATAACCATCTTTGGCAGATATTGTTGCTAAATGTTCCTTAAGATACTTTGAACTTTGATTTGCCATCGACGGGGATTGTTGCCGCGATACCTTACCTTGTCCTGGCCATAACTAGCCTAGTTACTGGATATCTCGCTGATTGGTTGCAAGAGAAGGTAATCATGAACACTACTCAAGTTCGAAAGACTTTTAACTGCATAGCACACATCGGACAAGCTGTGTTCCTGTTATTAGCGGTCTACTTACTATCTCCAATTGAGAGTGCAATTTTCTTAACGTGTGCTGTAGGTATAGGAGGATTTCAAGCTTCAGGATCTGCGTAGGTGGCACTTTACAAAATCACAAATTAACTCAAAACGGTGATTTACAGAGTGAACCAATTGGATATCGCCCCCCAGCATGCTAGTGTAATATTAGGAATAAGCAATACCGTGGGAACTATTCCTGGAATAATAAGTCCGATTTTAACTGGATATATAGTTACAACGCCGGTAAGTATACAACATTTTTACGAATAAAATGTCAAATATTTCATATCGTAGACTGCAGATGAATGGCAAACAGTGTTTATTATAAGCAGCGCATTGTATATATTTGTTGCTATATTTTATGGAATTTTTGCTAGTGGTAACGTGCAACCTTGGGCGATCTATACAGACAATGCCAAAAGCAATGTTATATACGTGAAGCACAGTGACAATTAAGACTACGTATTCACATCTGACAATTCCTTTTTGTTATTCCTTTAAAAATAACAAAACGCACACTATTAATATTCTTTATATAAAGGGTTCAGATAATGTTACTAAGATGGTAACCTATGGATGGTGCTCTTCCGGCGAGGTACTTCTCCAAAATGACCTTGAGTGTGCTTCAATAATAAACCCAAACATTCTCAAATCAAAAAAATGGAACAGAATGATAAGGGGATTGCAATGCATTGTTCATTATCCGTCATTTAATTAAAATGTACCTACCTATTTATAATTGTATAGTAATTAATAATCTTGATAATAATAAAACTTTGACACAACTTTTTAGACGTTTTTAGCCGGTTCTCGCTTTGTCTCACTGTGTAGTGCCTAAAACGTCTTACTGTTGGCGTAAAAATAAGGTGTAGACTCGAGTCTAAGGGTTAATAAAAAATAGCTAACATTCATCTAATTCTATACGCAGATCAAGTGTAATAAAAAAAAATGTTGAGGACCTTTGAGCACTAATTTTTTGAGTGGCACACGGAAATACGCCCTGTTGGGCTTTTTTCATGCCATTAGGACCTCATAAAACGCAAACTTCTAAACAAAAATATGACGTATTCTAAAATACTAACAGAACTACGCTTTTTAAATCTGTGTTACTGACACCCCAGCGTAGGTGGTAAAATGTCATATCTAATTTCGAAAATCATGATATGTCAAAAATCGGCTCCTATAGCGACAAAATAGTATATTATTTATCCAGGAACTAAAGTGTGTGCGGTTATAGTCCCGAGGGTGTCCTGTGGTATATACCCTATTTTTGTACTCCTGTAATCCGTTACAGTAATTTCAATATTAACATCAAATTTGAAAGAAAAAAATTGCTGTATGGATGCGCGATTCTGCCAATCAGCTCTTTCTTTCATCCCTAAGACAGTGGCGGATTCAGCAGGTGGCAAAAGGAGCAATTGCCCCCTCCGACAAGACCAAAAAGGTTATAGACAACTTTACAGTACTACCATTACTTTTACAGTATTATCAGTACTTTTACAGTATTACCATTACATCCCTAACTTAGTTAAAAGTTTTATTTTCACAATATCCCCCCTGGAACAGTTTCTCTAGGTCCGCCACTGGTCTAAGGATATGTGCGTCAGGAATTCCATTATCTTGTGCAGGGATGGTTTTTTGTTTGGCATCTTTAAGGACTGCTCGAATAACTTATTTGATTCTGCTTCCCAGATGTCCCTGCTATTATTCTGGAGAGAAACTTTATCTACTATATAAATGCCTGCTTGTTATGTTAACAAGTTGCCTATTTTAAGACACAGGAATATAAATATTATAATATTGGATCCCAGGACAATCTCACGCACAAATAGTACGTATTACCTCTTTGAAAGTTTAACATTGTCTACCTAAAACCTCCTGACAATACAGTCTCTCTTGGTCAAATTCTCTTTTGCTACGAATTGATCTTGTCTCTCCTTGGAAAAGGTAGTTCTTCATAGAAATATGGAAACAGATCCTCCTGCACGGTACATCTAAACCCCTGTACTTTATCTTCGTGATGAAGGCCAATTTTAACAGAAGTAAAATTCGTATGAATGGCGAATCCAAACAAACTAGCTTCAACATTTGAAAAAGTAATACTCGAGAGCGTGGTTATTTATGCTTAGCGATAAAATACCACTTTTTCACTGTATTGGCATTAAATTTTGCCCAATCTTATAGGTTTTGTTGCGAGCAAGAAGCACGAATTAATTGTCTTGGAAATATTTACCGTATGTCTTTAAACACAAAGGTTATTTCTAGTTCCCGAGGTGTAAAACAGTCACCTCCCAATAAATTGATTTTTAATTTCGCTTAAGTGTATTAGTATCAACGAACCTTGCACTAAGATTTCACGACCTTGCTATGCATCAGTCCGCTAAAAAAGTTTCCTTCGTCCCACAATCTACTGCAATTCGTCTTTTTGCACAGGTATGTACATTACCTGTAACTAGCCATTAGTCACGAACCTGAACTTCTCGCTACTTAATACCGGTTGTTAAACTGCTAACTCTTGACTATACCGTATAAAATTTACTCAAAAAAATGCACATCCCGGTTCTTGATACCGGACCACGAATATTCCCACATACGCGGAATAAAATCTCTCATACACAAAATGGCACGCGCCCGCACAATCGGCAATCGGAGTTCGGCTCACGAACTCGAGCCCTCCGAAACGGGCCCTATTTTATGAACGAAACAATCGCGACAAGCGTACCCTTTTAAATGAATTGTAAACCTACATTTTCGTCACGTGCTCGACTTTTCACAGAACGGATAGAAACGAAGAGATCGTGCCAACCGCGCTCGCTTGCCGCAATACGTTTGTTAATATGGCTTGTTACCTCCGCCCATATTTTCGTTCAAGTTCGATATGTAGCGGTACATGTATAAATTTCGTATGTTTACCAAAATATAAATTCGAAAAATTTCTTTTTTAATTTCAAAGTGACTACCCGCTACAATGGGTAAGGTAATCGAATGCAAAATATTGAATCGTTTCTTGTCGAAAAAGACAGTTTTATACTTTTATATCCCAAAGGCTTAGTAGGTTACTGGACAAGGTCGTTTCCTCTTCTCTATGTCTCTCTCTATGTAAAAATTAACTACAATGAGAGCCGCAATTAAAGGATCCCATCTGGAGGTATCTACATATCTCTAATGCATTTAAGGGTAATACGTTTTGCAGAACAGGTCGCACATTTTGTGGTTTTCTTAACATTTCTAAGTGATCAACGTTTGACCGTTGCGCTGCGCTGCGTTTAAAACGATTCATGGTATCCTGCATAATTACCGTCAAACTTGAGAGGATGAGAACCACCGACTTACCGCGGACTTTTATAACGCCCCAGGATCTACCACCTTCCTCCCTTGAAGTGCAACGTGGTTCCGTGAAAACCGGTTACTTTCTCCCTATGTTGTATTTTTATTTATTTTCTATTACGTGACTTTATTTATTATGTTATATTTAATTGCACATCCGGCTCAAAGGACCACATGTTCGTCGCGATTTATAAAAAAACACTAAAATAATAATAATTTACACCATAAACGTGTTTTTATGCAAAAAAGGCAGTCTCATATTTGTAGACCTGGGTACTCTTAAACCATTGTTTAAATACTTAAACATATCTTGACAGTTGTATTTTGCATTGAACGTTTTTTTGCCTACTTGTTGTAAAAAATGTGTTCTTATGATCGGTATAGAAACTTCCTACAGAGAAACCTAAAAGCTACGTGCTTTTTCGAGTTGCCGAAAGAATTACATTTTAACAGGTTCCTAGCTATTGTAAGAAAATATGAATGAAGATTAAGAAATAACGTCTTTTCCCAATACAGCATTTACGAGTACCTACAATACGCATAGTAGGTAGTATCGTTGAGTGAAGAAATGCTTTAATATCGATATGGTCATGCAATGGATATCTTGGGGTCTATTGTAGAATGATCTGTTAATGTGCTGACCCCAACTCCTAAAACCTATATTCTACGTATAATTAACGACCTTAAATACCTACTATTAATTTAATACGCACCACCTAGTGCAAGGTTAGATTGTTCATTACGAGATTTAAGGGATTATAAGATAATACCTTTGCAAATAGTTACTCAAGTTACGACCTCCGGACCTACGACGGTTCATACGTAATAATGTGACACCAAACAGCAATCTATTTCATTTTTGTGAAGGTACTTATCGTGGATGCATGATCAGTTACCATTGGCTATGCAAGCTGAGAGTAGTTAAGTGTCCATGATAAATATGTTGCAAAAAAGTAAAATTTATAACGTTAGTAGTAACAAAAGTAGTGATACGGTGACCAGGTAAGATGCTTAATATAGTTTAAATTATTGATATGGACACAAAAGCCAATTTTTTTGAAAAAAACTCGCATTTCAAAATAACATTAGGTACATAAAGTTTTCGTATCTGTCCAACCAAAATCAAGGTTATTCGTACACACATTATGCCAATATCATTGAAATGCTTTCATGGTCTTCCAATTATGCTCTTATTTAAAATCGATGAAAGTAGGAGAGGCAACTGAAAGTCGGCCTTTCCGCAATACATAATAGTTTACTAACCGGCAATTTTCCATCAAGGTGTACTACTACATGGGCAAAATATTTATTTATCGTTTTTAACAAATTAAGATTTATGAAGCAAGGCAATGATTCCGGTGATAATTCGGTGCCATACTTTGCGTCTTTTATCATTGAATTGAATTCAAAACTCAAGGTAAAGTATACGGTTTACGATTATGGTAAAAATTTCTAATTCATTTTTACTAACGGAATCAGACACGCAATGCCATTCTCTGTGCAAGTAAGTGTACCATTCAGTGCGTTGCTGTATACCAGTTGTCCATTTCTCTTTTTGTTCTCAATTAACTTAATTGGAATGTGTCCAAAAAATTTTCATACGGCTTACATCATTCACTTCACCTTGATATAGACAGATATTTGGGTATGGGCAAAAATCTTGTGTAAGAAGGTGTCTTGGAAATGAAAGACGATTATTGCTGACAAAATTCATTGTTGTACTTGTCCGCGATTAAAGGTAATTGCCAAAATGGTTTTATCAAATGCATAAAAGCGTTATATGATTGTAGTTGTTATGATAATTAAAGTGTACCGATGTCACGTAATAATCGTCTCCAAGGTAATTTAATTATGCATTTTACTCAGAAACCTAGAAAACCAAGTTTATGGTATACAGTGTGTCCAAGATAAGAATGAACATCGCGGGGACCTCGGAAAACATAAGAAATACACAGTCGGTTAAATTAGAAAAAGTTGCCGATTTTAGGGCTTAGTGAAATGATGTTTTAAAAATTTGGAAATTCCTATCAGTTGCGAGATATGCGAAAAAACCGAAATTAACACTATTCGTTTTTATTTTTTTCTGGGCTGAATAGCATTTTCTATTACGGATATAAATATATATGTCACAATATGATTCTTTATTAGTCATGCTAAACGAATATGGTTCATTTCGTTTTTTTCAGATATTTTCGCAACTCATCGGAATTTCCCAAGTCTTAAAACTTAAAAAAATTCCCCATGCTGTTCATTCTTATCTTGGACACACTGTATATGAGAAAACTCCAAAATACACATTGGCGACTGTAAGAATAAGAAGTTATATGCCATGCTACTGCGATACTATGTTCAAAACAATATCATATTCAAATTCCTCTTCTTAAAAAATGTTCCAGCGGTGTAATAGTCCAATGCGGGTATCCCGACAAAGAAAAAAAAGGTGAAAGTGTAAATTTAATTTTATCCAACTCCACTTTCTCTACCTTCGTAGACAAATAGCGACCTTTTACAACCCTCTATCTAAAAGCCTATTTGAACATAAATAACGAGAGAAAAAAGGCGTCCCACATCTCTTTCATGATCTTCACCCTTATACTGAAACGCCATAAGGCATACATTTTACTGTCGACTTATTATTCTCGACCATTTTAGTCAATCATGGCCGATTTGGATGATATGGAAAAGAAGAAGGTATGTGGTGGCGATTTTAACTTTTTTTGGATTCTTCAACATATATGCCTTAAGAGCCAATCTTAGCATAGCGATTGTAGCGATGACGGCGAAAACCGAAGTGGTGCAAGAAAATGGGACCGTTGCATTTGTAAGTATAAAGTAAATTATGTAATTTACAACCACCGTAGATACTAAAGCCGTAGGAATGTACGAAAATTACTACCCTTTACGCAGACGGTATCATAAATAGAAATTTTAGATTCGCGAATTTGATTGGGATTCTAAAGTGCAAGGATACGTACTGAGCTCGTTTTTCTATGGCTACATCGTAACACAACTCGTAGGTGGATGGATGGCCGCCAAGTTCGGCGGAAAACACGTATTCGGAATTGGCATAGCCGTAACAGGAGCGTTAACTGTGGTTTCTCCGTTTGTTGCCAAACAGAGTGTTTCTCTGCTGATAGCGGTGCGAATATTAGAGGGACTGTTTGAGGTAAGCATTGAATTATGTGCCTTGGTTTTTACTGTGGCCTACTAAGGGCGTGACGTATCCTTGTGTACATGCGATATGGGCCGAATGGGCACCACCGTTAGAAAGGAGCCGTTTGGCAGCGATCGCGTTTTCTGGTTGCTACGTTGGAACAGTTGTAGCTATGCCTCTAAGCGCTTTATTAGCAGACACACTAGGGTGGGAATCTATATTTTACGTAACAGGTGAGTTTACACTGACTGACATCTACCGGAACTTAACCATTTCTAGGTGGTATTGCTTTACTATGGTTTGTATGTTGGTGCATCATTATCGCGGACTCTCCCACTCTAGACAGTCGGATTAGTGATTCAGAGCTACGGTACATTCAAGAGTCTTTAGGAGAACAACAAGTGAATAGAACTGCTAAACATCCTTGGAGAAGCATTATAACGTCAGTACCAGTTTGGGCGATCGTTGTGGCTCATTTCACCGAAAACTGGGGCTTTTACACCCTTTTAACTCAACTACCGACTTTTATGAAAGGTGAGTGTGGCGTCAGTATACCATGAGGAAACCGATGACACTTTCCCCTAAGATACATTAAACTTTGAATTATCGTCGACCGGAATTGTTGCTGCTGTACCTTACCTGGTTGTGTCTATAACTACTCAGGTTGCTGGACATCTCGCCGATTGGTTACAAGAAAAAAAAATCCTGAACACTACTCAAGTGCGAAAAATCTTTAACTGCGTCGCTTACATCGGACAGGCGGTCTTCTTACTGCTAGCGGGCTATCTACTTTCGCCAATTGGAAGTACGATATGTCTTTCATTTGCTGTCGGCATAGGAGGATTACAAGCTTCAGGCTTTGGGTGAAATATTCAGTGCAAAAACATTCACATGACACATATTAATTTCAGAGTCAACCACTTAGACATAGCGCCTCAGCATGCTAGCGTATTGTTAGGGATAAGCAATACTGTAGCAACGATTCCTGGAATAGTAAGCCCGATTGTATCCGGTTATATTGTCACAACACCTGTAAGTATAAACCGTGTTATGGAATTGTTATTACTAAATTGGATTTGTTGTAGACCGCTTCTGAGTGGCAAATAGTTTTTATTATAAGCAGTTGCATATATGTTTGTGGTGCCATATTTTATGGAGTTTTTGCAAGTGGTGAACTGCAGCCTTGGGCAAAACAATACAATGCTTCAGACAATTCTACGACTGAAAGGCAAAGTAACGACGAACATTCTGTACATATATCTGATTAGTATTTTTTTTATATAATATCACTTCGATTTGCTATAGTCTAATTTTAACACATTATGGTAATAAAAGAGATAAAAGATAATTATTTGGAGACGATCTTATTTCTAGCCTTGTTTTGAAGAAATGACTCACATCCGCTTTTATTCCTTATAGTAGGTTACCGACTGGATGGCACCTCGAGAATATTCTAGAAGAATCGCTAGAGTGGGGTTTATTGCTTACATGTAAAGGTCATCTCAGTTGTAAGAGAAAGATTAGGTACTTATAAGTACATCTTACACTTACAATTACACTAAGGTAACATCGTGTTCTGCTAACCGAATGAAAACAATTTCTTAACGTTATATATAATAATCTGTTTTTTTTTAGAGAGAACGCTATAGCCATTCGTATATTTTTTGATAGTATCTCCATTGTACCTCTTAGTATAACCAAAATAGCGTAATTTTTCTCACTTTTGCTAACTTTTCGGGTTATAATCATTTTCCAATCAATCTAAAGCAAGTCAATTTTCTATTAAATTTAGGAGTAAGTGTATAACCTACTTTTTTTGGTAGTTTGTCTACTGTAGCTTTTAATCTAATCAAAGTAGCGTAGTTTATTTTACTTCCTGCTTGCTACTCGTATATAGGCTATAATCAATCCGATTACAAAAGCCCTCAAAGCTCCCGGATCACTTAAGAACGTAAATCACATTAATAACTACTTTATAGAATCTATTCCGAACACGAATCCAGTAGAAGACGAAGTAATCCCGACAGCCGACACAAAAATTGGTATTTCAAGTTATTGAAGAGTCGGATTATTGAGTAAGTCTATGTCTGCTCTATCTCTTGCATACAATAACACATATGATACACTTTTGAATACAAAACTCAGTTTTTCCAAAATGCTGGAAAACTGCCCATGTGATTCCACTAGGAACCATTAGAATTTAAAGATCTCCGTCCTATATCACTTCTACCCGTGCTATCTACGGTTCTAGAAAAAACAATCAACCTACAACTCAATAAGGTAGGTATAGCGAAGAGGAAATAAATGTGGGCGTGATATTATAAGTTTAAGGTTTAAGTGTCAGATAAGTATCAGATTCTGGAAATTAAGCCTACTGTACCAAAATCGAGTCCTTAACGTTAAAACTAAACGAATGTTATGTGAGAGTTTGGTTCTTTTTCAGGATATAGCAAGGTCGCTATTGTTTTTCGGCTACGTAGACTAACGGCCTAAAATTTACAGTCCAAAAGCTGTCCACCCTCCAAAATAAGGGTTTCTTTTATGATTGTTGTTACAAAGAACATATGAATGTTCGGTTTTCTGTGTTGGTAAATATTCCTTAAACCTCGAGCAATTATGCAGATAAAAAAATCGCGCGTACGCAGCCCAACGTTTCTATTTGCGCAATCCAAATTTTTTTATTTGTTGAGATATTTAAAAGGCATTTAAAACACACGTGTTTTAAAGTTGCTAAGTAACGATACTTCAAGTATGACTTTTGAAACTGTCATCTGGATGAAATAAAAAATCCTCTTAGGTCGCTTTCTGTGAATGCAGAACATTTCTTTGGCTTGTACCTATCCCTTGGTTGAAGCTTTCACAAACGCGCGTAATTTAGGGTATACTTCCAAATCTGTTCCACTTTTTAATCGCAGCATTGTTTGAAGTTTTGAATGAATACACCAAAATATAGAAGATTTAAATACCTTTGACATTTCTTTCATATATGCCAGCATTATCGATGCATATTATTATATATTATTCGTCAGTAACTTCCTATTCATCCATGGAAACAACTTTTCATATTCTTTATAATAAACTTTACTGGATTTGGATTTTACACCTACCAACGTTTGTTTAGATTGTACAACAAGCGATTTAATGGACGGTGTATTCTGTTTTCCAACGGAAATGTTTTATTCACAAAGACGATGATTTTTATAAGCAAACGTCAAGTGACATTTCCATGGCAATCGTGAAATTACGAACACCCAGCCCACTTAATTAGACATGTATAACGTCAATATGATTTCCATGTATTTCCTATTTTTAAATTATACTGCAGGTATAATAAAAAATACTATAAGATACACGTGTATAAATGGTCTTTAAAGCACTTGCAACGTTAAAGGCACTCCGCTTCGCGGCGTGCCATTAAACTCGTTGCAAGTGCTTTAAAGACTTGATTATACACTTGTATCTTAATGTACTATTTGTTACGTTTTATCGTTGTTTTTTGTACGTACTATGTTATGGTCTCTATGCTACTTGAATTTCAAGTTAATATATATTCAAGTTTAATTTTTTTTTAACATCCATTTTAACTTACTTAATGTATATGTCGTAGTCTTTTAGTGAAATCTGTCATTTCACGAAACGCCCAGTCATTGATAAGAAACTGTGGCGCAGTGTACTTCCTAGAGCCAAGCGATGAAGTCTCTTCTTCCTCTTCAAGATCGATAAATGGTATCCCTTATCGATCTAAAAGGGAAAGGGAACTACTTTACACGTGAAATGACAGCCTCGTATACTAGGTTTTTTGTGAAATAACGGATTTCACTAAAAGGCTACGACATATATATAACAAATTGATTCAAATAAAGACATTTTATTATATTATATAGTTTGTCCACTGCGGACACGGACGTTTCGGTCGAGGACGATTCGGCGGTGAGGCGTTTCGGCGGACGTGACGTTTTGGCAGACGAGGCGTTTCGGCGGACGGACGTGACGTTTTGGCAGACGATAGGCGTTTCGGCGGCGATACTTATCGGGGAATTAATCAATGGCATTAGGGTTAAGCTTGAGTACCTACTACTGACAAAATTTCAGACTCAGTATAGGTAATCCCAATACCATCGATCCGTAGCCGATCACATACGGGTTGTTGGGGTTGGAATTATACCGAAAATTTGTTACTGGGTACTCGAGCTTAATCGTAATCCGATGAATCACATACGAATCGATGACATTGGATCCGAAATTTTGTCACCACAAGCAATTGCCTTTGCTCTAAATCAGCTTGTAGGTATATAATCCGCCGCGGTCTGCAGAAACATCCACGTGGTGAAACGTCCCTCAGCCGTCGGAAAGCCGCCGCCGTAATGTCACGTTCGCCGAAACGCCTCGACCCCGACCGTCAAAACGTCACGTCCGCCGAAACATCGCGGACCGTAAAATAAATAGGCGTAAATCGGTCATGTGTAATTGTTATGTTAAAGTTACAAGAGCAGTTTTACTGGTACAAGCATTGAATAAGTAATTACTTATTCAATGGTACAAGTAAGTAGATCGCGAATCCGAATTTTAAGAGGTCACAGAACCCTATATGTTTTTTACCCGAAGTTAAACTGCTAATTCTTCTATTCGAATAGATTTCACTGAAAAAAATGCCCGTTCTAGTTCGTGAACTCGAACGAAATATCGCAATTATGCGAAAAATAGTAGGTACGTGGTAACCCTTAGAAAGTCTACCCTCGTCTGCTTAAAACCCCCTTACAATCCGGTCTCACTTCGCTTATCTCGCACAGCACATCTTTATCGAAAACGTACACGTAGATATTGCCAGACATACTTTCGTTCATGTTCGCTATGATACTTGTGTATACAAAGTACAAATTCGAAAATATACCCGTTTAATTCTAAAGCGACCACCAACGGGTGGTCATACTTGTGGAAACAATTATTATTGTGACAATTCAACTCATGTATAAAAAATCGCATAAGCCGCAGTGTAATTGTCACTTTGACAGCGGCAAAAGTTACCTGCAACTTTTCCAGCGACAAATGCACTAGTGGTTTTTTCACTTATTCATTTTCGAACCAAATATCGTATTATCCTTTCCCATATGACTAGTTTGACGTCTGTTAATAATTGATTAATTTGGTGAATTTCTTGTTCGTTAAATTGTCCTGCCGAATTACACTCGAGGTTTGTATTTAAACCGAGTAAATTTGGGTTGTTGCAATTCAAATCTGTTTCCTTTTAGCAATTGAACTCGAAAAACTGTCAACCCAAAAATGCTTCACCTGCGGTGTCGCATTTTTATTAGTTGACAGTTTTTCTCGTCTAATTGCTAGGCAACAAATTTTCATTACCTAAACAACCCAAATTTACTCGGTAAAATACAAACCTCTTGTGCAATTATAAGTGACAATTCAACTCATGTATAAAAAATCGCATAAGCCGCAGTGAAATTGTCACTTTGACAACGGCAAAAGTTACCTGCAACTTTTCCAGCGACAAATGCACTAGTGGTTTTTTCACTTATTCATTTTCGAACAAATTATCGCATTATCCTTTCCCATATGGCTAGTTTGACGTCTGTCAATAATTGATTAGTTTGGTGAATTTCTTGTTCGTTAAATTGTCCTGCCGAATTACACTCGAGGTTTGTATTTAAACCGAATAAATTTGGGTTGTGGCAATTCAAATCTGTTTCCTTTTATCAATTGGACTCGAAAAACTGTCAACCTAAAAATGCTCCACCTGCGGTGTCGCATTTTTATTAGTTGACAGTTTTTCTCGTCTAATTGCTAGGCAACAAATTTTCATTACCTAAACAACCCAAATTTACTCGGTAAAATACAAACCTCTTGTGCAATTATAAGTGACAATATTATTTTAACCCTAGCAAAATCTATCAATTTGCCGAGTTACGATGATATCGTGGATGAACATTTTAAAATTGCCATACCCAGAACATTTGTAGGCACGGGGAGAAAGTTTAATTAAGGAATTGTATTATCACATGATATTTTAATTTACGGCCACGGAACTATACAAATAAGCGCAAATTTAAATATATGTGTTCATTTTATTCAAATTATGACGTTGAGTTCGTCCAAGGTGTTTCATCTATGTATGTACCTATACATTGTTCATGTAAACAGTTACCATTCACACTTTGTTATCGTAAAACATATATGACAACATGCTGCACAAAAGTAAAACTTATCATGTTAGTGATGTCAAAAATAGTGCCACAGAAACCAGGTGAGATATTCAGCATACTAACATTGATATTATTCGCATGGGATACAGGCACAAATCAAAGAGACTGTTGTGACATTGCTCAATAATGCCAGTTACACAAGCTGTTTACTTGCAAACAAATTAGAATTAATTATTTGTTTTACAAAACGAAAAAAGGGATAATGCTAAAATCTGCCAAAGTGCTTTCACAGTATATAGTCTTATTCGATCGATTCACAATCAATTTGGAAAATATACCTACACTTAAAAACAATGCAACAGAAATAATAAATTGCTTGCCATGCTTTGCGTTTGTTTATCGGTAGAATAGATTAAACCTCAAGGTAAGGTAAAATTAAACCTTTAATCACATTTTTCAATTAAATTTTACTAATGTAGGCATGAATTAGTGCCGGGACGTTGGGTAGTGAAAAAATGGCTACACTCTGTGACTACTGCGTCAATTTATAAAAAAAGTTAAATTTGTTGATACGTTATGTATTACTTCACGCTATTTTAATCAAAATTATTAGCATAAGATTGTTTGAACTATTCTGGTGGGCCCTATAAGATAAATTTCATGATTGACTTTGTGGACGCCACAATCCAAATCTTCCTAACATTTCAATTGTTTGTTCAAAAAGATTCGATCGAAGAAAAAACAAAATATGGATACCATAACCTGACAGCTATTTGTTTGCTTAAAGTATATGATGCCATTTTTTCAATGTTAACGTTCTTTTCTGCCTCAGCCTTCACAACTTGAAAAAACAACATAATGTATTCAAACCTACAAACTAAACTTTAGTATAAACGGATAACAGAAAATTGTAAATAGCACGAGCATGGTAGGGGGTTCCATTTTTCATTCTTTTTCACTCAGGACTTCACAACTGTTTAGTAGGGAATCTGAGGACCGAAAGTAACTATTCAAGTAATATAAATTCAACCCTGTGATGTATCAGATACGTCAAATTTAACGTTCAGGTTATATGCCAAAAAACCTTTTCTTGCGTTACTTAGTATGGGCAAATTAACGTTTTCAACAGATAACCAGCACTTTAAGTTTAACGTTAGCGATAGGTCACGGGGCTGAATACGTCCCGCTTTTTTCATTTCTTGTTATTTGAGTATATTTCAGTGAAAAATCTTGGCCCGTTTGGATGATATGGAAAAGAAGAAGGTACGTGGTAGCTATAATGGCTCTTTTGGGATTCGCAAACATATACGGTTTAAGAGCCAATCTTAGCATAGCGATTGTCGCGATGACTGCAAAAACGGAAATAGTTTTGGACAATGGAACTGTAGCACATGTAAGTATTCAGACTGCAAATTTGTAACTAAAACGCAACTAAGCTTAACGAATGCGTAAAATCACCTTAATAATTAAGACGCGAATTTTGAAAGTTGTGAAAGCTTAGTCCTCAAGCACAGTTTATATGAAAAACAAAATATTTGTTCGTTCCCTTCCCCGCCCCCTCATTTTTTACATACGTAAATCTGTCACATACTCCAGTGGCTACATAGAATGGAACTGTTGGCGCTTGGTAATCAAAGTTTGGCAATGGAAGGACGCTTATTATATGTTGAAATTTTAGGTTCGCGAATTCGACTGGGACTCAAAAGTACAAGGATACGTACTGAGTTCGTTTTTCTACGGTTACATCGTCACACAACTCGCAGGTGGATGGCTGGCTGCCAAATTTGGAGGAAAGCACATATTTGGAATGGGTATCGCTGTAACAGGGGCGTTGACGGTTATTACCCCCGTCGTTGCCAAACAAAGTGCTTCTCTTCTGATAGCAGTGCGAGTAATAGAAGGATTATTTGAGGTTGGTATCCATCACTATTGATTTGGCTTACTAAGATTTATAAAGGGTGTGACGTATCCTTGCATACATGCGATATGGGCAGAGTGGGCACCACCGTTAGAACGAAGTCGTTTAGCAGCGATAGCCTTTTCGGGGTGCTACATTGGAACAGTGGTAGCTATGCCCTTAAGCGCATTATTAGCAGACAAATTAGGATGGGAATCAATATTTTACGTGACGGGTAACAGATCCACCTATTTTAATATCGCTATCTGTATTTGTACATCTCTAGGGGGCATTGCTTTACTGTGGTATTTGCTCTGGTGCGTCATTGTGACGGACTCGCCTAGTAAAGACCGTTACATTAGCAATTTAGAGCTACGCTATATTCAGGACTCCATTGGAGAGCAACAAGTCACTCGCACGGCTAACCATCCTTGGAAAAGCATTTTTATGTCAGTGCCAGTGTGGGCTATTATTGTAGCACATTTCACAGATAATTGGGGTTTTTATACCCTATTAACTCAGTTACCGACGTTTATGAAGGGTGCGTATGCGAAGCTTCAGCGAACATTGTTGCAAATATTCGTTTAGATACATTGAACTTCGATTTGGCATCAACGGGGATTGTTGCCGCGATACCTTACCTGGTGGTGTCTGTAACAGCGCAAATTTCTGGACAGCTCGCCGATTGGTTGCAAGAAAAAAAAATTTTGAACACGACTCAAGTTCGTAAGGTTTTTAACTGCGTGGCATACATTGGACAGGCAGTTTTCCTGCTACTGGCGGGCTATATACTTTCACCAATAGGAAGCACCATATGTCTAGCATGTGCTGTTGGTATAGGAGGATTACAATTTTCAGGATACGGGTAAATTACATTTTCGTCACAAAAAAAACACCAAGACCGTTACTTTCAGAGTAAACCATTTGGACATAGCACCTCAGCATGCTAGCGTATTGTTGGGAATAAGCAACACCATAGCAACTATTCCTGGGATAATAAGCCCTATTGTAGCAGGTTATATCGTCACGACGCCTGTAAGTACGCGACTCTTTCGAAAATTAAAAATTATCATAGTTTTTGTAGACTGCATTCGAGTGGCAAATAGTATTTATTATAAGCAGTTGCATATATGTATGCGGTGCCATATTTTACGGTTTCTTTGCCAGTGGTGAGCTACAACCATGGGCTGTAGACACAAATAAGACTAAAGACAATGATGTGTCTGATTTTACTTTCTAAAACAATAATTATGACTTTTACTTGTACAGTTTAATTTTTATATGCCTTTAATATAAATTGATACTGACTGATCTGCTAAATTGCTTGCATACAACTGCAAATTTGCATTTCACCTATAACTGAAACACAATTCTTAGTGAAGTTTCCGCTCGATTACGACCCCAAAGATTCCTGATTAAAATCCTATGCCGTTTAAATTTTTCGTATGTGTCAAATTGCATATGTACCGCTGTATATGAAGAATGACCACGAATAGGTTAAATGACAACAACGAAGAGGGTTTAAGGATGCGTGGGCTTTACGATAATAATTGATAATAAATAAGCAAATCGCGAGAATTGCGGCGATTCCGTATCGATTTTTCTAGACAGCTACAGATTAGATAAAAATAGGGAGTTAAGATTGGATAAATGGGCTGCCGAGGCCATCGAGGACCTGTGTACGGATACGAACCATCCTGATGCGTTGAGGTTAGTGGAATCACGACGGCAGGTGTCAAACATGTTTTAATAAAGTTAATTGCTAGCGTGCAGTTCCAACCTTAAAGACGTAAATAAAAAACTAAAATTTGAGGTGGGCCGGTATAAACTTTGTGTGAACTGGGCGGAAGAAGCAATATAAACTTCTATTGCCGTAAGCGCATTGTTTAATTGGCTTTGAGAAATACGTGATATCGTACTCGTTTTTGTATGTTGAATGATGTCCGTTGAAGAAAATTTAGCCTTTTCTCGTTGACTGAATTTTCTTCAACTGATTCAAATTGATGTCAGTTGAAGAAAATTAGGCCTTTTCTCGTTGGCTGAATTTTCTTCAATTGACATCAATCGTACTCGTGTCGGGGCATTTTCGGGAGAGGGACGGACATATGAGTAGTGTTTTCTCTTTTTACAATCACGCAGACTAAAATTAAAAATGTTATATTCGCACGAAATATAATATTCTCCTCGTGATCAAGCCACATCAAGTCGATGAACTTTTATCTCTGAAATAATTAATCCGTTGTTCAACAAAGACACACTTTGGCATCAGAAAAGCTAAAACTGTATAAATCCAGCAAGAAAATTTCTTCAATCTGAGCGGAACGTAAGGAAAATATATTTCAATATTTCGGACCATGGTCCATTCGTATCAACTTTATACAACACTCATACGAAAGTCGATTTAGGGGAATCCTCAATCAAAACAATTTCTATGGAGATCGATGCATCTTTAGGCCAATTAGAGGTATTGTAAAAATGTGGTTACTCTATTGTTTTTCAACGGCCTTAAATTAAATATAATAATTGCATATGCTGATTTACAACTTGTTTTACTAATGGAACGTGGCCGCAGAAACACGTCAGAGAAGTAAACAAATGGAATTATCATTTTAAACAAAGCGGACTATGTAGTAGCTACTTTATTGTGGATGATAAGATATGAATGGGTACTTGATATTCAGTCGAGACAAAAAATTATTTGATCTTCCAAACACTCAACATTATGTACCTACCTGACTATTTACGTGCAAGAAGGTAAAAGTATAATTTAAGTAACAAGTATGCTGTGAGAAGATGTAGGTACTTGAAATGTGGGTACCTAAACGCTCTTGTACCAGAAAAGATATTCCTCTTCGATACATTGTAGAACAGCGTGTTATCAGTCAGATTACCTATCTGTACCTATGTAACTCTGCCGCGACAGACGGTAAATAAACCATCTTTGGAAAGGCGAGATTATACCTTACGAAATAGTGGCAACTAACCTCAAGGCGGCCATCAGGCTCTTCAACCACTTTAACATACTCTACGCATAAGTATAAGAGAGATCCTTTGAAAGCGTGAATTCTGTATGAAGATTTCTGAATAATCTTTATTTTTTATAGATACATTATTAATGCAAATGATTGTGACTCATTCCAATCATTTCATGGATTTCGTACCATGAAACTAACAATAAGAGTTCATAGGTGATGACAAGCTAACATCTCGCTTCACATCTTGCATAGCGATATCCTTTTGCGGTCCAGCTGTAGGTACCGTCCTTTTCTGTTAATATTCAATGCCAAATTTATTTAACCGTTCTTCCTGAAACCGAACAGTATGGCAACCACAACCTTTTTTATCCTTTCACTTCCTCGTTTAGAAATAGAAGGCAACAGTTTGAATGGTAAATATTTACAAATTTCATTGCACAAAATTTCCTGAATATAATGTCAATTCAACTAGCTTAAAACAAAATTCATTACTGTTGAAAATAAAAAAAAAAAACCTTAGCCATTGTCACGGGTATGTGGCATGGTTCTAAATACATTTACATTAAACAACACAGTTTGTTAATGCGACAAAATAGAGTAACATTTTGTTTTTTGTTGTACTCTTATTCTTTTGCGTTTATGAATTTATTTTATTTTTACGTTTTTCTACGTTTAAACTTAACAGTTTTAACATATGCTGTCCACTAAAACTAATCTGAAACCTAATTGCTGGATTGATCACTATCTAAAGTAAAAGTACGCATTTACACTTCAAAATTTCACATAAGTACTACACGTTTCCTTTTGTTTTAAATTGGTACATAATTTTTTTTTAAATAATGAGGTTTCCGTGGCCTCTTATTTATGTCAAGAATCAGAAATTTGATTATCATTGTCAAATTTAGTTTTATTGGTTTCAGTGTCACCATTTAGATTAGAGTTACCTACCTCGAAGGAAGAATTTGAATTAGAGTTACCAAAAAGATTAAAAGATCGTTTTGTATAATCCAATCTTAATTTGTGGTGACTTAATTAGAAATTTTCTATTTCTTCTATACTCATTCCCAATAAGAGCTTTTGCAATGTATGACCTGTCATTCATATCTTAATCTCTTAAAATTACCTTTCTTTTTGCCCAAGTTTTTCCTTTTTGCACTTATATATATATCTCCTACCTCTAATTGAGGTTAATCTTTTGCTGTTTTATTTTAATCCTAGTTTTCCAAATTCTATCAAAAAAAATTGTTGGATTTACGATTTTTTCAGAAATAGAAATTAGCAAGAATTGAGATGGTGAATATTTTAATTCTAGTACCTATTGACTGTATTGTACTGTGGTACGTCCATAATAAATAGCAGCAAATCACTTTCACATTTAGACTTTTAATCATGTCCCTACGTATCTCTATGCCAGATCATTTGTTTGATGGTACCTAGTGGGCGCTACTAAAAGCTCAAAATTCTAGTCATTATTTTTAAATTCATGCGACTTATACGGAACATTTGTCAGCAAAAATCTTATCTGGGATACTAAACTGAACATTTACGTTTGTAAAGCTTGATGAGTTTTAATATGGGACACTTTGTTATGAGTCTATTAAGCGTGTTTAGTAGTTCATTCTATTTGGTGAAAGAGCTTATCTCTTAGATGTCTTAAATTGAGATCAATTTGGTAGATATGAATTTCAAAATGAATTTGACCAAACCTAATACTCTCAGAACTGTAACAAGACTTCCGTATGTACAAAAATTGTATAGCATAGTTAAAATGCATAATGTAAATATAACTTTGTGCGTGCAAATGTGGTTTTAGCATTACAAGGAAATGAATTATTTCGCTTATTCATAACCCAAGCTGGTTTTATTATTTAACCGCAATAAAGTTAACAGGAAATTAAAAGTATAAAGTAACAAGCACGGTTAGAAATGCCATTTTACTTCAGATGTAAAGAGAGTAAATTAATATTTATACTGCATTACGTGTGTATATTCGGGGTGAATAAATGGAGCGGGTCTTTGTAATTAAGATAAATGTGACTTAGATACGTCTGTTGTTATCGACAAAAAGAGCTAGTAATAGTGCCAAGCAGATATTTAAACCATTCAAGATGGTGATATACAGCGTTTGTGGATCATATTTTATCATAGCGATACCTATAAATATGAGTGTAAATAGCAGGAAAGCGCTAAATTCGTTAATAGGCGTCACCCAGTGCGCTAGTTGTGTTCGCAGTGAGCGCCGTGCAATTAATCGATCCATTAGGCGGATCTCGAAGAAAGAAATTAAGCCAAGAGCGAACCAACGTTTACAAGTTATCATCATCAGTTATCTTTGCGCTGCGTCAACGAAGATTTTCGCAACATTTTCAAGGGAGAAGGCAAGAAAATTCCATGACGGAACATCAGCGAGGATTCTATAACCGGCGTGCAGAGAGCAGTTCACATCGAAGAAACAGTGTCAGCGAACCGGTCCGTGCAGAGCAGCAGGGGAACTAATGATTTACATTTTGATTGAAAACCGTGGCCCGAACGTATCTTGAACTCCTGGCGCACAAACACTAAAGGTATTTATGAACGGTTTAGTTTAATCGCGTCGTAGTACTGCCACTTTTCGTAGTTATTCCCATTCTCGTAGTTTTCCCCTCGTTTTTCAATATTCAATTCTTATAATATATTGACTTACTACAGTTCACTTTATTTTTGTTGTACATAGTGTTTATTAAAATACAGATATGGTTTAGATTTATCCATTATACATTGAGTTTGGTTCACATATACATAATGTTGAATATTTTATGAATGCGAAGTGTATTTTTGCGAAAGAAGATCTTTTAACCATTTATCTTGCAGGATTGTTTCGCGTCAAACCCCCATGCACTAATATGTATTCTATTGCAGCTAAGAGGAACCTTAAAGATAATAAGAACCGTTTTTTTTTAAATTTAATAAAGATTATTGAGTTATTATTTATCACATTACCCTTTACCCTTTCCTTAAGAGGTTTACTGACTAATAGCTAGCCGACGCACATATAATTACGTAACAAGAACCACCCCCAATTTAGTTGAAATCATGAGGCGTCGATCTAACCTATATGTTTTAGGTTCGTATTTTATATCGTGCTACGGGTCCCATTTGAAGTAAGAATGTCAAATGTCGTTAGAATGCATATTCACCTGTTTAACATACTCTATAAAATAAAGATAATTGCTACTATTTTCCACCGCGAGAGTCAACTTTGGCAAACGTAATTCCCATGACATCCAGGCACTTGATAATTTTGAATTTTCATTTAGGAAACAATCATTCACATTTCGAACAAAATTTATTAGGACCGTCCTAGATTAAGTTATGAATGATGCACGTTCTATATGAACGTTCTTAATGAAACTGAAACATTACACGCGCTTCATTATGATGTTCATATCGAACTTGTATCATTAGTAACTATTATGCTCATCCTAACAATTCCATTAGAGATTTAGTTAGGTAGCAAGCTAATTAACATAAACCACAATTTGTAGGATATTAAAAAAAAATACAGTTTGTTTCTTTTAAGTATAGATATTGAATAACGAAATCAATTAAGGTACAGACCAGTTCAAACATTTTCCCCTGCAGATTGTGGGAGATTGTGGTGTATCGCCTCCGATTCCGTAAACCCTAATTTTGTTATAGTCCAAGAGCCCAGTAGGAAAGTATACCTTGAACGCCCGGACGATTCTAATAATTTTCATAGGATTCGCCATAAAAAGTTGCATTAGAATAGACAACGGTATACCGGCGAAAATAATCCAGCTTGTTTTTCCGGACCAAAAAGTCCTTAATGAAAAATGTAGCTTAAGAGTAGACAAATTATAAAAAATCCGGGGGCGCGCAAGAGCCTTCTTTTCGTATCCGATCACTTCTGAGAGAAAAACGATTTAAGTCCATTTTCTCAAAGTTTTGACGATACAGATTTGAATCATTACAAACAGAGTTATGCCGTTATTTCGGTCACTTAGAGAATCATTCTTTTATAGGCTGAACCACTTTTTTGATTTGAAAGAACCGACAAAATCGTTTTTAATTCTTAAACATTAATTTTTTGAAAAGTAAAACACTTGACTTGTGTGGTTATGCCTAAAAGCAACCCAAAAAAGGTAGAAATGATCGAAGTTGACTCGCAATGATTCTTGTGTTTGTGTCACAAATGCTTTTTTGAAATCATTTTATTGTAATTCAATCAGAATCAGAATCAACGCTCAAAGGAGTAGGATCGCCCTAGAACCAATAGGGTTCTAAAATATCTTTCATTTCCCAGCCTCATTTCGTAGGCTCGAGCGTGATACATTGTTTTTCTGCTGCATTTTTCCATATAGCAGTAACAAAAATCGTTCGGAGAATCTTTTGTTTAATGATTTGAAACAAGGCGGAATCGTACACGAATCAAATCCTCTGATTTTCTTCACGAGTTTCTCAGAATCTTTTCTCGTCGATAAAATTTTGTGGTGTTACATTTTTTCACCGAATACATAGGTAAGTGACGTGAATTCTTGCAATTTTTCAATTTTCGCACTGGCAATAGGCTCGCGCGCGCTCGGATTCCATCGACGATGCCGAGGACTTCCGGCATCCTGAGAGTCGGGACCGTTGGTTTTTTATATTCCTATCATCGCAAGCTACATATTTCATATAGGTCATTTTGGTCCGGGAGAAAAAGGTAGTTTAGTACGATTTACCACCCCATTTGTAGTCGCGGTGCCAAGGGTTGCGGCAAGTTGGGCACCGGCACCGTGACTTTTTCCGATAAAACTCATCCATATGCACCCTTTAGTACTCTTCCTGAACGTCCGGGACAATAAACATTTTCCAAAAATAAGGGGCGAATTTAATTTTTTTTTAACTGCTTTCGGCAGGATTTTCGCCGGCACCGTTGTCGATTCTAATGCAACTTTTTATGACGAATCCTATGAAAATTATTAGAATCGTCCGGGCGTTCAAGGTATACTTTCCTACTGGGCTCTTGGACTATTAAGTTTATTTTTTGGAGCGCTGACTGCAACAGTGGTATACACACAGTGATATTAATGTAGAAGTAGACATAGGGATTTCCGATAGGAATTTCCTATGTCTACTTTTACATGATAAAAAGTCTCCTGAAAGACTCCTAATTTTATGCAAGCAAAATAACTTCTTGAAACAAACAAAGATTGACTGTCATATTAATTATTAATTTGAATATTGTTGCTTTAGCTTCACAGAAAATAGATCTCCTAAGCTCTTTTAACTGTTATCGGCACTATACCAATATTGGAAATACCAATTTTTTCTTTAGTTGAATACATCGCACACGAACCGAAATTAGAATAGGGAAGTCAAAGCGATAATATTCAATTTAATTAATATGACAGGCAGATCCTCATTTGTTGGAGGTAGTTACTTTGGTTGCATAAAATTAGGCGTCGTTCAGGAGACTTTTTATCATGTCAAAGTAGACATACAGGGTGATTCCTATAGTACCTGCCACCGTTTGGGAGCGTATAGGGGGTGCCTAGGGGAGTATTTTGATATAGGACACTTGGGGTCGGAAATCTAAAATAAGGGCGCCAGAACCAAATTTATCTTCTGGAATTTCACGCCTGTATGTAGGCAACCCAACCGACCGACGTTTCGCGCGGAGCGATGCAGAGCGAGTTAGCGCGAGGAAGCGACATGGGAGGGAAGGAGGGAAAACGACAGTCAAAAGCAATAACGTTTACAAGTGTTCAACGTGGCCACCGTTGTTCTCAATGCACTTCCTACATCTAGCCAACTATTATTATACTATTGCCATAGTGTTTATTCACTTGATACGCGTCGTTGCAGACGGGATTTCGTGGGTTTAAACAAAATTCTGATCAAGTGTCAGCCACACATCGCCGCCTGAGATCGCTCCGTGTGCACCGCCGGCCGGTTGGGTTGCCTACCTACAGGCGCGAAATTCCAGAAGGTAAATTTGGCTCTGGCACCCTTATTTTAGATTTCCGACCCCAAGTGTCCTATATCAAAATACTCCCCTACGCACCACCTACACGCTCCCAAACGGTGGCAGGTACTATAGGAATCACCCTGTATACAATGATACAATGATATTCATGTAGAAGTAGACAGGGATTTCCTATGTTCACCAGGAAAAATATACGCTATTAGTCTCGAGAAAGCCCACTTCTTAGGCATCCAACTATTAATCCACAACTAAAATTTAATATCACCGTGTGGTGTGATATTATATTATGGACCGAAAAATTATTGGACCTCTTTTTTTATGGAGGTACACTTAATGGGGGAAAGATATCTGAATTTAATAGCAGATTAATAACATTATTTCATGGATAACTAGATCCAAATGAATACAGTCAGCCTCTTATATATTCTCCTCTCAAATTACCAGGAAGAGTTGGAACATTGGAATTTTAACCAAAGTTAACTATCTTAGCTTAGTTAAATTGATTATTGATCATTAATGAGGTAAAGTATACCTATGGACATTAACATTCCATTCTAATCTTTAGCAAGTACCATGCATTAGGTACCATTAACATCAAGGGTCATTATAGATTTAAAGCTGGAAATTCCTCAACTTAGATCAAAATTTCAGTATCTTCACCTGTTTGTCACAAATTGTTATCCATATACCTGCTCAATTTATCCAAAGCGCAACTCTTGCGATAAGTAATGAAATGGTTCGAAGTAACCGTTCGGAATCGACCGCGATGAGTCGACTGCTCTCACTTTTTCCATTTCAAGTACACTCCACTTGTTTTCTTACACAGGCAAAATGTGCACTTGTAAAATTATCTACATTCGCTACTGAAATTGCGAAAATCGCCCTGAAAACACTACTCAACGAGAAAACGATCTTGAGAATTTTCGCAAAATACAGATCCATTATATTAATCATTCTTTTAGATGTTGTTTTTTTCATTTCTGGATGAGAAATACACAAAGAAAGGTTTTTTTCAAAACAGAATTTGTTGTACGTGAACAAAACATCATGGAACCAAACAATGGTTTGCCTATCAACAAAGAGATCAATGGATTTGCGATGGAAAATGAGATTAATTTTTGGCATGAAAATGAAACCTGGGTAGATACTAAAGGACCTGTATAAAGATCGCTGTAAACAGATATTTAAATTAAAAAATTAAAGGTTCGACTCTTAGGTCCAGTTGTACAATGTCAATTTAAACTTCAGATTATAGTAAAATTGTGAGTTAAAGGACTTGATTGGCTAATATTTCACAAGTAATCGTGTTTCTGAAACCTATCAGTTAAACTAATCTGAAGTTTAAACTGACATTGTACAACTCGGGAATTAAAGATAATAAGCTATGGAAAAAATGGTTAACTCAAGCAAACTCCACCCTCGAGATGTTCGTACTGAAAGTATTAACACCCGTTGAAATGGCTAGCCAAAACAGGACGACGGTAAAATTTATGATTCCCGTCCAATACGATGCGAGTAACCATTTCTAAAATTAGAGCAGGAAAAGGTGTTCATTTTGAACAACTTTGAACTTTGTCTGGTCTGACTATATGCGATTGTGAATACGCAAAATTCTAAGGGCCCATAGCCTTTGACCATTTTCCGTTTTACTACTTCTTCTTGCACTTCATTACTGTATGGACTTGCAAAACAACATCCTCGTGATTAGCAGAACGGTAGAATCTAGGGCATCCTGGTTTTGCTCTATTTCTAGTACATATACAAGTGGAAGTTGTTTTTTTGTATTTGAAAATCATTTTCCTTACGGTATTAAACAAAACGCATTTCCCCACTAGTCCCACCCAAGGATGTGTATGCCTTGGTATAGACTCAAAATTAATAGTCGAAACATCTACACAGGTCTCCATAAAATATGCAAATATTTTCAGATCCGAGATAAGATCTCAGTTGGATGTGTGAATAGGTAAGAACTCATCATTCTCTCAGCTGGTCTACAAGTGTCGTCTAAAAACCATTACGCCGGCTAATGACCATAGTCATCAGTTGACTTACAAGTACGGGCGCAATTTGTGGGCGGTTTATTTAAAACATATAATAGGTACAAACGATAAGGTACCACATCCAAAGTGAAAGTTAATCAAGGTTTAGATAACGCTATTTAATTTTGATTAAAATGATTTAAGGTTTAGTTCTTCTCGCGAATTGGCCCAATCAGTTTGAAATTACTTCACTAGTAGCGCGAACCATTTCGCGACCGCTGATAAAAAGTACCATTTTGGTATATAAGTGCAGTTAAGTGTTACCGACACTTTTAAAGGTGGTAGATACTTGCACGCGGTAGTATTGTTCATTTCGATTGTTTTCAATATGGTAACTAAAAGTGAACGTTACAGTGTTACTGATGGCACAAGTATTGCAACAAATACCAGGTAAATATTTATTAGTTAATTCTCATGTTTTTGAAAATATGTTTGTGTTTGGTGGTGTCTCAACCATATTATTATTACTACAACACGCAATGCGAATAATTTGTTTATATTTTTTGCGGCAAAATTACTCACCATGATAATCAACAGTATATCAGGAATTCGGGATTTAATGGCTTACAAATCAAAGTCAATTACCTAGAAATAAAATTACGTATATAAAGATCATTTAGAATAGCCAACAGATTAATTTTAATTTGACAACAATCTTTGGAGGCGTGCAACATCTTTAGGTGGTAGCAATCGGAATCAAGATAACGACAAACTCATATGCCATGTGCACACCACTTAAATTTTGAGTTTGGACAAAAAAGTGGCAAAAAAGGATCCTTTTCAATATGCGCAAATTAAATAATTGCAAATAAATTGTCCACAATTGTTCCTCTGATTTTTTCCGCTGTATGTAAATAATATACATAAAAAAGACAATTATGAATTACTGCATCACCTACCACCAGTTTTGCAACCTTGATCTTCATTACAGTGCATAACGACACATTCTATGAATACAATTATTATTGCTCAGAACCGTGAGATTGTATTCATTAACCTGCCCAAAAATTCGATTAGAGAAGCGCTTAAAACCAGTATTTAAAATGTGAAGATTACGTTCTAATCTAAGTTTTAATCGTGTGAAAACAGAAGGTTATCGCGAGACGAATTGCAAGTTTAATAAATTTTGTTAAGTGGAGGATTAGATTCTAAGCAATTTCATGCTATGTTTCGAAACATGTTGTGAGTTGTAAAACGCATTCAATTACTAGATTCGCCGTTTTAATTATTTCCCAACCAAAACAATATTTTCTGGTTGTGACTCTAAGGACAGATACGATGTCATCCAATATAGGGCCAAAATTAAATCCTTAAAGTGGCGTTGCTGGGACACACAAATTGACACTATTTCTCAAAGGGTCCAGACGTCAAACTCTATTCCACTATACCTTATCGATTACCAAAAGTCTTCTGCATTCCTGGCCCCCCACACTTGTAACTATACCGAAATGGAACCATGGTTTCGCTGACTTTCGGTAACTATATTATCTATCTATAGGCGGATATAAAATATCGCATTCCTTCTGTCCATTGTATGTAAATTTTCCTGGAAGAGTCGATGCGATGTGATCAGCTCATCAACAATTTATATTCTTGGGATTTTATATTATGGCATTTAGGTATACATTGTTTAATGTTTTGTTTGCTCTATGTCACGCAGTTCAAAAAATGCTTTAAATAGGAAAAAAGACTACGTCCGAGAAAATGGGCCAACCACAGAAATGGCAGAAACCGGGTAAAACGCTTACTTTGATTGAAGGACAAAGTGCTAAAATAATGCGACATTTATCACACGATTATACTCATTTCCTGTAAAACGAAAGAGCTTGTTTACTAATTATGAAAAATGTGGTTTTCGACCACTTGATTAACGGAAACCGTTAATTTTCCATTTTTGAGATCTGAGCTGAATTCCCCATTTTGGATATCATCATTTTCGCGCTCTGGGCTTTAATTAGAGCAATTTGACGAGCGGTATCAACGTGAGGTAATAAAATTTTAATGAGAAAGCAAGCTTCACTCGTTACGCTAATGGTAGATACCCATTAGCGTAACGAGTGAAGCCGGTCTTTTTTAGTGTTACCTACTCGACGAATTATTGGAATAAGATTTCGCTTATAAATAGACTATAAAGTGTGGTTTCACGTGCCAATGGTAACAAAGATTGATTGGCTATTATGGAGCTTATGTAAGGGACAAACTAACGATACTACAAATCACGTTCAAATACATCTACTCACATTATAGCTTGGTAATTAAAGTTATACAACATAGCCGTAATGGGTTTTTCAATTAATCGCTCCTAAGAATTGCATTGTCTCTCTGTGTAAATATTTAAAATTAAGATAGGTTCAATGGAATTAGGAATTCCTACTACGAAGCCGTAGATATAGGCCACCATGCAACTTGATTTTAGCACATTTTTTTAATTTAAAAAAAGTGTTATTGTTTGCGTTTTGTCCGTCCGCCCGTCCGGACCCGCTTCTGCCGTTTTAAACTACTTCTAGGGGAATGGTCCTGGAATTTTGTGCAATAGGTAGCCCATACCTTGAAGGTGTGTGTATTGCCAGAAAACATTGGCAATTATCAGAAAATAGTGACAATTATAAAAATACAATTACAACATTGTTCTGCAACAAATAGCAAAGACTCTACAGCATTCAGGAGGGGAATTTTTTAGAAAAGCTCTTTCTATAGACGTGTTAACATGAGAAGATCTTCGGAACCCTGAACGAAAAAATGCTTTTCATGGCCTTTTGAACAAGTAAATGTGCTATTGAATTGCTTTCGTAAATGAAACGTAGAAAACTCCAACGTCCAACGTTCCACTAAAAATATAACCAATTAAGCGCCTAGGAAACTCAAATGGAAACGTGAGACAGAGAATATATAGCATAGAATCTTGAAAGAACCTTATGTCCTTGTGTAATAAATTTCACTTTATATTACATTCACACATATGAGTTTGGGAAACTGTCATGATAATCAAATGAAAAGAAAAAGAAATGAATATCGTTGTTACGCCGTTGTTATAACTTTGTACAAGTGTTACAATCAAAATATTGCGTCATCCTATACATATAACATCTACTGAACTAAAAACATGCAATGAAAATAAACTGCCACAAATTGAATTCGCGCAAATACACTACTGAGTTTGCGCAGTAAGACAACGCGAAGGCGCCAAATTGTAATGATAGTCAGGGCCGGTCTCTTAAACATTTTGAAGTAGCTACATATTGAGGACATTCAGATAACGAAGTGAATTTTGGGTATTCTTTTATATGAACATTACGGAATAATTTGATGATATTATTCCTTCAAACAAAACAAGCATTAATTGCGTTAATAATTAGATCGGATACAGTCGCCTTTGGAAGTTCAAATAAAGTACATTTTCCCGTGTAAACAAAGATTCCAAAGGTGACTCGACAGCAACCCATTTTTGATCACATAGTAGTAGATAAAAAAACGATAAGCGGGTTTACTTTCCAATACACAATAGTTGCTGTGCGCTAACTTATCGACAAGTGAAACAATTGATGATAGAAGTGTCAGTTTTCAAGTAACGTTACTTAGCAACCTTTAAAGCTCGGCGTGCTTTAATCGCCTTTTTTGGCACATTCAGGTGTTTTTTAAGGTCCACTCAAACCGACGCGACGTGGGAATTAAGGAACCGAAACGGGAGCGGGACGGACGCGAAATATGCATGCGAACCGCCGCATTGGTATGCATACTATGCCGCTGTACAATTGTATCCCGCATCCTTCCCACTCTAGCATTCCCGCATCGGTTTTAGTGGACCTTTAAACAGCAATTCTAATGCAGGTAATATAAAAAAATATAAATTTTCCTCAAAATAATCCTAGCCGTACAGGTCGAAAAATGCAATTATAGGGCGTTTAAGCTACTTTACACAATCTAGTTGAAAGAGATGACCTGTCAGGGAAGGTGGTTTTAAAACTACATTTTTTTGTTTTTAGCACTTTACAGGAAGACTACGTCATTTTGCAAACAAAGTCAGGTTACCTTTTTTGCAGAGCATAAAATTCTTTCTAGATTAGGTAACCACTACACCAAAACCCTACATATTTTATTCAAAAAAGTGTTCAGCTAAATCATAACTCTTACAAAATTTTTTGACCAAAAAAATATTCAAAAAGGTACGATCCCCCCTCCACTCCCTCATTCATAGGTAAGCACACCTTTTACTTATAAAGGGTGTAGGTTCCTATTTCCTAATTGGATGTGCCTGTATAGAATGTATGCAAAGCAAACGTTTTTACAATTTTTGATTATATTTCTATGATTCAATCTTAAACATTTACGATAAAATAGCACATAATTATTCAGCAGCTGGCAATTTAATTTTAAACCCGTATAAATCACACCCAATCATAATTAAAAACTCCATCAAATATTTCAAATTGTTTATATGCTTTTTATGACCGCTAAAATTTGGCACTTAATTATGGGAAGTAATTTTTGACTTTTTATGTAACTGGCGTGTATCATACGGTATGATTAAATTCAATAACGAGTAGTAATTTTGCATTATATGAAAATTGGAATTTGCTGATTAGTGATGACTCGTTGTGGTCGCCAATTGAATTTGACAGTTGTTCAATTACTGTAGAAAAAAAACCAATGCGTCCAGTTGCGCGTCCTATACTATGTTTGCAATGGCTTACCGTATACAATTAAGTAAATTTGAAAATTTGTATCTGGAGTTTAATTATTTAAGCAAAATTAATTTGGATGATGACGCGACTAAGTTTTGGTCCATTAATTTTGTACAATGCAAAACTAATTATTTTCAAAAAATATATATAAATACTAATGAACATGCCTAGTCGTGCATACACGGCGCATTAATAACTAAATTAAGGATATACAGCTTATACAATGATACATGATTCATTTTCAAGGGGACGTTATTCTAATATGACGGTTGCAGGAAAGCGAATTATAATCAACATCCTACATTATTTGCCAAATCTGAGTTTAAACAAGAATTTTGACATTTGATTGACTGCCTACTGCAATATAAAGCCAATCAAATGTCTTAATACCGGATTAAATAATAATCCTGGATTTTTTTTTGTGCAACTGGCCGTTGAAACAAAAATTAGTTAAATTAATAAGAACTTTTGCAATTAAGACCGCCACTATGGGGGTTAAAACTGAAACTTGACAGTACCCTTCGCCGTACTTAATTCCTGCAGGAGATAAAAATGAGTTTTTCCGATTTGAACATTCCAATTATCTTCGCTAGGAAAAAGCAGATTAATTTCTTGCTAACATTTCTCTTGAAAATAATTAATGAAACATGTTTGGTGCTAGTTTATGATACACTTAAGTGCCAACTATCCCATTAGGCTCTTTTTACCTAGTACTTGCAGGGCTTAATTACGTGAGAAGTAGGTATTGGCATTTAGCATTGGGACTTAACTAGTAATGACATAAAAAGGTACTTAATTTAACGTACAACTCGTGCGCAAATAATCAATTTAGATGAGTATTGGGGCTTGGTAATTAGAATCTTTGCAAATATGCTTTACTTTGTCATTTTTTGAGTGCATGCATGCATAATTGTAGCGTTCTTATAACTTATTAACACTTTTGCATCTTTTCCACCAGCAAAGGAGAAATTTTCCTCAAATCCAAATTTTACATATTATTTGTTCATGAATGTTTTTTTGGATATACTTAGGTGTTGAGAGCAATTTGAGTAGTACGAATGAGAACTACCCAGGTCAGACCGCTTTTTGGGTTAACTAGTAGAAATTACCCTGAATGTTTACAATAGCTATATATGACAAAGAAAATATACTGGCGCGCTTAATTAGATGGACAATAAATAGCAACTAAATTCGATGGGGCTATTGTTGGGACCATATTACAAAAACTTATGAATCGATTGTTGACCAAAGAGCCAAGGGTGCTTTTAAAAGTAAGTCTTTAATTATCTGTTCTTTAGAGGCATCATTTCTATGGAAATATGTCGCCCATTATTTTAATGTAATAACAGTCGGAAAAAGAAAGTTTGCCAAAAATTCAGGTTACTTAAACGGAATGGTCGTGTTCAAAAATGCTAACTATAAAATGGAATTGTACGCTACTGCGTTGTTGAAGTGCAATAGGATGAAATTCCAGTATCAAGTTGGGGTTCAGGTTGCCATGGGTCTGGCTTAAGAAAACTCAAGTTGGGCATGGGACAAATTATACTACAATTGACAGTTAAAAGTCGAGAGCCAGGCATTGGTACAGAGTAAAAGAGTACCTACTATATGAAATTCCTAGATTAAGGGCCAATCTTTCCATCTCTCGATATTTATTTGGCAAATAAGTACCTTGACAACGATTGGATCAACAGTAGTAGGTATACATGGAATTTATTCAGAGAATAAAGTTATTGAGAAGTGGAAAAAGTAGGCCTAATTCCGACTAGAATTCTTATTCATGCGTTCTTTCTGCTCCTTCGTAGTCTAATATCGCAGTCCAAGATTTTCCAGATGGATTAAAGGTACTGGATAAACATAACTAATTGTGTAAAAATTACCAACTTGCATGTCTAAATTGTGATTTATCAGTTGGAAGTTTCAAAGTACAACATTACGTAAATTTTCTATTAAATTATATGCGTTCTATAGCGATTTCCAGAAAACTGCTATGATGCTATGACGGTACCATGGCAAAGGAATGAGAATTTTGGGAAAAGAGTGATCGAATCCTTTGGTTTTAATATATTTTCCGGAAATGGTCATTAGATCTTCCTTTTCTTTATTGGAATCAATCCCTGTTACGAACGATTCGCGTAACATGCTTGCAGTGTTTCGGAAAATAAGGTAGTTTGCAGCTTGAGGTAATTACTAGCATTGAGCAAACAGTAGTTATTATTTTTATTTAAGGGCTTTTTGTGCAACTATTAATTTAATTCAAGTTTTATAGACCATAGATAACGATTGTTGTGACAACAACAAAACACTCCAATATCCACTTGAAATATTTCGGCTGATCTTCACTTAAAAAGGTTAGTTACCGTCCTTGGTGCATCGACTGAAGTTGTATCTAATCTCTGAAAGATAATAATTTAAAACATTATCGGTTCCCCAGTCGTCGCCCAAGTCATTACGTAAAACCATAAATTTGTGATTAGTCCTGTGCGTAAACTAGTCCAAGGGTATCCCATGGTTAATAATATATTTGTTCGAGGAGCAGAATAAAGCAAAGACATGAAAACCAGTTTTGGTTTTCTTTCGAGCTTTGACAATTGGCTTGGCAATGAATTAAGGCAATTTTCAGGAAAAGTCCGTCCATTACATTCTTTTCCTTGTCGTTGTTTGCATTCTTAATTCATATTATGAGCAGAGAAACTGTCAACTTGATTAATGAGCAAAGAGAGCAAACAATATAAAAACCTCAACGTTCGTCTTTTCTGTAGCTATATTGAGACTACAATAATCGACCAACTCCCGCTTACTTTTAGTCAATATATAAGCACAGATTTAAATATACTTAAATCTGTGATATAAGTAAACAACTACAAAGCTCCAGAAACTGCTAGTGTGTATTGTTTCAAGCCTTAGTAGTGATTATGGGTACGGATTATGTATACTACTGTAGAGAGGTCTACACTCGCTACCATGATATACTATAGAGGCTGATTCAAACTCGAGAACCACCATGGGGATCTCGATCGAAAACTGTAAGCGGTAAGTAGGTAGTTTAAATTTGGCAAAGTTGCGTATTTTGATGTTTAACAAAATGCCGAAAAAATATTCCGATTACTTTCGGAGATATCCGGAAAAAACGAAATTTTGCAAAATCGTTTTTACTGAAGTTATTTAAAAAGATATTTCAAAATAAATGACACATTATTATAGCGACTTTTTTCCCTCTACAAGATGCTACTTTTAAATTTTAAGTCTGACGTTTCGTCTCCAGTTAATCATCATCAACTTTGTTTTTTCTTTTGGAAGTCATTTTTACTTTTTGTGTCATTTGATAGAGCATTTTTTCTGATTTCAAAAATGTAAACATTACTACTTTTTTAATATTGTTAAGATATCTTCTTTTATGCATGTCGAACTTTGTCTTGGTTAATGTATGTTCGTAGTTTCTTGCGTTTTTACGAAATAATAGCCCCATTTATTATTAAAAAATAACGATATTTACATTTTTGAAATCGGGAAAGAAATTGCTCTACCAAATGACACAAAAAGAAAAAATAACTTCCATAAGTCTCCGAAAGTAATCGGAACTTTTTCAATTTGAAAACGGCATTTTGTTAAGCATCAAAATATGCAACTTTGCGAAATTCAAACTACCTAGCTATCTTTTACAGTTTCCGAGATCCCCATGGTGGTACTCGAATTTGAATCAGCCTGTATACCAAAGTTTGTTATCATCTTGGGATGAGAATTTTTTTAATAGATCTATTCGAACTTAACCTTCTATTTAGTTTCAATGGGCGCTCATCCCCATTTCGCCCTTGAACTTAAATTATGTGCAAGCACGCGTAACATTCCAAGCTTCTGTTTATTGTAACTAATAATATTATTACATAACACGACACGGTAATTTTTATGAGAATCACCGTTAATTATAAGGTAATCAATCTTGACATCCCGTTTGTGTTGCACGTGTCAGTGTAACAATTACTCCTTACCGTTTTTATTTTCACCTTTATAGTTAGTCTAAGTGTGCGCGTTTTCGGCCTGCGTTAGAAATGAATTTAAACAAGTATGAGGCCATTTGCTGCACATTATACGTAATTTTGGCCATTTCCGTTTTGGTTTGGTGGCACATTGAAATATTCTCATAATCCGAACTTATTTTTAATTTTTCTAATTATTCCAGTGAAAAATCGTTTCCAACATGGATGGTATGGAAGAAAAGAAGATACGTTGTGGCAATATTGGCATTTTTTGGATTCTTCAATGTATATGCCTTGAGAGTTAATCTCAGCATAGCCGTGGTAGCCATGACTCAACTACGCGAGGTGGTGATAAATGGAACTACTACGCATGTAAGTAAAAATATTACTCGAGATTCTCCTATCAAATTATCATACTATTTAAAAATCGGTATTATGTCCACTTGGGTAGTCTAGAAATGATCCTCATCATATTTTACTTAAGTATAAGTACATCGCCACTCCACCAATTACCTATTCATCAGAACACCATTGCAGGTTCGAGAATTTGACTGGGATTCCAAACAACAAGGGTTTGTGCTTAGCTCATTTTTCTACGGATACATCCTAACACAACTCATCGGTGGATGGCTGGCGACCAAGTTTGGCGGAAAGCAAATATTTGGAGTGGGCATAGCTGTGACTGCAGCCTTAACCGTCATTACACCCTACGTCGCCAAGCAAAGTTTCTATTTGCTTATAGCTGTTCGTGTAATAGAAGGAATATTTGAGGTAAGAACCCTTCTTCTCATTACTTCGATAATTTACCAAGCCATTTTTAGGGGGTCACATATCCTTGTATACATGCCGTATGGTCCGAGTGGGCGCCACCGTTGGAAAGGACGCGACTGGCAACAATAGGATTTTCGGGAAGTTACGTTGGAACCGTGGTCGCGATGCCTCTGTGCGCGTTGCTTGCCGATGAATTGGGATGGGAGTCCATATTTTACGTGTGTGGTAATGCCTCTAATTTAATTGTTGCCAATTTGTAACCCCTCCCTTCCTATAGGAACTTCGGGTTTGATTTGGTTTGTCAGTTGGTGCCTAATTATCTCTGATTCTCCGAGCAAAGATCGCCACATTAGCCAAGCCGAGCTGAAATACATTCAAAGTTCACTGGGTCAACAACAAAAAGGACGAGATATTAAGCACCCTTGGAAGAGCATTCTCACCTCAATGCCTGTCTGGGCTATTGTTGTAGGTCATTTTAGTGAAAACTGGGGCTTCTATACGTTGCTTACACAACTGCCAACGTTTATGAAAGGTATGTTCACATTTGTTGCTTTACAAAAAGAGAGTAAACACCTACTTTCAGATATTCTACAATTTGAGTTAGGAGCAACTGGAATTATGGCTGCAATTCCATATCTTACAATATCCGTCACGACTCAACTTGCTGGTCACGCGGCTGATTGGCTGCAAGAGAGGAAAATTTTTACGACGACTCAAGTTAGGAAAATCTTCAATTGTGGAGCGTATATGGCACAAACTGTGTTTATGATAACAGCAGCTTACTTGTTGTCTCCGGTGGGTACAACGGTATGTCTTTCACTTGCAGTTGGCCTGGGAGGATTTGCATGGGCTGGATTTGGGTAGGTGCCAACTATACAATGTATACAAACAAACCTTACGTACTGTATGTACTTCCAGGGTAAACCACTTGGATATTGCCCCCCAACACGCCAGCGTCCTAATGGGTTTAAGCAATACATTTGCAACAATTCCCGGAATAGTGAGTCCTATTATAACAGGATATATCGTAACTACTCCTGTAAGTTAAAACTTCTATTTATCGAAACTCGTATTTATTCTTTTTGTTGTAGACGGCGTTTGAATGGCAAACTGTGTTCTTCATCAGTAGCGGTGTCTATCTGTTCGGGTGTATATTTTATGGTATCTTTGCGAGTGGAGAACTACAACCTTGGGCCGTTGACAGAAGTTCTAGGGAATCTGTTGAAATCGAAGAGAAGAAAAGGGGCTCAGAAAATTTCGCGTATACCTATGATTAATAATTTCGTCAGAAAATTGAATTTCTGTTAATTTTTATTTAAGATGTGAACGACCTGTGATACATTAGCAATGTAGTAGAAGTCATTTTTTTTATTAAACTCAAACTTTCGCCACGAAAAAAACATCTTCCGATATTGAAATCATGAACTGCAAAACATTTATTAAAGGCATTACTTTCCAGTAAAAAGGAAAGCATATTACCAAAATCTTAGGGAGGATGGCTTGTCAATGAAGAATGATATACACACGGGTTTCTAATACGTGCACCGTTTCAATAAGTTGGTGCAATATTCAAGAAAAAAAGGCAATCTAGCATGAAATGCTCTGAGGACTATTATGTAATAATGGTAATTGCTGTTATAATATATTATATTATAATATCTACCCACTACTCACATCTAATTTTAAAATAAGTCTAATATTTTTCTGACGGGAACAGCGTAAAGGATCATTTAATTTTATATTTTGGGCCTTACGTTTGAGTAGGTACACTTACTGTAAATACGAACACAAAAATTGCATTTTATTTTTACGAATTATATCAGTGCTGTAGTAACAAGGGGCGCGGATGAGGAGGCTAAACTCTGGGCCTGACGATTTCAAGCACCACGAACAAAACAAATTGTAATTTGAGTATAATTAATCGTGCCAAATTTACAAAATATCTGTATCATGATTTAACTTTCTTATAGAATGTGGCCTGTAGAATCCATAATTTCAAACAGTTCCAAGATTGGAAGATTGGATGTGGTTCAAAAGTTACAGCCCTTTGAATTTTCTTTCGAAATTGGTTTCTAGTCTATAACTTTTGATTGAGAACTCTGACCGAAAAAGTACGAATTGTTTTGGATTCTAACCACCAAAATTTTTAAGAAAAAGTATTTTCCCGAAAAATTTTGGTAAAAAAGGAAGGTTATACACTGCCTTTTTTTGAGACTCGAAAAAAAAATGTCTCAGATCGACCCGGAAAAAAAATTTTCTTATAGAATGTGGCCTGTGTAGAATCCATAATTTCAAACAGTTCCAAGATTGGGCTACTAGTTCAAAAGTCCTTTGAATTTTCTTTCGAAATTGTTTTGTAACTGTTCAAATAACACCAGAAAAATTAAAAATCAAATCGGCAAATTTCGGTTTTCCCGGCATATGTCATCGAAATTTTCTGGTTTTCTTTAAAGCATCTTTGTTGATTTGACCATCTTCGTATCTTCTATAGTTTCAGAGATCGCACTGATGGACATCTTTATCTTGGATACAGTGTTAGTGGCATAAATAAGTGGCGCAAAGAAAAGCCAGCAAAAGCCATTGCTGTAGCTGGATTCATTGTCAATCTGTACAGTTTATGAATCCAACCTATTAACCCTCCCCCCGCTCATACTACTCCAAATAAACATTAGAAGCTATATTTATTTTCCATTATTTACTTTTTATGTTAAAAATTGATTATGGGTCGATTTGCGCTGCTTGGATTCCCCACCGATTGGATTTACCTACCATTTTAAAAGTAGAGAAAATGTATAACATTTAATTTGCAATATGTAAATCCTATCGTTCGGCCACCTCACAATAAATGTTTAAACGAGATCTAAAATATGAACGTTTGTGATAGGTAGTAAAGTTATCAGTGGTAACATGAAAGCTAGAAACAGGTTTGCTTCATATTTGACCATGACTTTAGTAAAGCACATTTTGACATTTAAAAGATCTCATTGCAGGCCAAAATTCAAAAATGTTACCACGCGATGGAGAAGTAACATTTTCTATCCTGTGAAATAAGATTCCGCATCTATTTCATGACTCGATGCGGTTGCCACAAAAAGAAAACTGAAAAGTATGGGTAGTATAGTAAAACGATTTACGTAAGCCCATTTTAAACAAGTGCTGTTCCATATTTAAATTCGACAATTTGATTTCCAAAACTTTACTGTTGACATCAAGATAAAGAGTTTAAAGTTTTCTCATTCAAATCAGTGAAGATTGCGATTTCACAACTTTTGATCAAAATGCACGTGGTTATAGAAAATCCATAGAAGGTACCGAAACTGATAAACTAGAAATGATGTAAAAAATATCCCTTCATACAGGCTGAAAGTAAGTTAAAAACTAGCAACAAAATCCCCCGTCTGCCAATCGTAAATGGCAGCATTAACTTGGAGGCGGCGCTGAAAAAGTAACTATTTTGAGCATCAACACGATGCCATTATATATGTTTGAAATAGTGGCAAAAACCGAATTTTTTTATGTATGACCTTTATATGTACATCATGGTTCAGAAGTGTTTTTTCCCTACACTGAAGGGCGTCTGTCGCCCCCAACGCTGCACTTGGAGTCGTCTGCCATAGAATCCTTGAAAACTGTGGGAAAAATAGCATTTCTTGATATAAATCTTTTCCGTGGCTCTTACGAAGTTGATGCCCAACACTGAAAATAGACACTTTATCTTCGCCGCCTCCATTTACAACTGATGGGAGACGCGCGTTTTTGTTACTATAGTTTTCAACGTAGGTACTTTCAGCCTGTATTATCGAATATTTTGTCGCTTATGGATGTACGCTACCTCCTGGTCTAAATGCATTATAAAAAAAAGTAGGCACAAAATTACATGCAGAAGTTGGTGGTGTATGATATTCTACCAAGAAGATCACGCTTCATGTCGTTTGCGCTCACAGGCCAGTACTTCTCAATGTCAGTAACTACAACGTTTCTACCTACTTCAGCTTTGTTTTAAAGGGTACCAACAAAACCAACTTTCTAATATGTAACGACAGTTAGCGTTCGTAAATGAAAGTGTCGAAAACTACTGGCGCGCGGTTCCACTTTACTGCACTGCACCATCGTATTATCACACTTTTGTTCGTGGTTGTCAATAGAATGGAGAAGGGTGAAGATTTTCTCAGTGCCACAGATAACAAGGTTGCGATGTCAGAGCCAAGGTAGATTTTTATCATCAGATTTAATTTTTGCATAACCACTAACAATTCCTACATTATGAAAGGTCAAGACTGAATGAGGAAATTGCTTTTATTTTCTCTTAAACAAATATCGACCTTGCAATTGAACGGGAACTTCGTTCATTACCTTGTATCTTTGAACACAAATTATTAATTACTTAATATTCAAAGCTTACATTTTAATTGTGTATGTGCATTAATTCCCGAGTCGTCAGTTTGGTCAGATATATTGAGTAGGTATTTTGATACTTTCACCTGAGATATATGAGATGAGAAAGAGTACAAATGAGTGCTTTATCTACTGAAATATTTAAAACGCACGAGTTGATGAGCATTACCAGAGCATGATGCTAGTAGAGGCCTATGCTTAATAAAGAATGTTACAATGACGAACATTTACCATACCTACAAACACATTCTTATAAATTCCTTTGAATCAGATATGCAATTATGAGTACAATATTGAAACCTGCCTCACTGCAGGTTCTCATGGGATCTGAGCTTGCAAGAAGCATATAGTGATACAAAATCTATGTAATTGATGAGAGTATACAATGGCTGGACGACTGGACCCCTTTGAAGAATCATAACGATAGAACCACAACGATAGCAGATTTCCCCGAGATACTATTTTGTAAAACTATGATATGATTACTAAACGGGGAGGAAGTATCTACGAAACCATGTAGGATGTAGGCATCAATTCCAAAATTTGAACGTGTTGCGTTATCAGATATGGGATTATGAAAAAGTTGCTAATAAACCTGCAAATATAATAATGGCCACACTGAGTGCACTAGAATTTATCCGATACCTACCATTGTTTAAATACTTTAAGGTATTTAAACAATGCCGATACCTACGTGAAGACTTGAATTCTTATTGCTTATACCAAACTCTTTGCTTATACCAAACTCATTATAAATGCAAATGTATTATTATTTAACTGCCCGTAACCTGCTTCCTGTATCCATCTGCACCTTAATTTATATCTACAAAATGCGTCACCATATGGATTAGTTTCTTAAAATGGAGTAAAATTGTTTTATAAACGAGGTTTCATGTACGTAAGTGTGGACAAGGCCTGCACAGGGCGGTTCAAATTCGTGACTCACGATTGGGATCATCCGTAAAGGTGAGGGAAAAGTTACTCCTTTTTGTAATTAAAAAACGCATATCTTTGAAAATAACTGTGATATAACCGAAAAACTGAAAATGTCAAATTTAGTTTTCAATTTGAGTCTGCTGTACCCACTGCACCCAATGTAAATTACCATAACAGCGCCCGCCATAAAAACTCAAGTTGTTTTTCAAAAAAAATTTTTTGTAAGAACTATTTTATAAATTTAGACCTTCATCTACAAAATGTTGGGACTATTTTTTTTAAGTTTATAGCAACTGAATACCGACTGTTTAAAGATTAGATGTTTTGTACCGATTATTGCGCTAATCTGATTTATTTTTTTACTCTCGATCAAGACGATTTATGGGAAAAATAAACAAACACTTTTTCTAGATAAATAAAGTCTGTAGGTATCTTGGCGGGCGGTAAATCAACAATTCGAGTGTAGCAAGTGGCGCTGCGCCTACACAGTGTCGGCGGAAACTAACTAAGGACCAAGACAGGAGTTGAGGTTGAGACAGCAAGAATATCATCTTGTATCTTGCAACTGTAATCACCTATACACTATAATGTAAAAGAGTTGCGTTTAGGTAAAAGAAGACTCTTTAACGGTCGGAAATGGACGATTCCCAGTGGCATCTTATATGGGCACCTTTTTTCGGAGAATCTGAATCTGTTATCAGAATTTCCATAAACACGCTAGAGGTAGAAGCTACAGGCTACTATCTTCTTATTTCTGATGGACGCCATGTTGGTTTTTTGCAGAATGAGATAAGACTATAAGAGGGCAGGAAAAGTCATATTGATTCAGCAAGATCTAGTTACCAGTCTGCTGTTTTGTTGAAAAATGAATGATAAACATTAGATTTTGAAATGTTTCTTGAAAATTATAGAGTGTGACGTCATTGTTTTCCTTTTTGTCCTCTTTTAAGTATCTCATTCCGTAAAAGCGTAGGTATAGAGAAATAAGAAGGTATTTTAAACTTAATCCAAAGTGTGTGTAGGTACAGGAATAAAAATTAGAACATAACGAGGTGTGAGTCTACTGCCGGTAT